GTGTTAAACGACGGCGCTCGCCCTGAAGCCGAGGACTTCATGGGCCAAATGCAGACAAATGTAAGGAGTCACGATAAATGTATTTGTTTCAGCTGCAGAAAGAACATGTGCCATAGAGAAACCACCCATCAGAACCACTACTGACGCCTAAATGCAGATGCATCTGCATTCCGGTATTTGGCTGTTTATCTAAAGTTCAGATCGCACCACCTTCGTGGCTGCTTGTTCTCGCGCTCCCAGAAACGCCTCCACCAAGCGTGAAGTGGATCATACAAACGGTCCTCAAGACATGCCAAGACACACACATAATAATTCCGGGCCAATGAGCCATAACAAAGTGGCTCCAATCCAACAGGGATGGGCCTGGGACATCCCGACCCAACATTGTCACGGCCACTTCGTCTGACATGAAACGAAACGGCCTCCGACGGCTCAAATTGGGTCACGGCAGCAGCGCTGCCAAGGCACCTTTGACTCGACCAGTCGAAGAGTTCACGCCCCGGTCAGCTGTCGGCCCGGAGTGCCTGCGATCAGGCAGCGCCGAGCGCAACGGGGAGACGCGCTCGGGAGAGCCAGCGCGGCGTTGGGAACAAGGGGTTCGCTTGTCTCCCTCGTGTGGGCCTCGCGCCAGATCTCCAGAAACCTTGTGGGTTTGTAAATGAGGCCCGGGACACAACAGCGGACCACCAAAAACCGCCGCTTCGTTAAATGAGCCGGAGTGTTTGCCGTCCGAGTCGCCAAAGCGGCTTCCCAATCACGCCTTGGCCAAACGGAGCGGATAATGACGTGATGGGAGCGGACAGAAGGGGTGGAATTGGCACAGTTGTGTAACCCCCCCCCCAAAAAAAAGACACGGAGGCAGCGGATGATATCTGCTTTGATTTGGGCGGTGAGGTAAATGTCCCGAATGGTGGACAGCTGTGCATCGTATTAGTACTAAGGCGTACAACGCCTGCTGGAGACGGATTCAGTGTGAATGAAGACGGCGCCCTCGGGCCCGGGAGCGTCCCCCGCCGCTTTCGTCCTGTGAGGGAACGAGGCTGAAAATAAATCAAACACTTAGAATTCTCCCATTGGATCACTCTCCTTTTATCACGCTAAAAGGGGCTATAAAAGGAGCTCATGTGAGTGACTCAACCAAAAATCACCCTGGCGTGGAAAACAAAAAAGTGTTTCTGTTCATTTTAGTCCCGTTGTGCTCTGTGAGACCTAAATCAGCTCAATAACTACATAACAAACAAATAAAATGCAAAACGTCAAATTGAAAAGCATAACGTCAACGAGATTTACATTTGAATATGAGCAGCTTTGCTGCCGCTGTTTGCTCGGCTGCACTAAAGGGCTTTTACGGCGTTTGGAGAAGTGTATGGAACAAACCCGCCTTCACTAGAGCACGTTCCTCAAAAATCACACAGCAGCAGACTGTGGATTAGAATTTGATACTTGGGATTGACTGCTATGTCGGAGACTCTTGCCCGATTGTCTTGTGCCGCGGTAGAATCTCTCAAACGCCACTAGGGGCAGTAAAAGCAGCCTGGAGGAACTTCACAGATTATCCGTCTCATGCTCTACCGTCGGGATTTGGCGACGGCTTAAGCAAGCGAGCGTTACAAAAAGTCCTTTTCATGAGAGTTACCCGCTGCAGCTCTGAGCAATACATCGTGCAGGAGAGGGACACGGTTGTCTTCTACGGGCTCTCGGTGATTGGACATTCTAGTGTGTGTTCAGAGAAAGACCTTCAGAAGAATGCAAATAGGGACAGAACAACAGAGCGGCGAGGAGGGGGGGGGGGGGGGCAGAGGGGGCAGTCAGAGTTGAAGAGGAGGGGCCTCCATTAGCGGGCCATTAGAGGCCGTTGTTGATAATTAAGTGTGGTTTGGGGCGGCGTGGACGATGCTAGAGAATGGACCTGCAAGGCCACCATCCCTCTCGCCCTGCTCCATGGCCTCCACTATAACCGCTTAGTGTCTTTTTCTTTTTTTCTTTTACCAAAGGCCAAAGGGGACAACCCACTCTCCCCCACACTTTGGAGAAGGACAAATTGCCCGACGTGCAGCTAATTAGTGCGGCCATTAGGGAACAAGTGCTCATTTTGAATGGCTGCGGAATGAATACATTGTCCGCAACCTTTAGGCTGATAGTTCGTCACGGCGTCTGAGTGATCGAGCCCTCGAATTTCTGCGAACCAGAGAGAGAGACGGATGAGATCAAAAGTCGATGCAGAACCGATCACACGCCCACTTCGGGATTCGATGTGGGTTAATGCCATTCTGTTGTCCCCGCGGTTTCCCGCGTTGATCTCGCCAGGCCCAAAATGATTGGATGCGCCCTTTAAAAAAGGAATTTAAGAGGAAGGGAGAAGTCGGCAGCCTTTACATCGGTTGTTCAGCGGCTGTGAAAGAGTTGAGCGCCCAACGGGGTAAGAAGGCATTTTAGCTCACAGCGCATGAATGCAACATCTGGTCGCATATGAACAGGTTTTAGAAATAAACCAGGCTGCGTCTGAAGTTAGCGGCGTGGGCTACGCTTCACCAGCAGCAGGAATCTGGACATAAACTGACATAAACTGGAAAAGAAGAAAAAAAAGACGCCTCGACCAATCGGCGAGACGAAAGGACTGCAGAGACGCCCTCAGATGGGCCCAGATACGAGCCGCCGCCCCGCCCTGGGATGCTCGCACGCATTCGGGTCCGATTGGCATGCGAACAGGAGCCGCGGGAATGAGCCCAGCGTGCGTCGTAAATTTCCCATCAAGGGGAACCCACAAGGGTGAAAAGGGGAGTCGGGGGAAGGGTCGGGTTAATTCAAACCAAATTAGAACCACCGTCGTGCCGCAATATGTCGAGCGCGGCTATCGGCGACTCGCGCCGCTGCTGCTAATCTGCGTGCTTTAGTTTTGCCAACAGCCGCCCAGCGGGGAGCAACAAGGCCGCGCAACCGTTAGCCGTGTGTGTGCATTTCTCAAGCAGCAGGAGAGGCAGTCTGCACGCACACACGCACACACACGAGGGGTGAGAACCAGGATGCTTCATAGAATAACTCAACATACACGTTATTGTTTATTGGAACATATTCGAAAACGAAACATGCTTGAAGAGAATTAAGACTAACGGAAGGATTCCGTTCAAACACTGGCTGTGACATGTGGAAATGCTCTTTGTATTTAAGCGTTTTGGGAGCAGAAATAATAACAGGTGCTTGGGGGAGCGTTTCCCAACAGCGCACACCCTGTCGGACGGGACGGTGCTTACAGGCTGTGGGCGTCATATAATACATCAAAGACCGATACTAAAAAAGGAAAGCACCTCGAGCGTTGACACTATGGGTAAACACACAAAACACACACCACCAGCACATCCCCATCATGTTTCAGTTGGATAGAATATGGGATTAGTATAGCCCTGTTACAGAAGGTGCATCGCCATAAATCATGATGCCATAAGAATAAAATGCCAACTGACTGAGCTCAGAGAAACAGGGAGGAGCAGCCAGAGATTCTTGGTTTAAACACCAACGACAACAACAACAATGGAGCACTCATGTTTTTCTTTTCAGTTCATCTAATAACTGATACCACACAGAAATGGTTATGACACAAGTGGAATTAATGCAAAAGATTTCAAAGCGTGCAACATTCTGACTATTATGCTGCTGAATGATAAGCTTCTTCTAGCTAACATACAATAAGATAATCCTTAATTAGGATTAGGATTACAGCAGCAAAGATCAACACAGTTATAAATAGCAGTAATACAATATAATCAAAACACCATAACCGCTGCGATTCCACTGACTGTATGGACAAAGAATTTCAAATGAGCATGTGACGCTCACGTACCAAGGTCAAGAGACACAACACCTACGCTGTTAGCATTTGAGCTAAATGCATTTGAGCTAAGATCATTTGTCCAACCGGCGCTCACCGCGACCTCGGCTTTGCTCGTTAGCCGGCCACCGCCGCTAATTAGCGCTGAGCACAAAGTGAAACCGAGGGCGGTGGCGGCGCCACGGGAGACGCAGTTAGCCTCGTGGAAGCAGAAGTGTAATTAATTTGTTCCAATTTGCCCGAGAGCCGTTGACGTGTTTTTGTCAGAAGGTGGACGGACAGAAATGAAATCGGCGTTTTTTTTTATGGCTCTCTCGCGGAATGATCAGATGAAACACATCAATCCCCTCGCTGGAGAGCAGAGGCCCCCTCGGGTGCATCTCTGGACTAATCAGACAGCATTGTCATCATACTTCAAAAATACGTGAAAAGGGCAACGAGCAGACGTCCCGGTATCTAATTAGAAGACCTTCTCTGCTGGAGAGCCAACGGGCCTCTCCTGTCTGCTGCTGCTGAAGAACAACCCCTTAATCTTGTTCCTGCTTTGAGCCCTGCAGGCTTATTCATATATTTAATAAAGTGGGATAAACTGACTCGTCTCGGTTAGGTGAGTCCGCGCCGACGACCACCGCTGCAACGCATCACAGAGCAGCCGACCGGTTTCTCACTCGCACGTCGCATGCAACACAGACGGGTTTGTTTGCACGCCATTCTTTATAAATAAAATAAATCAGGCTGCTGACAAACATACACAGACATGTACTCACACAACGTAACACAATCTCCTGTGAGGCCAAGATGATCAAAAAGCACACACTTAGCTGCATCGTGTGATATTATGAATTACGTGACCAAGTCTGCCTTTGTTTTGTCTTACAGCAGCAGTATTCCTTCATCGCTATCTGTAAGTAGGGTTACAGACAACTGAAGAGGCAAAGTTTGATCATTATTACTTTTTTCTGACCGATACCCGACCAACTTTTCACCGCTGATTACCTGTTGACGGAGGAGATCAGCGGTCCAGCCGATGGTTTGGCTTGTTCGCGCTCTCCCGCTTCCTCTCATTATCACTTAAGGTTTATTCGTATTTTTCTGGGCAAAGCAGCTACTACACTTAGTCGACAGCGGCTGTCGAGTTCCGTGGCATGCGATGGCACTTTGAAGATGAACCAACCTGGTGCTGTGGAGATGGAGGCCGGTCTCGCTCGTCAACACAAACATCTGATGGCAGCGCGGGTCGTTTGAAATGGAAATGTCCTCGCGCCGGTCTGAAAGATCTGAAACAATAACAAAACTGCTTAGATTCCTTTTTTTTCCAGGCATTGAAGTAGAAATAAATATTTAAAAAGAAATCCCTCACCCAATCAATACATTTTTAGTCAATAAAGAAAGCTATTTAAAGCTGGGCCAGCTGCCTATTGATCCTCCCTCATTATCACTAAAGTCACCAGGAGACACCCGCTCTTTCAGCGTCATTATTCTGTATTAAATCACTCGAAGATGGAGAATATGCAGCCCAGCTCTATATGTGTGTGTGTGTTATACAGCGTAAGCTGATTTAGTTAAGGTTAAAAAGGTGTGTGTGTGTGTGTGGGGGGGGGGGGGGGTACGGGGGGGTTTACTGCGCCTCAGATCACACGGCTCTTAAACGGAGGAGAATATCACAACTCGACTGGACACTAAACTTTGCAGCGGCCGCCTTTGACCCCGGCGAGGCCGAGGTGCAGACTGGGCGCGCACTAAATCTGCCACACTGGTGAAAACGGCGGGTGTAATTGATGCGGCGTGAGCAGATGGATCGACGCTGAACCAGGACGAGTAAAAAGAGAGCGCATTAGTCACTAAACCGACGTCGCGCTGACCTGAAGCCGACCTCCACCGTCGGGCGGCCTTTTATTTCCACTCCAGTTACCCCCCATGGAGGGTCTGGTCTGAGCTGCTGCCACTTCCACATACATGTCCCCGCCGCCGCCGCAGGCTCCCCCCCCGCCCCCCCGCCCCCCCTCTCTTCGTCAGAAAACCCTCCAGCATTCACAAAAAAAGAATGAGGCCATTATCCAGCTGTAGACGAAACCACTTTCAAGATGGGCGGGAACAACGGAGACATGCTAAATATCACGTAGAACGTAGCTCGGTTGAGCTTTTTAAAATGCGGGATACAGAGTTAGAAACGGGCATCCGACCAAAGGCGCAAAAAATAGCCCTGGAACAACATTCCAGTGTGATATTCTATCGTCACTGTGGCTCATTATGACGCAGCAGGGTTCACCTCTGGAAGCAAAACTAAAATATTATCAGACACAACTGCATCCTCGCTCAGCGTAAACGCTCTCTGGTTTGACGGGAGCAGCAACTCTGTGGATTGACGTCTTGAACCGGACCTGCACTGTCTCCCTTGTTTCAGTCTCCTTCTATTGATTCCCCCCCTTCTCCTCCCCCCCCAACAACTGCTCTCTGATGTTGACGACAGCGGGATGCCAGCAGGAGCTGACCCCCCCCCCTTTACAGAGGAGAGGAGCAAAAGGGCCTCAACCTCCCTGCAGGGGGGCGAGTACGTCCCTTTAATGCAATATCCGGACCACTTCCTGTTGTGGACGTCACACTCTGTAGGACACCGGGTTCATGTGTGTGTGTTGTACTACAGCAATATTCTGCGTGTGCTCTGTGAGAACATTTGTGTATGTGTGAGGGAGAGAATCCCCCCTGGAGGTGTGAGAGCTTGTTATAAAGTCTCCCATCCCTCCGAGGCGAGGGATTTTTTTTTTTCTTCATCTTCCCTTTTATCCGCTGAAACAACACCAGCCCCCTCGAGAGGTTCGACTCAAAAGGGAACGCGCTGCAACAAAGATCGAAGGGAGGGGCACAGAGCCGTCGCCCTCCTGCACCTTCATCATCAAACAGATCCAATGTTGGATGCAGGGAGACGGTGATCAGCAGTGGGGGGGGTTTAAATCGAGGCTTTAGTGAAGTCAACAGGTCTAGTTTACCTCAGGTTTCTTTGGGGTTGAGAGTTCCTCTGGCGGTGCGACATCTTGTCAGGCCGGAGAGCCTTAACAGCATGCCCCCCCCCCCACCCCCCTGTTGTGGCCCAATGGACTGAACCAAGTGCGCCACAGCACATCGCACACAACTAACATTGCACACAACACACTAATGATTGGGCCAAAGCCCGCCATTTAAATGCATGGAAGCACCCCGATTCGATGTAGCATTCTCTCAAGGTTGGAGCTCATTTGAAAATCCTGTTTGTGGCTCAGGCGCATGTACGTGATGATACTTTATTTATATTTGCAATAGTGTGTGTGATCTTCCCTTTTTTTCCCCTCTTGGAAGGGTTTTTTTCATTTTGGGGAGTTTTTTCTGTGCCGATGGTGGGTTTTGGGACAGAGGATGTCGTATGTGTACAGACTGTAAAGCCCTCTGAGGCAAATTTGTAATTTGCGATTGTGGGCTATACAAAACAAAATTAATTGAATTGAATTTTGCATCGTCACATAGAAGATAAATGGATAGCAATTATTTCCCTTTTGTCTCTTCTATTTATAAAAAACTATCAAACTTGCAGCTTTTGTCAGCGGTAAGAAATCACAAAAAATAAAGATGAATTACTTTGTTTTCTTCTAGCAGCAAATTTAAAAGCTGAAAGGAATGGCACCAACTACCATGGCTTCAATACAAATGGTAGAAAGGTTTATGTTTACCAAGATAGACCTCTCAGTAGTGTTCCACATCCGTAATATCTGAAGTCTAAGATTGAGAGAGAATCCGCTTCATCTTATGCTCTCTATGCCGCGCTAATGAAGGATGCAGAGGATCCTGCTGTGGTGCGCAGCACTAAATGTTTTAGTAGGAAACTACTACTTAGGGGCCGAGAGGAACACTGACGCCTTCATTATATTACCTTTTGCAGTCTCCCTCTCATCTTATAGACCCATCTTACTGTCGAGCTAGCATTTAGCAACCATAAAAGGAACAATCTTATTGTTGCAGGAATTCAATTGCACTCTTCTGATAATGACCTTGTTATTCAGTTTCAGTTGCATTGGTGGAATTAACAACAGGTGCATTACAGGGGTGACGATGAGACAACCCCCCCTCCTCCCAACAGGGCCGGTTTTGCATTTGGAGGCCAATTCAAGTTTGTACCTCTTGATCTCTTTGACTGGTTTTCCACTAGTGTTGGCTTCAGCTGGCTCAGTGGTTCTTCACCTGGGTTCAGCAAAACTACCAAGGAGTGACTTTAAAGAAAGAGCAGTGTATACCCAACCATTATAACAGGGGGGAGCAGCAAGGAGGAGTGGGCAAAACTCCCCAGCAGCAGATACAAGAGACGGGTCAGTGGTTACACAAGACGTTGGGTTTAAGTGCACCAAGCTACTAACTACACTCACTGGCCTCTTTAGTAGGTACACCGTTTTTTTTTTTGCTTGTTAAGACCAATTGCTTATCAGCCAATCACACGTCAACGCATTCAGACATGTAGACGCGGTCGAGACAACTTGCCTCAGGAAAAGGGGATTCAAGTGACTTTGAACGTGGCGCGCATGTTGGTGCCAGTGCAACTGCTGGTCTACTGGGATTCTCACGCAGAACCACCTGAGTTTACAGAGAAACGTCCCACAAAGAGAAACTATCCAGTGAGCAGCAGTTGTGTGGACAGGAATGCCTTGTTGATGTGAGAGGTCACAATGGGCAGACTGGTTGGAGATGATAGAAAAGCAACAGTAACTGAAATAAGCACTCGTTACAACCAAGCAGTGCAGAGTAGCATCTCTGGGACCTTGAGGAACACGGACCACAGCAGCAGAAAACCACACCGGGGGCCCCTCCTGTCGGCCAACAACAGGAAACTGAGACTACAACAGAAGGTTTGGAGAAACGTTGCCTGGTCTGATGAGCCTCCATTTCAGCCGCAACATTCAGGTGGTCGGGTCAGAATTTGCCATAAACATGAAAGGATCCTTCCTGGCTTGTGGGGGACGTGTCCTTGGACCACTTTGGTCTCCCCGTCTTCTGATGGCTACCAGCAGAATAATGCAATTCTGGAACATGACAATGAGTTCCCTGTTCTCCTCCACAGTCTCCACATCTCAACCCACTACAGCACCTTTGGGACGTGGTGGAAGATTCGCGTCATAGATGTGCAAATCCCTGAGGTTGAAAGTAACCACAAAGAAGTAATGCAGTTCTGAAGGCAAAGGAGGCTCCAAACTTTTACTAGCAAGGTGGACCTAATAAATATATACATATTTATGTGCGTGCGTGTCATGTCTGCAACGTCATGGACTTGAAACAATACTGTTACACCCGACTCAAGACCTTCTTAAGAAGTCATTTCCTGGCTTATTCATGTCTAATTCTGTGAAGGGACACAGTGTTTTCCACTAATTGTAGAACAGAATATTCTGAAGCAGAGCGAAAGAGCCCCAAGGCGCATGCAAGTGTGTGCGTGTGCATAATAGCTTCACTGCCTGTTCGGTACACACACACACAGGTAAAATGTGCACCACGTACATCATCCAGGTGCTAGTTTCTCGGTCTCTGTTCTTCATCACGCATGCAATCGGTCTGCACAGTTCGTCTCTGCCTCCATTTATCGGGTCACGTATAGATCTACAGTCGTGAGTGGTTCATCTGTCGACCGTCCTTCAGTTTTATGGATTGGTCAATCGTTAATAAGGAGAAAATACTAGAATTTCCCGGCCGAGGGAGATGTTTTTTGTGCAAAATGCGTTTTTGCCGAGAAACTTGAATAAATACATTTTTTTGAGACAAAATATGGGATGAATGACCTGAAGTTTGACACACCGGCTCTAAGCAGACTCAATAAAGAACTAAAAACAAATTCTTAAAAAACAACTATAAAATTGATAAGGGCCCATTCGAGGACGGGCGGCAAAAACAGCGTGATTTTTGTTGTCATTGTGGAAAGCACAGAAACCTTTAGCGAGCCGCCGCTCGCCTTCTGGCACGGAGGGTTTCCACGTGGACGGCGCGGGCTGCAGCCCGAAGGCTCAGCGGGAGGCGATGAAATGACGCTAAAGAAGTGGAGGGAGCTCGGGGGCACGCTTCACGGCCCCGGTTATGTAACCTATTTACCTCAGACCGAGGCAGGCTGTGACGGTGGGGGTGTGAGACAGCTTCTCTTTCTGCCCCTCCCCCCTCCTCCCTCCTGGGTTGAAAGGTGTTAGCAGCGGATGTCAAAGGAGGTCACGTCTGGCTGCAGGCGGAGATTATGGCTTTGTACGTACATACATACCAACAAACGTGTGCGGTATCTTTTTTAGTTTGCCATTCATTAAAGCAAAATAAATCTTTACATGAAATCCTGATACTTGGCATCAGATGTCATGGCTTGTTAAAAAATCTCAGGAAAGGTCTTAAAAAAAAACCCGAATAAAAGCAGCTATTAAAAATAATAAGTGGGTTACTAGGGGAGACGCTTGTAAACAAGCAGTGCTTGCTGGGTAATTGTGTGTGGGTCTGGACTCGGTGCTCTAGGGAAAACTTTATTTATTTTATTCTGTAGTTCTGGTTATATGAGTGGGGGGGGGGGTCACTTCCTGTTTACGTCAGTGGACATTTTTTTCTATGAAAGCCCCACATGCGCTCAGGATTGTTTTATATGAAGATTGAGGAACATTATATTTGCTCAAAAAGAATACATATGAAACGGGATCCTTTTCAGCGTAGTGTGGACAGACGCTAAATGCACCCCGCCGTGTTGGTCACCTACCTTAAGCTGTGGGGTCTAGAGCTGCCGATCTGGACCCAAAACCAGTCGCAGAACCTCCTCTGAATGGATCCACACCAGAAGACGGTGACGCTGCCCTCAACCTGGAAAATGTAAAAAAAACAAAATACATTTGTATCCTAACTGTACGTTTAAACCACAGACGCACACAATATAATGTACTAGTCTCAGCCCGTGGGAAGCAGATGCAAACTGGGACCCACGTTTCATGCTGCGCTTTTTATAAAGGTGTGTTTTCATGCAGAATGTGGCCCAGTCGGACCTCACGCGACACGTCACAGCAGCGGAGCGCCCGCAGCAGCGAGGCGCCTCCGGGCGCTGCCTGCACGTTGGCACGGAGCCACGTCCCTGCACCTTCGCGCTTCCTCCCGAGTGAAGTGTCCCCCGCGCCCCGCCGTACGCAGGCGGTTTAACGGGCTTGTTGTCGGCCCGTAGTTACCCACTTCAACCGCGCACTTTTCTCGAGGGGGGGGGGAGAGAGAAGCCCTCACCTGAGCCAGGTGTGTCAACATGTAAAGAGCAATACAAAAAGAGGAGGGGGGGGGGGCGCGCGCCGAACAGGTTCAAGCTCTGTACAGTACAGTACGGCACGGCACGGCAGCCCGTGGGGGTTGACATGAGGACAACGCTCACGTTACTCCCCCCCCCCCTCCCCCCCTCCACGTCCCTCCCACCCCCGCGGAGAAGCCGCGGCTGTACGAAAAACGACGCACTCACCAACACGGGACTTGTGACATGAAGTGTCCTCCCGCGCCGTCAACGCGAGTCCCGAGCGCCAGAAAGCAGCCGCTTTAGCGCGTGAGCGGGGGGGCGGCGCGAAACAACTGCGTCCGAGCGAGTCCACCCGGTTGACCGTCACGAGCGGCGCGGCGGGCGCTTCTCCCGGCGTCGAGGTCGGCTCTCAGGAGCGAGGAGACGGGAGCGCCGTGTCTGCGAGGGACTCCATGGCCACGGTCTGCAAAGAGGGGAACTCTCCGCCGGGTTTATTAGCTCTCTGTGCTCGGTCTCCTCCTCCCCCCCCACCCGCCTGTACAGTTCGGGTGAATGCGGGTCAGGAGAGAGAGAGAGCGGTTCATTGGTTACCGGGCTCCGCGACGCCCTCTACCGGCTTGCGTTGGGTACTGCGGCCATAATCCAGGGAGCCTGGAGAGTTAATGGGGAATGTCTCCCCCTTAAGCAGTAGTTCCCCCACAGGACAGGACTGTATTTAAATTCAGTGTATCTGATTCTTTACCACACACACCTCTACATTTCAGAGAGAAAAAGTAAGGCGTTAACTTAACGTTTAGGCTGATTGACAGCTGGAGATATCAGTTGATTCTTGATAATTCAATTCATTTTATTTTGTATAGCCCAAATTACAAATTTTTCTCAGAGGGCTTTACAGTCTGTACACATACAACATCCTCCTGACCCGAAACACACACATCGGCACAGGAAAAACTCCCCAAAAAACCCTTCCAAGAGGGAAAAAAGGGAAACCTTAGAGGAGGGTTCCCACTCCCGGGATGAACAGACTACAATGGATGCCATGTGTACAGAATGAACAATGTATAATACATGCAATTCCTATGACAGAAATGATTCAAGTAATTGTGAGTAGTAAGCCAGGCGCACAGCAGGACCACTGCAGGGGCCACCACCATCAGATAGAACCACCATCAGATAGAACCACCATCACATAGAACCACCATCAGATAGAACCACCATCCACAGAAGCCTGTGGGGAGGGAAAGCAAAGGACTTTAGGAGAGGGTAATGTTGGTTTATGATTACAGTAATATGATTAAGATTTATAATAATAATGATGATGATGGCAGCAGCAGGCGTCAGCAGGGCCACGGCAGGTGTCAGGGTCCAGTAGGAACTACGATCTTCGGAGACCTACTCGGGGAGAAAGCACAAAAAACTCCCGGAAAGAAGCTGAATTAGTCATGTGCATTAATGAAACGTGAATTATGGTAGAACGAGAGCGTGAGAGAGGAGCTCGGTGTGTCCTAAGTCCCCGGCAGTCTAAGCCTTGTATCACCAGCCCTTAGTTAAGCTGCTATATTTAATTGTTAATTGTTGTTAATTGCTTTATTAATCAAATATATGCATCGTTATAGATTCATTTAACAGATTGATAGATAGATAGACGCATTTTCAAAGACAATTTGCTTTGAAAATGCGTTGGTTGCTCTGTAGCGCCCCCCAGAGGGGAGGAGCTTAAACAGGTGCTGCCCTGGAAGTGAAGCGTTTGCACGTGGAGGGCACCAATGATTATATTATGCACAATAGACTCGACTGTATCTATATCTATATTTAGAAATATATATATGTGCACTTTTTACTGTGTAACCATCTATGTTTTACCTAGTAAGGATGAAACTTTGTTGTATTACTTGTTATGCAATTGGGTACTTTTATCTTTACTACTATTTCTTCTTAACCTGATTGTGTTGTGTATGTAAAACCTGAGCATGTAAGTCACCAGTGATTATAGATGTCAGATAGATAACTTTTTTTTTAAACTGTACTAAGGTGAATGCTCCTACGTTACTTTTTCGAAAACTGAAAATAAACTACATATATATATCCATCAACAAACAAATTAAAGACACCAGGCGAGCAGCTGTTTCTTTTTCCTGTGCATCTGTGCCTTTTATTGCAATAATACATCTGTATGTTGATATATATTCACACACTCTCTCTCACACACACACACACACACACACACTCATATATATCATCAATGGTCAGAACAAAACAAGAACTTTAGACTGTAAGCACCAAACACATGACATGAGAAAGAAATCCACAAATAAACCAGCGACTGTCTAAAACCTAGAATCAAATGTATAAACACACACGTGCACGTTCAAAAGCACGTTCTGCCACCGCAAACTCACGCACGCACCGGACCTCCTGCAGAGTGGACGCATGCAGCGTTTGGTTCCCCCACACACATGCACACCAGCGGAAACAAGCTCGGGTTCCCACCAAGAACGCCCGAGATAAGTACTAAAGGGTTTTTGTATGTTTTGTATTTAGCCGAAGTGCAGAGTATTTCTGTTTACATCTTTAACACTGAGGATGTTGTTAACAACACACCGAACTGAACTGCACACAACACTGACAGACGGGCCAACATTCCAACATTTACCTTCACTATTACAGTAACCGTGTAAAGCCAACATCTCTTGAAGAATAAGGAAGAAGAAACGTTGTGATATATTGTTTAAATCGTTTTGTCTATATATACTATGTACAGAACATGAACGAGTTACACACTGCAGAGACGAGGGGCTCACATTTACACATGGATCAGCTCTTTTTTTTTACAGCCACTACGTATTCACTAAAAGCCTCTCATAGATTTAATCTTAAATATTCAAATGCCTCTGGGATTAATGTCCGTTGTACTCAGTTTTTGTGCTCGTGTGTTGTGAGGATATGCGTCGTACTATATTTAGCATTACGGGCAATATGCAACGAATACTACAAATACTACAGCTGAAAACATACATGGCTTTTTTTTGTTATTATTTTTCCGCACGATGCACAAAACAGCACTTTTTTCTTTTCTTACAATCATCTATTCCAGTTTCGTTACAGATAACAGATTTTAAACAGTAGGACTTTCATTGGTTTGCTGCGTATGTCGTTGAGTAAAGTTGATTGGTGGTGATGCAGAGGTATTGCCTACGGAAACATGCTGAGACGAGGAGGACTCGTGTGTCCCCCCTCTCTGACCGGGTGTGTATTTAAATAGATGGACAGACGGGCGGTTGGACGGAGGAGAGGACGGCCTCTCGTCCTCCTCATCCTGTCCCACGGACGGCTCGTTGGTGGAGAGATGTTTGCTTGTCTACTCGTAGAAGGTGCGGTCACTAGAAAGAGGAAAAAGCAGAAGACGGTTGGTTCAGTGTCCTGTGGGTCGTGTTGCATCCTCCCGCCCCAAGTAGAGTCCCTGTACCAGAGCACCGCTCTTTATCAACCCGCAACCCAGTCCAGTGTACTTACGCAACACCAGCACAACGCGGGGGGGTGTCCTGTGCAAATTAAAATACCACGAGCAGGATTTAACTCGCTATAAAACAAGAAGAGAGCCAGAATGTAACAGAGTCTCTCGTTGATCTTTGGAGATTAATGCACTCCTCATTCTGTGTACGCAGGGCGGCCATTATGCTCCCATGCGGCTCGGGTTGCAACGTAAGAGATTCCTGTGATTAAAAATTTAACAGGACAACTCAGACGGCTGTGTGATTACAGAAACATCGCATATAACACTGTATTAATCGGTAAGTTACCATGTTGGTATATTTTCTTATACACTTCAGAGATGTTACATCCATGATTAAGATGATCCAGAGATTACACATTTATTCTAATTATAATTAATATAGTGATGACGACAAATTTGTAAGTACAATAACTAGGAGATGACACAAAGCTCGTGATTACCTTAATTCAGAGATATGGCGACACAGTTACACCTGGTAGTTATTGGATTTAAATAATTAGTAACAACTAATCTCGAGATCATAACGTTTGCTGTGGTTTGTGTCATTCATTTTAATTGAGTGCTGCATTAATCTCTATTTAGCAAACACTTAATGGGCTTATAGACTTCGGAAGAGCTGATCCAAGCGACTCTTGAAAACTTTACTGTTGCAGAAAAAAATTAAAACAATTTAGAAGCTAAAATATGCAACAACATGCTTAACACTCAAAGGAATCACTCTGAAACGAATGAGTGGAGCTTTTCATGCTTATTTCAGTGGATTTATGATGAAGGGGGGGGGGCATGACATGACATTTTCAGTGTCCACAAATTCAACAAATATAATGAATGATGTCAGCTGGAACAAGGATACAAATTTCCATGTAGGAATCTATTTTGCTAATGATAGAAACGATTTTGCTAAGAATAACAACTGGTTATCAGTGGTTTTGAGTCTGAATTGACCAGTAGCTGTCATGGCTAACATTAGCTAACGTTAGCTAAAGTTACATTGATATTGCTTTGTAACTAATACTGCTACTAGTTAATTTGCTTACTCTTCCTTCTTAGAATATGTCTAGTACTTACTTTAAATGTGTGGCCACTTTTGCAACGGTTGTTATTTGATTTAAAACATGTACATATTCTTGATAAATGAGACAAAAACATTGCATTTAATTGGAGTTTATATGTTGTAAGTGTATTATTTAAGTTAAAAAAATTATCAGAGCAATACAAACATTTCAGCAGATTTATTTGCTGAACAAAATCAAATCTCCCAACTTAGTCAAACACCATTTACAGATTTACCTGAAGCTGCTGTGGTAATAGAAAGCAGGAAGCAAGTAAATTCTAATCTAACAGCGAACTGACAAGCTACGGGTTTGTTGTCCCGATCTTCAGGCACTAGTCTCATTGCTTTGCTGGTGGCCTTACCAGTGCACAGCGAGAGCGACCAACAGCTTTAAATTCGGATTTGATCGCCTTCGTTCAACCTGGTGATTGCAAAAATGAAGCTGTTAAGGTCAGCAGGTGATTGATTGTTAGGCCTTTTCTGCCATGTTTGTACTTCAGTGTGTAAATACAAGATGTCCTTTCTTCATTAGTATCTGTCCTTATGTGTGACATCACTGAGCCGTGAAAGTAATGCAAAGTGCATTCTGTTTACAGAAATAACAATATATATGTAATAGTCTAAAGAGAACAAGCTGACAGGTCGATACAAGAAACATAATAATGGATGCAGGTGAAGAGAAAAGAAAAGGTTTCAAAATGATGGAAGCGGTTTGAAGCAACGGAAGTGAATGTCTGGGAGCGGTGGTACTCACGCGCCCTCGTCTCTGAGCAGGGACAGGAACTTGGTCACTCTGTAATCCGCTGGCATCTAGAGACGGTAAAAGAAAGCAGAAAGAAAGAGGTGGTGAAGACCCGGGACGGCAACAACATCTTTACTTTCATGATTGTCCAACACCTTCACACATCACAGCCTCGCTGCTTCGGTGAGTCTCCTTTACCTGCAGTGACATCTCGATGAGCACGAGGAGCTTCTTGATGCCGATCCACACCCGCTTCCCTTTGAGCTGGTGCGCGATGCTGGCTCGCTCTTTATCTGTGAAGCTCCCCAACAGCTACAAAGACAACAAAGGCTTTAGAGAGGCAGAGATCTTCAATACTACCTTCGAAAGCAAAATAAAGACAGATCTACCGTGGAAAACAAGCTTTTTTAATTACGTTTACGCTGATTACGAAAGTATTTTTTTTCCACACAAAGGATTCAGAGTCCGTCCTTTTGAGGCTGTGTGCTCATGAGAGTGGGGGATGGTAATGCAGCACCGTTAGCAAGCAGCCGAAGGTGTTGCCTCACGCAAAGTGATAAAGTGCAATGATTCTGCACATCTGCGTGAGTACCTCTAAAGAGTCGACGAGTTGCTCCCCGGTGGAGATGTTGGGGACATGGATGGTGGTGCTGAAGGCGTCTAACATCTCCATCTCCTGCAACACGTCCTTCCTGCTGGTGGTTCCGATGATAAGCAGCTTCCGGCCCTGCGGCAGGAGGAAACACTTTTATCCTAAAACCAAAGGCGCAGTGTAGATTTCCATTTCAGCAGATTCATCCCAAGTTGTGGCTGGATAAGTCTGAGAGGACCATGAGGGCCGTGCATCTAGGGCACACTTTACCCGTGTGTGTGTGGGTTGGTGATGAAGCCCCACGCACACCCTTCTCTTTTGTCGAAATGAAGCCGAGTCAGAAGATTTTGGTGTAACACAACTCTTACCTGTGGCCTCTCCAATTTATCTTCTTGGTTTGGGTCTTTCTGTGTTGACTTGCATACAATTTTTACTTTGTGGCGCCTATTCTCAAACAGAGAGTGTAAGCAGTAGCTCCACTGCCAAAGCGTTGAATTATTTTGGTAATATACAAAGCTAGTTATTGGCATATCTAAAATATGGATAAAGAGAATGAAGGTGAAATTAAAAAAAATTATTTCACTGGCCGGTTACATTTGAAATCACCAATTCCGACACAATGTTGAGTCAAGACAAAAGGGTCAATTTCTCATTTATTTAAGTGAGTCTCTGCTGAATGACCCGCGCATAGCAATGGCAACAGCGCGTTTTCAGCTTTCAGATGAACTCTGACCTTTGGCGGAGCTTTCTTCAGCAGCACCAGCAGAGCCTGAAGCACGAGGTTGGAGAAACGAGGCCCGATGGGGACGTAGTCCAGCAGACGCTCAATGTCATCCACCACCACGCAGCTGAGCTGCGACTTGTAGGCGTCATCGAAGACCTGAGACGAAGGAGTGAGGAAATGGACAAAGGAAAGACAGGCAGGGAGAACGACTCCATGAGCTGTCCAAGTGCATTTGTCTCATCGTATGCTGGTGGGGCGGTTGAAGCAGCGCTTACCTTTTTGATCGCCTGGCACTTGGAGATCTCCGAGTGTCCGATCATCTTGTCTGGAGAACAGATCTTAATGAAGGGGAACTCCGAGTCCTCTGCAATCTGAGCCGCCAAGGCCGTCTTTCCGCTGTGGGGTGGGCCTGGGAGAGGAGGGGTACAATGTACTGTCTGCGTTTGTGTAGCTACTCAGTGGGGTGAAATCAAATGTTGTGTGATTCCTCATTTACCATAATCTCTAAAACGGAGGCCACTATAGCCACAATTAACGTAAATACGTTGGGTGGAAATGGACCGTGGTTGTACATTTTCTCTATTTGAAGGGTACCAATCAAACTGGGGAATTGGATTCAATCTTGAGCAAAGTTGGACCGCATCAACAATTTTAGCAAAACAAATTGATATAACATTCTCCTTAATTGGAACATTACGCATTAAAGTGTTTGTTTTAGTGTATCTTTGCTCTGTTTTTCTGTGTGTGTTCGTTCTTCTCACCCTCCAATAGCACAGCCACCAGCGGTGTGCGATCGCTGTTCTTGGTCTGCTGCACCAGCAGCATTCCGTCGTCCAGGACGTGAGTGACCGGGTCGCCCCATTTGATGATGCCGTTCATGATGTAGTTGGAGTAGTCCTCCTGGTTCGTACCAAACGCCTGGATAGAAAACATAAAGTGTGAGGAACTTTGTTCCGCCTTTACCGTGTTCAGGATTAAACCGTATTCTGCAGCCAGGGGCATAAACTGTAAAACAACTTGGTACGTACAGGTTTGATGTCGTTGTTGAGGGATCCCATAAAGTCACTTCTGGTGACCTGCAGCTTCTCGGCCTTCTCCATGTCCACTTCCACTGTAGAGGTGGCCTGGAGAAGATTTCAAGAGACCTTCACGTTTTGTACATTTAGTGTTTTACAACTCAGCCTGTGAAAATGTATTAAAATGTAAAGTTTTAAAATGAAGGTCCTTTTTCTACTTCTAAGGACTCCGTTGGGGAAAGGAACTTGTCCAGTGGTGTTTGTTGCGTTATAAAACTAGGTGAGAAGTCCCTGATTTGAGGTCTTTTTTCGAGACAAGAATCAAAAGGTTATTTTTCAACACTATTGTTTTGCCTTTTGGAATCGTGTTAATATGTTTAAATATTTACCAGGCAGCCCGGTTGCCATCATACTTTATGCGACGTATACGGTTAGTAAAATGTTACCCAAAAGTAATTTAACTGTAGGCTACACAAAACTAGCAAGATAGCTAATCAGCTAACAAGCTAATCTGCTAGTAAGATCCTTTCTTTCCAGCATGCTACTCTGCCAGCATACTTTAACATTATTTTAAACATTTTCATTCGCACGACTTCAGTGTAAAGGCACCCCGAACAAACCCTAACGCAAGGTTTGAGTATTCGAAGGTTTAGAGTGACCTTGATGTGTCGGTTCATGGCCGTGGACTGAGCGGCCCTGACCAGCCCCTCCAGCTCGGCACCGCTGTAGTTCTTGGTTTCGGTGGCCAGTTCCTTGATATCGACATCGGGGGCGAGCAGATTGAAGCCTCGCATCTTGTTGGTGTGGATGGTCAGGATCTGGACACGCCCCTTTTCATCGGGCAGACCTGGGGGGCGAGAGGACGAGGAGGAGAGGCGTGAGGACAAGATGGACCCGGGAGGGGAGAGAGGGATGGGGCAGAGCAGAGGAGGCAATGAACATCCGAAAGGTCAAATGAGTTAAATGACCTTAACTAAAATAAATATATGAAATAGTTTTGCAGAACATCCACAGTAGTTAAAACCACACTGGTTCTGTCGACGAAAAGCCAGTGGGATTTTTCCATTTTTTAAATAAATTATCGCCAATAATGAGCTCTGTAGAAAACACACGTTTATTACACTTACACATTTTGTTCAGCGGGATAATCTCCATAAATGAACCCCACACATGACAGCAAGCGGACAGAAGAAGGCTGCTTAGGCTTACTAATGACAGTATTTAGGCTGTCATTTCACGGCTTGGTATTTTCACACTTCAAAATTCCCTAGAGGGGAATTTATTTATTATATTTATTGATGCACTTCATATTGTAGGACACAGTAATACATTGAACTATTTCAAATTTCAAACTTGTGTTAACCACAGACCTTATTGCTGGCATCTAACCGAGAAACCGAGAAAAGGAATCAGAAGTGCAAAATTGCTGACTCATTCCAGGTTTTGAGCACTCAATCCGGCACCACTCTCCTGACGCGTGGACACGGCTACCTCATCATCAATCAGCATTGAGCCAACTGGGAATGTGCCGAGGGAAATGGGCATAACTTTGATGTCAACCAGAATGTCAAGCCGAGTGGTTTGTAGAACGAGGCAGATCAGACCAAGAGAGGAAGAAAGAGGAGGGGTCCTGAACACTTACTAATTTCCATCTTGACCTCAAACCTGCCGGGCCTCATCAGGGCATCATCTATCAGGTCGGGCCTGTTGGTCATTCCTGCGGTGAAAGAGGAAACGTCAGAGATTGAGAGAAGGCCGACGGGTGTGGGTGATGCTGTCTAACATTCACTGTATGAAATGAATTGCAGATGTTTTTTCATGAACTTTTTTTTTCTTTTTCTAATGCACGTGTCAAAAGTATGTTGTCTGATCCAAAACCCAGAATGTCTCGTACACCATGATGAAATGTGGGGGATCAGTTCCCTCTGACGCTACTGACCGATGACCAGGATGTTGTTGAGTTGCTCCACGCCGTCGATCTTGGACAGCAGCTGGTTGACCACGGTGTCGTGCACGCCCGTGCTGCTGGCGCCCGTGCCTCTCTGCTTGCAGATGGCATCCAGCTCATCGAAGATGATGATATGGAGGCCGCTGTTGGCTCCCAGCTGGGGGCGCGGTGAGTTTTGAAACGTTTTGTTCATTTCTTTTTTGGACTTGAACACATGCAAAAAGAGCACATTGAGAATCTCCCCTCACCCTCTTCTGCTCGTCCTCTGCGTCAGCAAACAGCTTGCGGATGTTTGCCTCGGACTCTCCAACGTACTTGTTGAGGATCTCGGGGCCGTTGACGACCTTCGGCTCACGGGCGTTGAGCATCTTGCCGATTTGCCTCGCCATCAGTGTTTTACCACAGCCAGGAGGCCCAAACAGCATGATGCCCTTCACGTGCTTACACCCTGGGAGGGAGGAGAAAGATTTAAAGTAGAAGAGAATCAGAAGGTCATGAGAGAAGGGGATACAGGTGTATGAGTGTGAGAAAAGCCAGAAGGAGGAGAAACTAAATTGATAAAATGATGAGAATGCCAACAGTATGTTTCTGTGAGTGTAAATGTGTTCAATTGACTCATCATCCCAGAGAACATTTGTAAATTCACAACTTCAATTTGGGATACTCTATTTTATAATATTGCATGCCTTCATGTGATCATTACCTGGTTGGTTAAATAAAAAATGAATTTACAGCCAAATCAAATAAGCAAATGAAAGTCCACCCATTTCATACACTGAGTGTCGTACGAGGCCAGAGAAAGTTATAGGCTCACAAAGAGAGTAGAAAAGTCAACAAAACGATGGTGGGCGTGCAATATACTGACAGAAACAACAAATAACGTAAAAGGCCGAGGCACTCCGGCGTGGTAAAATTATGAAAAGGTCAACCAGGATCGAGAAAGAGAGGCTCTCTCACCCATCTGCTCCACGATGTCTGGAGGGAAGACTCGGGAAGCAAAGGCTCTGCGGAAAATGTCGGAGAATTCCCTGTCCAGACCTCCGATTCCCATCTTCTCAAAGTTCCACTCTGGGTTGATGATTGTCTGTCGTGCTTCCTTGGTCTTTGCCTTCCCTGTTAGGAGACATAGGAGGACTACTTGACAGGCAACTCACAGGGATACGCTTGGGAAGCGAGTGACTGTGTGAGGATTTCAGGTCACTGTCAGATGGGAAGGAACAGGGGAGTTCTGTAGCTCGATATATAATTAAAAACCCTTCAAATAAAAGCCATGTTTGATCTCCAAGTCCTTTTCTTGTTGCTGAGCACATTGTGGAAGACGAGGCAACAGTGAGAGAAGTGTTCTTACTGCCATCCTGTGGATAAAATAGACTGTCGCATGAAGCCTCCACTGCCTTTCATGCATCACTCTGGGTTTACCATTTACCATTTATAGCAGCGAAATATATTTTAAACTTCCTCTCAGGATTGACAAATACTGCAAAGAAAAAAAGCTTCTGACGATAGTTTAGCTTTAATTATTGTCTTCCCCATGATGCCAGATCCTGAGCGCAATCACATTTTGGTAAAGTAAGGATCTTACCAACTAGCGTGAGGGATGAACTCTCGGCCTTCTCGAAGATCACCTGGCTGTTTCCTACCATCAGTCCGATGTCGATCTGTCAGAAAAAACAGCGTTAAACTCGGTCTCCATTCGGATATATGCACCAAGACTGTATGCATCAGCGCTCCCTCATTTAGCCACAAGCCAGCACTGATTGCATCAAATGATGAATCTATTTATTCTGTGGCATTTTCAGTGTCAAATATTTCATTTCTATGGATTCTGCTGAATTTAAATCTCTCTTATGCTTGAAAAGTCTTTCATTTCCAGTAAAGATATGATGGAATATTATGTAGTAGCATTTTCAAGCATAGTTAGAATAGTTTACACTGAGACTCAGTTTCAGTTTTCCGTCAGTTTTCAACCATCACTTTACCAGCAGCATTGTAGGAGCCTCTGAGTGGATTTCTAGCGACCCTCAAAAATCTGCCACTACTTTCATGTTCTCATTGTGGGGGGGCACAATAAATGCTCACGTACTAAATATCTTGTCACATGCAACCCTACACATAAGACACAGAAAAAACTCCATAGCAAACCCACTTTATCCACAGCATGGAGCCAAAAAGCCTGATTTTGAAAAGGCTTGTGAACGGTTACACTTTAATCTTTTGAGAATACATCTCAAATCATCTGCATGCTGGTCGGATACCTTCTGTTTCTTTCCAGAAGCTGGTTCTCCTCTGAGGATGCTGGCATCCATGGCCTCGATGTCTTTAACCATCAAGCCAAACAGCTTGTCGCAGAAGGTGAACACTAGCTGAGAAACGCAGAGAAGCAAGAGGATGATCAAACGTGTGGAGAAGACATTAGGACAGGACATGTTGCAGGTTTGTGGACATCCACCTGCTGGGTAACAGAGAAGCCCTGGTTGTTGAACTGCTGGATAAACTCGGCGGCCATCTTGTCCGAGTCGTAGGGGGAGGAGTCAGTACTCTTCTTCTGCAGGAAGTCAATTTCGATTGTCATGGCGCCAATGCACTGCTTGGACTTGTCAAAGTTGTAGTTGGCCACTGAGGGGACAGATGCATTGCACATGTAATAAAAATAGACTAGAAATACATTCAAATAGAATAATAAAGTAAGTGGAGATTAACTGTTTGGGGGTGTCGGACCCGAACATGTGTAGGGAACGTATCAAATAGTTAAATAATGTAATGCAAATGTCAGCAGGTCAGGCGACAATGTCAGGTCGTTAGGGAGAAATAAAGGAAGCACAGTTTCAGAAATAAGTAACTACGGAGGTCACTAATGTCAAAGCTAATATCAATTATTGCAAAAGAGCAATTGGAGTCTGTTCAGAGCATTTTGCAGCGATCAAATAGAGAACGTTTTACCTTCCACTTCCTGGCCGATGGAGAGGCCGGCCCACTTCCTCTACAAGAGAGATGAACACAGAGAGATAAGGAAGGGCGACAAACTGCAGGCTAATTAGCAAAGTGTGTGCGAGTGCACGTGTGTGTGTGTGTACCTGTGGCAGGCTGAAGGCGATGCTTCCAGGGGCCACGGTGTGGTGGGTCTTCACTGTGAACACAAACTTGTGGTTGGGTGTGGTTTTCACCGTCACATGTCTGCAGAGGCAGGAGGCAGAAGGTTATTACACATGTCATAATTGTTTATTTGGGGCTTGCACAGTGCTGTCACTGATGTAACTACTATTTGCAATGCGACACTGCTTCGTGATCTTAAAAATAATATGTCTTATTGACCTTTCCCCATTTAATATGTTCTTTCACCTCAACTTTACTATAACTACCCTCTTTCTATTCTTTCTGATGCATGTTAATGCGATACCTTGCCACTGTTTCTGTGTTGATATTAAAGCAGATTATTTTTGGGGCATGAAATAGTTTGCGTCTTGGCAGACGACTGCTTATTCTACATCTAAGAGACATGAAGTTACATTAACCTCCATTTACAGTTTGTGGCTGGCATCCTGACAAAAGTCCACTATCCAGTCTGCTTTTTGCTCTGGTTGGTTCTGCACCAACTCTTTTTACTCTTTGATTTGAGCTGCTGCTCCACTACATTCAGAGGCTTGTTGCTGACGTTGTGTCTGGTGCTGAGGAGGGAGCTTTATTCCCCAAAAAACATGGTAAATGTCCAAAATAGAGAAGGAATCACATTCCTTGGGATGACAATATTCTGTGAGTTTGCTAATAAAGACTCTTTTCACATTACATAAAAACAGCTGGTTAGTTTAATTTATTTATAACACACCACTGATCTTTTTACAGCGCTTTAAGTCACATCTCTAGAGTGGAGGAAAGAAAAACACCAGAAGGCAAAATGTCAGTATGTACGCAGCACTATTTAATTATCTTATTTCTCAGAGGCACTATTGACGAGTTGGTTAATCTTCAATAGTTGCTAGGAAACCACTGCTTTCCTCTGGCATAAGGCACCGTCACAAGGCTCATAATATAGTTTATTATAATAAGAGTCCAATCGTGTATAAAACCACCTTCCGATGTTGATGCCTACTGCAGGAATGCTGCTTTGTGGCAAATAATGACAACAAGGCAACTACAAATGTAGAAGAAAGTCCAGATAACAGATCGGTTAACAGGCTCCCACTTAAAAACAAGTATAACTTTTACTTGTTCTGATATCCAATAGTCTACGGCTAATTCTTAAAATAATATAATGTTTACAAATGCATGTTGGCCGATAGTATCAAGCAGCAAGTAACACCACTGTTGACTTGCTGTATTTATTTATTTAACTCTAACCCCTAATCTCATACAGAGGCTCTGTAATGGTGAAATAACATTTTATAGGAATGAATTTCTATTTGAAAAACTGCCTGAGTCCAAATGATCTATTAACTCACAGGAGACACACAGGAAACTTCAGAATTTGTCTGACGGATGGATCTTTATTCACTGATCAGGAGTGTGTTCAGATATTGTCAGTCAGCTTCAGGACCAGTTGCCTTTTTAATCATGAGGTGAAAACAATTGGTATCGTTTTTTCTACATTTACTTCTTGCGCCTGTAGTCGGCACTGTTACAATATCCAGGAAAAATAACCTTGATGATCAGACTCTTTAAATCCTGCGGCCTCGTGCCAGATTAGTGACCTTCCGGACTGTGAGGTGGGTGGATGGACGAGAGAATACTTTGGCGTGTGCGTCTGTGTGGACTAAGAGGCGACAACGATTACTCACTGTCCTGACTGCAGATCCTTCTCGTTCACCACGGCACAATTAGTCAGCGACAGCTCATCGGTGGGGCATCGCGCCGCTTGCATAGTCTGCGTCAGAGAAAGAGGAGGAAGAGCAGGAGGAGGAGGAGGAGGAGGAGGAGGAGGAGAAGTTTAACAAATGTTTATGGCATAATGGTAACTCACCCTTTAACAAAATAGTGATTGAACTTGAAAGCACAAACAAATTGAAATGTGCTGAATCACCATCAGCTCGGTCAGAGTGAGAAACCTTACGGAGAGATTCACCGTCCATTTTCATTTTCCCTGTTTGCAGAGTCAGCACTTCTCTTGACACGCAAACACTGAAACTGTGTCTGTTGTCAGAGCAGAGACAAAGACACAAGGCCGCTTCCAATCACTTGGAAAATAAAGAATAAAATACTGTAAGCAACACGAACCAAGATAACTATAATTTTGCCCACTTGGGTGCAGAGGAAACAAGTTGTGTAAACACCACAACATTTACACATAAATACTTAAATTAGAAGATTAGAATTAATTCACAGTGACTCCTCTGACCAGCTGGGGATATTTTTTATAAAGTAATTGAAATATAATTAAATATAAGAATTTATTTGATTTAGTTTTACTTTTGGAGGAATTTTCACTGAGTAATTTAAGATGAATGTATTAGTATTTAGGAATAAATGATAAAAAATTTCTAATATATATTTTCCAAATATTTCTTCCACCACTGTAGAGGATGAACAGTATTAAGCAAGAGGAATGAAAGAAAGCGTACTGCAGGAATGGTGATAAAATCAAAATCTCCGTCCTATAATTAGACAAGTGAGAAATCAGGGGCCCGTTGGGGGGGGTAACATGTAATATGATTGCAGCGCCATTGGGTGAGAGTACCCGGGGATACAGGTCATGTAATACAACCTGAATTAGGAGCCTATCGATTTCCCTTCTGTTCTGACATGAGCCTTTGAGCCTTTCTCGTGCTTTAGGAGTACTGTGGTACAGGATTGAATATTACCCCACACTGCCGTGTGAATGAAGCTGCCTTGGCAGTACAGCCCCTGGAGCATAAAGGTGCAGAAGAATCTGCCGCAAGGTTCAACAGACTCCAATGCACAGCACTGCGAGGGGTTACCATGGTAACTGCATTAATCCGCCAGAGCCTGAGCCAATAAATCGGGCTTTACTGCCGGCTGGTTCATCACAGGATGAATACCAGAGTCGAGGCAGCGAAGGTTCTTCTGCCACTAATTGTTTTGTTGCAGCGAGGCTTCGCGCCGACGACACCGGACCTGCTCTCACCGCCGCCGCTGATTCCTCCGCCGCGCTTCATCTTCAACTGCTCCCTTGAAAGCTCAAACCACCCGGCAGTTTGGGGAAACCACAACGCCCTGTTTTTTCATTTAAAAAAATGCATCTGAACCGCGACACACGCAAGAAAAATAATGATCATTAACAATGATCTAATGAATACTGGAAACATTTAAAGAGAGTTTTTGTGTCCAGAGTAGTAATATATATATAATTAATTAATTAATATAATTATATATATAATTAGTAATATATAACAAATATTAGTAGGTAACTTTGTCTGTCTGTTTAGCGAGCAGCTAGCATACGGTAGCCTTTTCCCTGAGAAAAGCTCGAAAGAATAAAAGAAAACATCTCGGGAGATGAACATTGAGCTGAAACTCCGGTAATCTGAGGGAGAGACACAGATTTATGTGATAAATCTCTGTGCCTCCATCACTATGCATTGTTACATTGCTACTATAACTGTATTGATTGGAGCTGAATGTAGACAAACGTCCATCTTAGGCAGAGCATTCTGCAGTTATCAAAGCCCCCCCCCCTGCACCAAAACAGCACAGAAAGGCTTTTTAGCAGCAGCGAGGCCTCATTAGGAAGTAAGCCATGGATAGACATCCAAAACTGCTTTAGAGGAGAAATTCCAGATCACAATTACATGCAAAATCCGGTCAGCAACTAATCATTTGCCAAATCCCTGCAGAATCCATAACTAATCTCTGAGGATTCTTTGCCACGAGTACAAAAAGACAAATAATGACAGTGATGTTGACTTCAACACTGGTAACAAAGTGCACAGGCAGTTCTACTTTTCACAGCCACCTGAAGTATTCTCATTTCTGCATCATTACTATTAAACTACCTGTTGGTGGCGGATTCATTCTCATCATTAATCAATAACATGTAAATGTAACCGAGTCGGCCCAATAAATGTCGTCATTGTTTCTGCAAACCCTGAGGTGAACTTGACATGCGTCGAATGTGGAGGTTTCTGTGATGAAATCAAACGTCAGCGTCCTGGGTGGACGTCCTGTGTTTGTTGCGCACACACAGCACACACACCGTCCTCCCTCAGTGGACTTCATCACACTTCATGCAGCATAATTACACGTCAGAACCGAGACGGAGAGACGCCATGGTAACATCACCTGCTCCCCGTAGTCTGGCCAGACAGAGGTGAAACGGAGCCTCAGAGGGGCCTCTCACTCATAATTAATGTCAAATCTTTCTGGATTCCTTTAATCCAAACAGCATCCTAAAAGATGAGCCTCATCTAAAATGAGTTTTAACGAGTTTCAATGAGTTTTTGAGACATGAATGCCGAGTCCACCATAATATAAACATAACTCATGCAGAACAATTGAGGTTTTCTTTTTTGGTGGCGGCTTTGAAGCAGAGGGACAAGCGGTAAACACCATGTTCATCACCTCAGGTTGTGTTGGTAAACGTGTAGCTTCTCCTACGTTTAAAATTAGCTGTCGAGCTGACTGTCAGTCTTCAGTAGAATAAATGAATAAACAAACAAATATAATGACCCGTTGAAATTTAATAACGCAGATATTATCAAGTACACCTGTTTTCTGTTAAAAAGGAAGAGCCATTGATTGAGGAATGAAGAACAATCCTCTGTGGAACACAAAATAACTGTGATTCATTATGGTTAACGTGTGGTAATGGAGGTTGATGGAGGTTGATGTGTGGCACACACATCCACAAGTATGAGAAATACTTAGGATATAAATACACCATCGCCGTGGTAAACTCCATCCCATCTAGGCTACCCCAGAAAACATCTGGGTAACCTAGAAAACGGTGCATATTCAAGTATCATAACATGTATTTTAAGCAGCGGACGTCACAAATAAACACAGCAGTGAAATCGTGTCTTCAGAATCCACTGAGCTTTGATAGTTAGACAGAAAAAGGGGTAAATTGCAGCAATCAGGCTCTAAGGGTTTTTAACTTGCCTCCACAAGCGGTGTCACAACCATTTCTACAGCTCCAACTACCACCACAATGAAGTCAATGTGAGGGTTAAGGAAGGTGTTGCATCCAACACGTTCCCACTTCCAACCCGTACGCTCGCTCAGGATCCTTTGGCATCATTTTTCCAAGTAGCCCAATAGACTTTAACACATGGTTACATGCACATGTTATGCCATGTGCATGGTGCAAGCTTAAAAGGTTACGTGTTCACGGTTCACGGATGCTAATTAGTTAGCATTTCAACACGTGACGTGACGTCTGACACACGGCAGTGCACTGGATTGCGTTGGCACGAGACCCACCGGCGCTGTTAGTGTGTGCGTGGGTGCCTTTGGATTTATCCTGAAAAGCTAGCCAACTATCCGCCCTGCGGCGGGGGGGTAAGCGGGAGAGGGGGGGCAGTAACGCTTTGTAACCATCTCCAGTCAGAGAGCCCGGAAACGCGCAAACGTCATGACGAGGAAGATAACAACTTGTTTCAGAAGAATTTCACTAATGTGTAACCATACATACCTTGAAAAATATTACGACCTTGAGGGCACCAGCGTGGGCAAGCAGAGAGGAAGGACAGAAGACAGTATTTGAGACGCAGGGGGACTTAGAGCAGCGAGCTGGGGAGCGGAGCGGTGGTGGATGAAGACGGGTTTTCATGCACACAATGAGTTCACCTGGTGTGCTGACAAGCGCATGCAGACCCGAGTGGGGGGTTGTTTTTCATCCAAAACCACCTCTTTATTTTTCCAACCATAGAACCAATTTTGTCTTTTTTTTGCCTTGTGGCAAATTTACAAATTGTCCATTTACAAAAATTAGAGCCCGGATCTTGTAGCGGCCGGATGATGCGAGTCATTGTGCAGAGTGCCGTGCCAATAAGCTGTCAATCATCTCTTCCCCACATTACAGACAGCTGTCTTCTTGTGGTCGGAGACATGGATGATGGAGGAAGGAATCAGCTGATGCAGTTCTCTGATGGGTGAACTGTTAATGGATGAGATGCGATGTGTCATTAGTGTGACCATACTGGACAGGGGAACCATCACTCAATCCATACATCAGTCGGGGGTGATTACAGAGACAGTGGACCATTTCTGATTGACTCCACTCATGTCGCTCTGTGCATTAGTGTACCGTTAATCTGTTGGGACGCTCAGGAGGGGACCAGTTAGCATTAGCCTGCATGCTCAAACACACCAGAAATCACAGGGGGGTGGAACAGTGTCAGAAGCAAATACATTCTCTTCTCGGTTAAACGTTTTAACATGTAGTCATGTTAACATCAGTTGTCCTGCGTGGATTTTTTGTTTGAATTATTGCCCCATTTTCCAAGTGAGGTGTGTCTACCTTTGCCTCGCGGAAGCTCTGAGCTACCTGAGGAACACGGACCTTGTTACGGAATCCAAACTATTATTATTTTGAATCACATGTTCAATGAAAATCATTATGGGAAATACCATTATTCATTTTTCTTAGGGGAAATTATTGATCCCACTCTCGGGGATTAGCTGGGTCTGAAAATCTGCCTGCCAGCAGGTAGAAGCTCATTGATTATCAAGCTATATCTCTCGACATTTTGCAATCAATCACAGCTATTTAGAAGTGTAAATTTTGAATGAATTTTTGGTACATTCCCCGGATCTTTTGGCGATGAGATCGTCCTTCCTAGGTTCCATCCATCTATTCCTCCTTTGCTTCCTTCCCTCCTTTCCTTCTGTTCCTAACATGTTCAGAAAGTGTCCTCTGATTGGGTGTTTTTTTTCGTTAGCCGCTGCAATCCCATTTGGACTAATCGCTCCGTGTCCCTCCTCAGGGCCGGTGACAGATCCGTGGTTCGGACTGATGCAGACAGCCCCCCCCCCTCCCCTCCATCACTCTAAATGTTCCAAGCATTCCATTACAATAAATTATTCATCCTGCTGTGTCGTGGGCGGCGGTGTCCAGTCTGATGCAGCACTGGCGATCGATGGGGAGCAGCGGAGCTCCGCTGCATCACAGCCGAAGATCTAAGATAGTGACGCTCCTGTTGCGTCGCACTAACAAAATAAACCATGAAGATGTTTCCAGTCGTCATGCGTCGAACGGAAAAAGCCATCTCTGAACATGGAATGGAACCTCTCAACCTCTCGCCTCACTCATCCCAAAAAGCGATACCTCAACCAATGTGTTTGCATCTGAGCCGCTGCGATCCCATTTGGAAGAACTGCGGTCCGGCTTTTGCTTTCACGCAAATTTAATTTGAGCCAAGCTAAGCTGTTAATTGGTCTGTGTGCTTTCTCAACTGGAAGTTGTGTTTTGGTTCTCATGCACTCACATGTATAAACACCACGAGAGAGGCGCACACAAGCCTAAAAGCCTAAACCACTTAATACGCTGCAAGCACTGGCACATGTCTGATTGGGAACAAACAATAAAAAGTCAGTTTGCAAACACCACAAACCAACTTGGAACAAAATATGTCTTTATATTTAAATGTCTGCTATTAAGAAGGTCTTTATCAAAGTTCATTCCATTGTAAGCATTGCAAAGCATGAAAAGACGGGACAAGTAAAGCAGAGTAGAGACGTGCAAAGCGCTTCAAACCGTGAGTTACTCAACACTGGAAAACACTTTCCCCAACTTTAAATCGCAGAATCCATATTCCATCCAGGGGAAAGATTAACACACACACACAATCCCCAAAACACAGTGTGCGTACAGCGAGTGTGTATCAGAGTGCGTTAGCTGGTGCGTTGTGAAGGCCGCCCCACAGCAGACTGGCTCTCTAAATATAGCTCCAGCTCCGAGCTCACAGAGGAAGGTCCTGAGTCCAGACAGCCGGGGATTAACCACTACTCTCCCCCCGGTTCACACGTACACACACACACACACACACGCACAAACACAGCCACTCACACACCAATCGCAGAATACCTTTGCTGGCATGTACATCAAAATCTCACAGGATTAGACTGTAAAACATCATGTATTGTTAAAGATTGATATTAGCCTTTTCTCAGGTGACACATGCATCCTGAGTTGGTGAATTAAGACTCATGGTTAATGTTAACAGATATCGGTTTAAATAACATTTGTCTCAGTGAAGGTCCGTGCTGATCAGAAATTTCCCCAGAAAGTCTGGAAAATTAGCCAGCTAAGGTTATCTTAGAAAACGTTAGATTCCTGTTGTTGGCGATTATTTTCTCCACTGACAAAATAGTCAACAGCAGCAGCTGCGTTGGCGAGATATTTATGGTGTGTGCTGCCGAACAAAAACACATTTTGAGGGTACAAAACCTAAAAGCTTTATTCCGGACTGAGTTGGATATTCCCTTTAGCTAATTCGTCTTATAAGGAAGTCTTTGACCAATGGGAAGATTTGCGGCACACTTTTAGTTGTGTCCAGTTACACGAACACGCTCGCCTCATTAGAGAGGAGAGAAAGACGGAGCCCCCTCACTCGCTGCATCGCGCATGTAGGCGTCTTTTTTTACTGCTGTGACTGTAAAAGCCCTCCGGTTCTGTCTACTTATTCTGACCCTATTAGATCAATGGGGCTTTCCTTGAAGCTCACAAACACCTGCTTACTGGTGGGAGACCAAATATGCGTCGAGCAGTGAAGAGAATTTCAATGTAATACCTGATTCCCGTGTGTGGGAGGATAAAGAATCAGAAGTTGACTACCTAATGGGTTCGGGGACGTCAGGTTTGGTATTTGGGGTAATTGCCTCATGGAATGCCGCACAATCTGACTTTTGTTGCAAGCGGAGCAGTCCAGTGATTTAATTGCACACCCTGGGTGCAAGAATCAGGAAAGTACACTTTCTTCTAGTTAACTCCAGTTATTCTGTCCAAATAAGCAGTATGATCATTATTTAGGGAGTTTCTGAAAGTGGTAATGTGAATTGTCACATTGCCTTGTGAATAAGGCGTTGTTAGGCCCAACGCGCAGCCTTTTCAGCGATCGCCACCGAGCTAAAAGCTAAAATGTCAACTAAGTCGCGCAGAATCTAACCTGCTACTTTGAGGGCGCAGTGATACGGAATCAATGTGTACAGCAACTGTACATTATCGCATTATTCAACTGTGCATTATCGCTCAATAATGTGACTCACTCTCAACCAATCAGAACACTGGATTTTATCTACCCGTATTATAATATACTATATATTTCCCTCCATTACAATAACTACTGGTATATATTGGACGCGCGTGACTCTGACAACCAATATGTCTTCAAACACAGTGAGAAAGAGAAAATAAGTGTTTTTTACACAAGTGATGAAACCAAAACAACCAATAATTTGTCCTTAAAAGGCTTTTTCATCCAAACAAATGAAATATGACCCAAGCTAAGCATACTTCCAAATGCCATCTGACTCTCATTGTCACCACTATGCAAATAAAACAGTGTTCTTCTTCGGCCATAAAAACAACGACAACACTTGTGACGCAGGTTGGGAATCATGGTGTCACTGTGTTTGTTTAACCCTGATTCCCTCTGACAGGTTGAATTACGCCCAGCAACAGTAGGTCTATGTCGTCTGCTGGGCAAGTGAGGGTGAAGGTTGTGTGTGTGTGTGTGTGTGTGTCTCATCCGCCGGGAGAGTCGAACAACACCCCGGCGGACACTTTTGACTCATGCTGGACGGCCAAGAGGAGGAATGTAACATCGCATCTCCTCACTCACCCATAAAAAGACACACACTAAATTACAAAATCCAGTCTGAGCTTAACAACAGACAAATAGGTTCATTCATTCATTCATTGCATCTGGACGTGTTTTAGGGTTTGGGTTGTGTACCCTCAATCACACGATACCACAGTGGTCCCCTGCAGTCTGCTGAGTCCAGTCTTATCTGGAACTACGCACCCCCCCCCCAGCAGTATTGACCGAGAACCCAGGGAAGTTGCGCCTCTCGCATTCACAGATCAGTCAGCGGTCAGAATGTTAAACAAAGTGCTGCCGCTGTTGTCTGTCTGGCCTCTGCGGTAAAAACGGATCTGCGCTTCCCTCCAGCTCCAGCTACGTATCTCTGCTTCTTTCGTCAACACACCAGTTAAAAGGCAGTTCGGGGCTAACAGGCGAGAGCTTCACGGAAAGAGTAAGTGTTGCCTTTGCGGTCACAAGGAGAGGACTCTGATGCAGGGTGCGCGCGCAGGGCGATCAGGGCTCTTTGGATGAAAGCTTGTTGAACTTGTGAATGAGGTTGTTCAGATGTGCTCGCCTGCTCTGACAGAATATGAATGAACGCCCTGCTGAAATGGTCTGAATCTACCAGCATAAAAAAGGTGGAGGATTTATGTTCACTGTCATGAATGAGGACAATATTCCTGTATAACGCTGCGGCTACGAGGACCTTGCATCCTGACTGTATTAACCCTGCAGAGCGACGTCGGCGGGGGTCTTTCACCAAACCTCCATAATAGAGAATGGGAGATGAACAGGAGTTACATCACACCTTTGAAAGGATGAAATGATGCAGTCTGGATTAGAACCCACTTGGAGTTCTCACCTCCCCAAATGTAATACACATTGTTTTGTTTGGTAACACTTCTGATACGATGCTGCAGACAGCTGCTTGTTATTGCGCAGCACAATGACAGGAAACAAGTGTCAGCGTGGAGCCGCAGGAAGTAAACGTCCCCAACCTTGAAACACTTGATCAAACATCATCCGTGCATCAACTTTGCCTTTCATGATGGTTTGAAGCCCCCCCCCCCCCCTCTTCATCTGGCATACGAAACCATGATCCTGCCGGTCATCCCCTGTCCTGCTCTCTTTATTAATCAGTGGATGAGACACGAACGATCGGTCGCCGTCGGCTACCTGACATCATCCGTCTCCTGTACGCGACGACTGCGCACACGAGCTCCAGAGGAACGCGCACGCACACAATCCACGCCACGTCATAATCCCCGTTTCTCGGCGAAAGGCATCGAACTCACGCTTGCGTGCAAACGGGTTGTGACTTGAACGCAATTTGGTTCTGAGCTCTCGCATAAAACGTGCACTCGGGAGTTTTTTCTTTTTTTTTTTACATGCGTGGCGCGTGTTTTAACTCGTTGCACGCAGCCGCGTCGGTTCAAGGGCAAGCGGCTGCTCGGGATTTAACCGACGATGCTCCCGGAGAGGGGCGGGGGCTCTGACACTGTCGCTAAAGTGCAGATGTGGAGGAAATGGTTCTTGATGACACGGTCGCGTTTTGGGGGGCGGCAGCATCACGTGAAATAAGCCCCATGTCGCGACGCGGCGTTGACATTCAGTCCCCCTGGAAGGTACCGAGGCTGGTTGATGGGGCACAACGCTCGCCATCGCGCGCCATTTTATTCCCCCTCATTTCCCGGACAGAAACACGGAGGATGTCACATATTTCTGGTTGAATAAATAAAGCAGGTACTGCATCGATGCGTGTATTTCTTACCCGGGCCGCCATCTTCACGGTTGCGGTGGTTGGGTGGTGTAGCCGGGGATCGGGGAGTCGCGCGGCGGCTGGGAGGGACGGTGCACGGGGGAGGCTCGGCGGCAGACGGCTTTATAAGCCGCAGCGCACTTCGCTCTGATTGGCCGAGGCGCTGCGATTAGCTCGCGTGAGGCGGTGAGGGGTGGGTGCGCATGCGGGGAAGGGGTGGGGAGAGGGTGGGGGGGGCATCTTCGCTTCTCTCCGTGATCCTCTGCTGCAAAAAAATAAATAACACTTCACGCGGCCGATTTACGAGAGTGGGCAAAACGCATGAGGCACGTGGCTCACAGAACATGAGCCTAGAATGTCGTCGTCGTTGGAACCAATTTTCCTTTACGATTAAACGCTAATAAATCTGCGGCGACTTCGATTTTATTAGCAGTTAAAATGTGTTAAATATCCGGATACTTTATTATCTTCACCAGCTATTACCGCCCCGTGAAACCACGATCTTTTATGCGGATAAACATCTCCTCGCTCTCTGCTTCAGCACCGCGGACAGCGCCCCGCCGAGCAGACTGACTGATTCCGTGTAACATACGATCTGTACGGATCTGATCTGATCTGATTAGAGTAGTATGATCCAGCCGAGACAATGAATAACATGCATGCTTGCTGTGGACCTTAAAGAAGCCAGTGCACAGGTGATAATTAGACACTGTGGTCAGTTAGATCTGAGCGCCGCCCGCCCGGGACTGACCGTGAAACAAATTCAGCACCATGGACAACGCCGCAGTGAAGCGGAAACAAGAATGCTGTGTCAATTGTACACACAATTACACTCCAAACATGTTTTGTCCTTGTTTATTGACACTTTTGTAATACTGTGTAATTTTGTGTGATACATATTTGGATATTTATTTAATTTCTCGTATTCTCACTTGCATTTTTGTTATCATCATGCTAATATTCTTCTCAGATATTGTCAGATATTGTGTATTCTCAGATATTGTCAGATATTGTGTATTGTATGATTGTGTATTGTATGATGATGATAATAATAATGTATCTACATTATTATTATCATCATCATACATTTTACACAATAATTCATTTTTTATATGTTATTTTGTGCTTGGATTAAATATTAAATATTTCTGGTTCTGTTTTCTGATATTCTTTTAAACTACCCTTTCAACGGTTTATTTTATAACAACTTTTTTTTAAATCCCAGTTGCAGTCGAGAGAATTGCTTGAAGAATCTTAGATCTTGTGTTTCTGAGCAGATTTCAGGTGTACAAGCGACAATGTCAATATTACGCCAACATGATTCACCATAGTGTATCTAGAGTAGCATCTGAAAAACAGAGAAATACTTAGTGTACTGAGCAGATCAGCATGCTATTTATGAACATCACTTCTGATTATGTATACAGTAAGACAAGTGTAATTTAAACTTTTCCTTAAGTGCTTACATGCTGCCAACCTCACCTAGTAATACAATATCAGCACCTTAGCTAGGATTATATCCAGGATACGGATATCCTTGTTGTCTCTCGTGCATCACGGATAGACGCTTTCAAGAACTCTCAAAATGACACTTCATCCTTAAACCTCACCCACTCCCCAGCACCCTCACCTGCAGGTTCCCGTGGCTCCTTTGAACTACTCAGTGCTGCCTTGGTGTGGTCAGACTAAGAACTGTCTCTCTATCCATCTAAAACATCATAACACGTGAAAATAAAAAAGGGACACGTGCTTGTAAATGTTTTTATATAAAGTACCTGTAACAGTTGATCAAATGGTTCTTATTTCTCACATACATATTCATACACCCACATAATAACAGACTGCAGCATCAGCACTCTAATGACACTAGCAGCCGTGACTTTTGTTCAACAAAGATTCTTATATGCACAACGTGATTCACAAATGAAGAGGAAGAGAAATCAAAATAACGTTGTCATCATTATCATAGTTTCGTATGTTACAGTTTTTCTCTTGTACTCGTTGCAAGATAAAATATGGCACATAGTTATGAGTTGCTCAGTGAGCATGTACAGGAGGAGCGTACTTGTACTTCCCTCTCCAATGCAAGAAAAGGGTTCCTTCAGAGATGCATTTCCTCTCCCTTGCATCCTTGTCTCTTTTTGTAAAGATCCTGCACAACTCAAAGGACCAGAAGCAAGTCGAAGCAAAAATAGGGTAAAATATCATGTTTTGCTTTTGCTCAACAGTTCTTTTGTTTCACAGAAAAAAATACTTTGTCTCTCCTCTTGTCCGCCGAAAGCTGTCTTCACATGGTATTAGAGAATTAAAACCTGATCCGTGCGGGTGAGTGGGGCTGTGTTTTGTGTGTCAAATTTAAATTTAATAGAAATTGTACAATTGACCGTTCACTAAATCATTTGATTCTTTAAAAAAAAACATTCCACAAGAGCAAAAGGGCAGTAATAACCTACCTCTACTGAGGTTATAACACTACTTTTTCCTGCACTGCAATACAAGAACGATACTGTTTTGATATAGATTTTTGCCTCATCTACAAAGCTCAGTTTTGCCATACGTTTGGACATGAAAGCTTTAACTTCAGTCATCAAGGGCATATTTAGGAGACATTTTAAAACATTTAAAAGTCAGCCGGCACATATAACAAAGTAAGGTGCAGAATTCATTTTTAATCAAGTCGTTGAGCTAATGTTAGCTTACTTAGAATATAAATACAACTTGCGACACTAACCAAAGGGGGCGGGGCTTAGTGTACGGTCAATTGAGCCTTCAGTTTTACCAGAATCATCACTCCCACATTAAATATGGGTGATAGTCAAACTGCTGTCTTGTAGCAAAAATACACGTTAATGTTTATTACTGTGCCTTCTGTCAGTTTACCAAATCTCTTGATGTGATTTATTTCCCCTAAAGCAACAAACTGCAGTACAACAAATTAAGATCACACAACAGTCATCAGAGGAATGCTACTTGTGCACTCTTCAACCCATCACCAACAGCTCGGAGGACGGACATGTAAACATGCATGTTTACCATGGATTCAATCTTCCTGTGCATATGTGTCTCATTGGATCCAACTCTGCATCAAGGCTACATTATTTTTCACAGCATGGTACCTACTGCAGCCCAGACGGTTTTCACCAGGACACAAAACACAGCGGGAGTCAAAGCATCTGCTGCATCGTGGACACACCCAGCCTGGGAGCGGGAATCACATTCTGTTTTGTTGACAAGCTTTTAAAATCCACCCATTATTTTACTTTTTATCACTTCAAAAAGCAGGTCAAATCGCCTTTCCATAAATCATACATGTTGTAACAGAATGCAGAATGCATTGGATCACTCCAATTTCGTCTCACATTTTTACAAAATGACACATGAAACTTCACCGTGTGTTAGAATCACAAACCCTTCATTTCAATTCTGTGTCCTTTCCATTTGAAAAAAGGTCTCTTTTTTCTAGTCCAACATCTTCGATGCATGACATGGCAACACAGGGGAAAGTGTGTGTGTGATTCCATAATGGTCTTTTCTAGTTCAGCAGGGGGACACTTAGAGTTGGCTCATGTTTCTTTGTGTTTTGTAGGTTTTGCGCTATGAAACGATTAGTCTCTGGAATGATATGGCACAAGATCGCTGCCCTGTTTGAGAAGGCGGAGCTTTTTAAAACTTGAAGACAGTTCATTGGCTTTCAGTTAGACTCAGTGACATGTCGTCATCAAGGCAAGTAATCTCATGAGGCACTCGGTTCATTTTCCTTCTTGTAGTACTTGAATATTGAATATTTAAGTATCTGAAAGCCGTAGTTACAAACTGGAGGTGCAGGGTTTGTATTATGGGAAATTCACCGACAGACATTTGCACGAGATTGGGATTTTTGGAGGCTTTTGCTGGTTTCTGTAAAGGGGAATCATTCACTCTCAGACGGTGTCTTTTAGACCCATAAGCACCATGCAACCAAGACCAGAACAACTACTGCAGAAGGATTGATCCGTGGGCAGGCAAGGATGCAACAAGCCTCTCACACATTTTGTTCTCTAAACTGTCCTTGGGCCGAGTTGCTTGGACGTCACGTCACTGAGTCTAGATTTCAGCAGTTCAGCGTGGCCACCGCTCAGTCTCTTGTGTAAGATCAGGTGCGGTGTGCCCAACAAAAAGCAGCATGCTAAGAAACCTATAGAAGCACTCATGCATGCCAAACAACTCTGTGAATAACTAAGAGATCCGGTCAGCAGACCAGCGAGTCTCTAAAAATGGGACGCCTGGATCGGACCGCACCAGACTGGGGAGGACCAGTAGAGACCGGACTCGAGCAGGTGGAAAGAGAGGGTTAATCTGTGTCGTTTTAGTTTGTTTGAAGAGTAACGAGCAGAGGAGAGAGGACAGAGGAGAGAGAGGAGGGGGGGGGACGCTTCAAACAGCAGAGGAGGTCCCTCGAGCCGAGTGGGCCGCAAGTAAAAAGTCACATCGACACTGGTGGCGTCTGCCCACACACACCTGGAACGTCGTCACATCTTCTTTCATTCCGACGCGTGTGGCCATTGGTTGAAACCGATCACGCGGTCTGCACTTTGAATACGTCCTCCGTGACACAGCAGCACCCGTCATTCATTCAACATGAGCGCAGGGTTCTATCCGTCTTCTTTCTATCTGTCAGTTAACCGTTTCCCCCTGCTCACCTCAGGACAGCACCAAGGAGGACAAAGTGCAGGGGACAAGCAGGAATGGAAGAAATCATTCTCTGTGTAAAATATGGACGGTCAGTATTGCATTTTCCCGTGTTTTCGTAAATGTAAACATCTTACGGCAGGGCTTGTGAACGATTATCAATCTTTGCCCAACGTGTTAGTATTTCATACTCTTAAAAATATATAACTGATTTCCTAATACACAGCAGATTTGACTGGATGTGCCCAAATGTTACCTTGAAAGCACAGTGCTTTGTGATGTGGATGAATTGATCCACTAAAGTACAATAACGCTAAAACAGCGACCTAAATTTCACAGTCTGACGAGTTTGCAGACCAGTCGTGTTCTGGTTGATTCTACCTCATCCATGTATCAATGGATGCTCTGAAGGTCACAGCATTGGAGCTGTTGGCAAGTTTTGGTGAGTGCAATACATTTGGCCAGGACAATAGGAACGAGGTGGAGTTGGCAATGAGCAGGTGGTCATGTGCAAGGACATGAAGTGACCGCATGCAAGGTGGTTCTTGGTGTTCATCTCCCTGACATCTCTCTATGGGGGAAATGCCTTTATGCTAATCGTAGAATATCACCTATCAATAGACTTGATCTCTGTGTTTATAATATTCACCCTTAATTAGTTATGCTGTGTTGTATAGCGTTTCTAATCCTTTTCATTTGGATCCCAAAAAATAATCTTTTCTAATCTTATCAAAACTGATTTCAGGTCAGAAGGATACATGTCTCTGAGCCTGAGGCAAGCGATGGAAATTACAGATATCTCTTTCTGACAGCCTGGTAATGTCACAGCGCCAACCCTGCTGAACAGGCCTTTAATAGAACGTTGGTCCAGTGATCATATCTCTGCATTAAAGCTTGTTATTGTCACTTACTGAGTCATGTGCACCAGCTGTTGGATATAAACAAGTGGTCTTCAAAGCTCTAGGATCTAATCAGATGCAATCACGACCAATAATGTGGCTAATGATGGAGTGGCCACACCACACAGCGACCCTAATTTAATTTGTTTTGTTATGGTAAAAGGAGCCTGTGTGACTGCCTCTTTTTACACATAAATCAGTTTCATCCCTTGTTTGGATACTGACCAATATCAAGTGAAAACGCTGGGCTGAATCCCAAAAGCTCTTTGTTCTACTTTGCAAAACAGGAAATTTGGTTCATGATAAACTAGTACAGACGCCAGACAACAGCACTGCTTCATTGTGTCGCTACGCTGCTTTACACGACTACTCAACCCACGAACTCTGTCAATCTTCTGTCCATCCAGCTTTCCGTTTCCCCTCCCTGCTCCCTTTTATCGGTCAAGGCCTATGAGGAGTTTGGTCTTCTCCTCCTCCTTCTTGCTTTCGTTCTTGAGGTCAGCAAACACCTGGGTAAAGTAGTGTGGGTCGGTGTTGATCTGGAGCATCTTGCCGCTCATGCGGTTGATGATGTCAAGGCAGCGGTCCCAGAAGGCTTCCTTCTCCGCCTCGACCAGAAAGGGCTTCAGCGGGTAGGAGATCTCGTTGCCCATGTAGGAGTAAGACAGGTAGAGGCAGGTGAGAAGCGAAGCCTGCAGCTCACGCTCTGAAGCCAACTCGGATGAGACCACGTCTCGGCACAGCATGTAGAGGAAGACCACGTTGGCCGGAGTGATGAAGCCCTGATCCTGCCAGCCCTGCAGGAGGAGGGAGCGGTCAACGCTGCGCAGCCACAGCACCGGATCTGTGGGAGAGAGACGCTTCAGTCTGTAGCACCGACGGCACAGGAACTCGCCCAGGCTGCGCATCAGTTCGCTGGTGGAAGCCTGGGTTGCGAAGAAAGAAAGGAAAGGTATAAGGAATGTCAAAAGAATCGACGATATGAGGCAGCAGCTCGTAGCGCATGATGAAAGAATCAGTTAGCAACAACTTTCGTTAATAAAATAACGCTTGGATTACCTGGACAATGACACGTTTGGGTGTGCCGGTTGCGGTCGCTGGCTGGACCCCGGAGCCGGTCAGGGAAGTATTTTTGGCAGCAACAGTAGCTACATTAGCCAAGGTCTTGGAGATTGGCAGTAGGGAGGAGGTAGTGGTGGTAGTGGTCGAGGGGTCCTGGGCAGAGGTGTAAGATGAAAGGTTAGCACAGGACTGAGACTTCTTCAGCTTCAGGCTGCTGGAGGCTGAGGTGGCCGTGGCCAAGGCGTCGCCATCCGGGGAGCTCCCTTTCCCACCGTCCCCGCCATCCGCCTGCAACTTCTTGGACCCCTTCCTCTTTGCCGATACAGCCACAATGCGTTTCCATGGCAACACACTGATAATGGAGGGGCGTTTGAGGGATTTTCCAGCTGCCGCGGCGGCATCCTTGGCGTTCTTGCTGTTCTGGACTGCCGTATAGTGGCCGACCGCGGCAGGGCCGTCCTCAAACAGCACCGCCTTGCGGTAGCTGGGAGACAGAGACAGCACCGTACCCATGATGTCTGCACGAGGGTTACCAGTGGGTCTCAGAAAGGGTGGTGGGAGGCGGTAAGGGGAAGACTGTTTGAATCTTTGAGAGGATCCAAATGTCTCACTTTTGGAGAAAGTCAAACCTGGGAGACAAAAACAAGAAGGTGTGGAAATAGTCTCCGTTAGTTAGATTACTAAACAACTCAGATCAACCTGTCAATAACAAACGCTTCATAAAGAATGAGCAAAAGACTTAAGTTGAGTTAAAGAAAGACAACACTCAAGCTCTACTTACTAGCCTTCCTGGAAAGTTATTTGCATCTCATTGTCTTTCTGAGCGGCAAACCACAAGCATTCTCATTGAGTCTTCAACAACATGAGCAAAGAGAAAAACAACCAAGATCTACTTCCAGAACCTTTGAGTTTCGCAATCTTCCTCAGTAGAAATTTTGTGGAATTTCTACTGAGGAATATTATTTATGATTAAACGTTCAATAATAGAACATTGTGCACAGATTGTTTTATCGGGTTTTAAACTTGAGTGACAAAATGTACTACCAATTATATAAATACAAATTCTATATATTGACGGCATTACTTCATATAAACAGATGACAGCACAGTGTGATAAATGGTCACATAAAGGAGTCTGTCAAAGAAAATTATACTGAGCGACTTTGATATTTTACAATTGAGCCTTGAAGTCTGTGACAGTGTATTGTTGCTGATATTTCATTATTATGCGAATATATCTCACATCAGCACATTAGCATGCAGGCCTGACCAGGGGGTAACTATACACAAAAAATACAAATACAGAGTAAAATAAATATCAGAATATTAGAATGTATTAATATGGTTCACATCAGCCATAAATAGTATATTCAAATATACTGACTGTGTTCTCTTTTAAATGGCATTTGCAATTCTGATTGCTCGGTATGTTGTTTATGTTGTTTAAGTCTGGTAACTAACTATAGGACCCCTATCTTAATAGTGTGCACTCATTTACCATACATCACGGGATCTGCAGCCACTCATATGTCCACCAGTATTATATAAGAACCAAGGTAAGGCCACAGAGGCGTGAGAAGGAAATGTGCGCAAGCATCCATCTTAGCTTCAAAATGGAAGCCTTGAGAACAGCCCATCAACACCAGGCAGCTTCAGCAGCACCAGCGTGTAGACCTGCACACCCACACCCCCACAACCTCAACACATACATACGATGCTGTAGCTTTTCATTTTTGAGAGATCCATTGTTTTTAGCTACATGGATGATCTGAATTTGGTGCATTTTGGAATCAAAACTGGGTGTGTGTGGGGGGGGGGAGAAGGTCTGACTATATGCAGCAAAACAATCGATAGTTCTTACCTTCGAATCAATGGACTCGTCTTGTGGGATCCATGTATCACACCTTGACCCCCTCCCCACCCACCGGCCCCCTTGCTGCTGGGCAAATGCGGTCAAAACGTGAAAAGGGGGCTTTCCATCCGTTCTGCTCGATTCCCGCACCGCCAGCACAAGACGTCAGGGGTCCGGAGAGCGAACGCGGATTATATAAGAGCCCCGATGTTACAGGAGCGGGCAGGTCGGTGTCTCGGCGCGCCGCCTTTATAGGAAGCCCTTCGGCTCGTCGATGGGAATGCAGATGCGGAGCAAACGCGAAATGCACTCGACGCCTTCGCTCGCAGCGAGCAGGGAGACGTCTTCCATTGAGAAACAGACAATTCTACAGGCCGACCGACACGGCGATCGACGTCCCTCTAGGATGCTCGCAGCTCGGACGAACCTCCATCGGACGTAAATAAAAACCGCACATATCGCTCTTCGTCGACACAAACGGGCGCGCAGCACCAAGAGGCCGAGCGGGGAAGAAGCAAAAAATGGCCACTTTGTATTCCAAAAATAGCAGCTTATACCCTCGGCTGTGTGGACCTGCCAGATGGAGAGACGCGGAGAGAGGGAGGGAGAGCCGCTGCTTTGATGCGGGCATCTGCAGTTATTCGGGGTTGGATGTCGGCAGAGAGGCGGCGCCCTCCTATTGGCTGCTGCCGGGATGCTGCTGCTGAGGCTGCTGGTCGTCGCGCTCACAGCATCGCGGCTGAAGCCATTGGTCCATCGGCGGCCTCCGGCCTATCGGGGCGCTTCGCTGTCCGAGGTGCTGAAGCTGGCGTGGCGGAAGGGGGGGGCTGCGATATTTTTATGAATCATTTGCAGGGGCGAGCAACGCTGACACCGCGGGTGTTAAATGAGCGGGGAGACGCGGGGGACTGTGGATCCTGGTTCATTTCACTTAGAGACCTTTTGATTATATTTATGAAGGCAAAATGCAAACATAAAAACCTCTGATGAGAATAATGCAAGACATTTGTATGCAAGTCTTCCGCGATCTGCAGGGGGATCACAAGGCAGCAGTTGGGTGGTAAAAGCTGAAGAGGCCAAAGACATGCAGATAGTCGCTGGTAGCAGTAATGCAAAGCATTAAATTATAGTGGTCACAAGATTTAAAAAGTGGATAAAAATGAAGGAAGGAAGGAAGGTTTGAGTAATTCATTGACTGAAAAAGGAAACAATTGGTTTTTTACACAACATACCTCAGAATGTCATCCAACCTGAAGGTAGAGCTGCTGCTACTCCAACATGTATAATATCAAGAGTACATGAGGACTGGAACATGGGAATATTTGTCAAAATAAAAGACCCTTCACGGTTTCTAACATTGTTTTTGATAAAAACGCTTTTTATTTTAAACCAAGTCTCTTCTCCTCAGACCGCTTCCCCAATGAAACAAATATTAATAAATGCTATTTTAGATGATGGCTATTAGAAAGGGTTTTAATAAGAGTTTAGGAAGACAGCGACACTAGTCCAACAAAGTCTTCCATTTGGCAATAGATCACTTTTCAACGGACTCAGTACGCATAATATAATAGATATTTAATATATTTATCTCTAAATAGGACACGTGTGGGTGGTTTTAACATGTCTATGAAAGTATAACATGGTTGTTACATTTATTTGATCACTGTAAAAACAACAAATGAATATTTCTTTTGCTGGGAATTTATTTGCTCGACATTTTCAGCACAGAGAATATTTTGTTTTATCGCAATGAGAGGGTTAGTACGGTGGAACAGAAGCTCGGACCACTGACCTGATTGGCATGAGTGGGGATTAGGGAGTCGTGATGGCGGGTGTCTCGCTGAGATCGCTCTTTGATGGATCTGGTGGACTTTTCCTTGGCCGCAAAAGCCAAATATGACACTAGGTGGCAGGAACACATTATTTCATATTTGGTTCACCTCCCAAGATATTTCCACACACTGGAGACCTTCAACCGTTAAATTATCCTAAAAGAATGAAGTGTACTTAATAATGTAATAACACTGAGTGCTTTTTTAATTCTATTCTAGATTTGCACTTTGGCTGATCGAGTCATTGGCTACTTAGGGGAAGAAAAGCCTTTACTGTTTGAGAGAGGACGGAGGAAGAGGGAAGCTGGTTTTATGCACTACAACAACACCTGCATCTGGGTTAGTTTACCATCTTTCATGTAGTTTACGAAAGGACAACCAGAAAATAAAAAGTCTAATAATAATAATGTGACACCTGAATGACGGGTCCAACCCGTCAGGAACAGGCAGGAAAGACTAAAGAAAGCAGTGCGGGAACGCTGTGTGAAAGTGAGCGTGACCGGACCGGTGGGAACACACAGGCACAAATGAGGGAGAGGAATGCAGTGCAGGGGAGTCTCACGTGCAAACAACAAGGTAATCAGAGGCTGGAGGGAGGGGCAACTAGAGGCAGGGTCAAAACATGCCATGCAATACTACATTTGGTGATTTTAATGTTAAACCCAACTTTAATTTGGTATGAAGTTAAAATGGCGACACAGATCTACCTGGTTGTCAGGCTCTGGTGGACAAAGATGTACAGCCCAAAGTAATGGCAAACAGTACCAGTAATGGCAGTAACAGTAATAGTACTGGGTGTCCAAGTGATTCATGGTGGTAAAAGAATGTCGGAATGTGAAATAATCAAATTAAGCAGAAGCGCTTTCCGTACCAAGCACTGATAACCAACTGCCCAGTGCCACAGTTGGTGGTGACCTTTTGTCAAGACATTTTGTAAGCACTAAAAAACAAATGACTCTATTTGTGACTGAAAGGCAGCGAGCAGCAGGGTGCAAAAACACAAAAGCCTGATTTAGACCAAGCGCTTCTCTCCTCCCAACAGTCAGCAGCGTGGCCGCTCTGCAGCACGGCGACATCACAAGTCCGTAACCAAAGGGCTCCATCTGTGATGTACCTAACAAGATTCCTCACACAGCGCCAACCGCAACACAACAGCACGGATGTAGTTGGTCAAAGCAGACGCGTCCCGTCAGATTAATCCAGCGTTTGTATCAACCCTTCTACCCATCCTACTCCACCACCCTACGTATTAAAACCCACACTCAATAGCTCTAAATAATACAGCATACGTGTTTACGCTTATGTTCACAGTCGATATGTTTTCCGTTTGTGGACAGGAAACACATTTTAGCTCTTTTTTTCTCAGTTGTCAGTGTTAAAGTGAACGCAGGTCAACAGGCTACGTGTTCGTTGGCCTCTTTGCCGGTCCAGGATTCCCCCTCCGTCCAGCAGACAGATGCACGGGCTGCACATTGGCTCACTCGCTATTGGCTTCAGGCACGGCGTTCTACGCTGCGTGTTAGCAGACTCGGGTTGTTGTGGTGCAGAGGTGGAGAGGGTGCGCTGAGAAGGTTGGTGGTTCGAGTCCTGGCTGCCCCATGTCAAAGCTGCTAAATGACCTGTAAAGACTGTGAGCCCCGTTTAGTGACTCACTCCTTTGAAGGAGAAGAGTTTTTTTTCTTTTACTTAGTTGCCAGTTTTTATTCAGCTCAACAAGGACATTCATTAATAATCAACCACTATATTTAATGGTAAATAACAATACAGCATACATGGCTGAGCCATCTGCAGAGAGGATAAAAAGCACCTGAGCTTGACCTTGTCAGCTCCTAAACCCCAAAAGAGCCGCTGTGGTTTGGGACTGTAGATACTAGAACTCACAAGAGAGGCAAAAGTGTAATTACTTAAACCGCAAAAAGCTTGAAACCGCAACATACTGAACTATAGACTTTGAAAACCACTGGATCACGTCAAATATTTGGGAGCTTTTGTAATAAAGTACATTCCTCCCATTGTGAGAAATTGTCACCTAACACTCTGCGGCCAGAGTTCTTCTCTGTAACAACCTTTTGCCTCCCTTCATGTGTAATATATAAATAATGTGAATTCTTCCATATATCATTACCTATATTTTCCTGGTCTTCTAACGTCAGCGCTGCATTCTGCAACAACAGAGAACACAAAACGAACAGGAAGCATTTGATTCAGATGTAACGCCGATGCCCGGTAGTCTAATCCAAAAGGCATCAAGTCAGTTTTTGTATTAACCCGCACTCCAAAGATCACATCGCATGAGGAAGTCTCTCTCCGCACTGTGAGGCATCAAATGACGCCAGAGTCCAAAGTGATTCACTGCTAAACAGTGAAAGAACAACACGTTTTGGACCACTGCTCCTTTGTAAACTCAGATGCAAAAGCTGGCCAGTCGAAAGAGGAAAGGAACATTTGACATTTGCTCAAGGTTACGTATTAACTTCATTCAGATAAATAATATATTTGGTCAATGTTATCTTGACCAAACAAAATGTTAAATCTTCTGGTAAATCAGAGCTCAGTTTTCCACCAAGATTCAAGCGGCAACAACACGCCGTCCACTACTGATTTAAACTGTGCACCTTAAACCTCATCTGCCCGGGGGAATTCGTTTTTTGTCACATCTTTTTCCTTGTTAAATCACGATGAATGAAGAGTGTATATTAGCTACTGTCCACCTGCAGTTAACCGGTCCGACCTCCCCGAACCAACGAAAGATGTCCCGCATGCACACGACTGCAACTCAAAAACTCACCAGTCTACAAATACTTTATTTTAAAATTCAACACCATACAATATACATAGAAATAGTGCATCATATCTGTTACTATCATACATCAACATCAACAACGGGGGTTCCTGTGTCAACCTACCAGCCTCTGTTTCATAACCACAACGGACGCAGGTGTTGTGACTCCTCATTGACTGCTCAACGGGTAATTGCAAAGTAGATGTAGAACGATTTACAAACTGTAGTGTTCTTAAGAAATAGATCATTTAAATTCATACGCGGCATCCGATTCATTTAATATAGATCTGGTAAAAATAGATTTGTAATGTCATTCAGAGAGTCGGATTGCCGTATAAATTACATTAACTGCCTTTAATAAACAGGGAATTTTTGCTGAATAAAAAGGCATTTTATTTTTTCCCTTTGACCCAACTGATTAAAACGATCCTTCCAAGGCCTTCACCATTTGCAGTTAGTCCCCTCTGGATTTTATTCTGCAGTAAAGGATCATGGAAACACCCATGGCACATATCTGAGGAGAACACATATATTTGTAAGACATTCTATTAAAAGTAAGAGAAGTATGTATATTCAAGGAATGCTATTCATGCAGCTAATTAAGTAACTTGAAATGTGCGTCCTCAAACTCGCACACGGTGGGATGCGGGATAAGCACGTACCTCCAGAGCGGCGATTCCCAGGGCCACTCCCACAATGGCCGCCATGTTGTCTTCAATCAGCTTTTTGATCTTTGCGAAGCACCCGGTAACCATCTGAGGAAAATAAAGAAGGAAAAAGTAGAGGTAGAGGAGGCCAGACAACTAGTAATGAATTCACAAAATGTTTTTCTTGTTTCCCCGTCTCCCAAAGGCCGTACCGGGTCACTGTCAACGATGGTCTGGTTGCAGAGTTGCACAGTGGGGAGGCAGCACTGTGGCGGGTATTGATGGTGGTGTTGGTTGTAATACGGAGAGCCAACAAAGTCTGAGGAGTTGTAGAATCCACAACAATGTAGCTAATGTGGAGAGAAAAGAGTTGCAAAGCATCAGGGAAAAGGCGTGACAAGAATCCTGTCTTTGTTCGGCACATTTACACACGCTGCTCATGGTGGCGTTCCACAGTCCCGTCACGTCAGAGTTGTTCCCGTAGTCCTTGTGGATGTTCTTAGCTGCAACTTCGCCAAACTTGGTCAGCAGCTCTTCAGCCTGAAATGAGAGCACACGGGAGGGTTTCTGTCCCGGACCCACAAGGCAGCACCTGTCAGGGTGGTGGAAAGGTTCTACAGTTGACTCACCAAGGGTCTGAATACCAGGATGACCACAGCTCCTGCTACCTCCGCTATGAAGACCACCATGACTATGATGAAAAACTGGGGGGAAAAAACAACAACAACAAAACTCATTTGCAGACAGCAGTATTGAGAAAGTGTTGAATGTTTCTGAGCCAAACATGTTTTGTATCAGTTAATGATGTGAGGACGATCGTGTCGGTTTATGGTTCCCTCCTATGAACTGTGCATAATTACCAGTTAACCACATTAAGTGGGTTCCTCTTTTTAAAAGTGCGTTTTCGCTTTTGAGCGAGAATGCCAGAAGTTACAAAAGAAGTACGGTAAAAAATAAAACTAATTGCAACTTTTTATAAACAAAAAATTGTGACAACTAACAAAACCATGACATGCACGAAGCATCCAACCTAAACGTCTCTCAAGCTTCCACTGGAACTATCGGCATCAGCAACTTCCCCAGACGCTCTGCATATCATTGCACCATCTTTCTTTCTAAATGCCAACCAACGCAGCGCTTGCTGTTTGTCTCAATATGAACCCAACTTCCTATTTTCACATTATCTGTAGTGAATGGTGACTGCAAAACACACCGATTTTGTTTTGTCGCCTTCTTTCTGTCAACGCAGATACAAAATGTCACCCAATTTGGATGGAAAACTATTGAAATGTGCGAGAATAAAGCAGCAGACGAAAAGCTACCAGCAGCAGCATGCAGGAGCTCTCTCTGACGGCGCCACAGCAGCCCAGGAAGCCGATGACCAGCAGCAACGCTCCGACGGCGATCAGCAGGTAGCCCACGTTCAGCACGTGAGAGAGCCCGGCCGGCGCGTTTTCAATCTTCCCCAGGAACGCCAGGATGGAGCCGCTGTCCACTTTCACCCAGATGCCGACGCCCAGGACGGCCGCACCTGCCAACTGAGGGAGAGCGATGGGGAGGAGGAGGAGGAGGAGACGGGTTGCTTGAGGTGGATGGAATAGAAATCAGGATATACGAGGGAACCGTCATTCTTTTAGTTTCTTACAGGTCAAGGAACTTATGGAAGAGAAATATTAAAAACTGATGTATTTTAAACAAGTAAAGGAAATGTTTTTTTTTCTTCCCCTCGAACTTTTTTTTAAACTATTTTCTATTTCAGCATTAGTTTATACACATTTCACAATGCCGCATACTTGTGATGCACAGAGAGGCCCAATGTAAAAATGGCAGTGTTTTCTGCGAGAAATTCCCTTTTGAAGTATTTCTTATTGAAGATTCAAACTTACAAATATAATGCCGTTGAATAAGAACATCATCATTTTGAGGAATCCAAAGCAGCCCATTTTGGCTGCGGAGTGTTCTACCTACAGATGAAAAAGAGACAAGACGCTGATCAGTACCGTCCAGCATTTGTTGACAACGTCCGAGTCATTTTGGACCAACAAAGGTTTTACCGACTTAACGCCACTCCGTTTGCCCGTCACAGTCGTTGGTTTGCTCAGTATCGGGTGGAAGACGTGTGGCCCTCGTGTCACAGGTGACACATTAACCGTGGGTTCGTGCGGTTTCCTCTGAGAGCGAGCGAGGGGGGAAAACACCTGACGCTTTCCCAACTCTTCACCTTCGGTCCTTCGAGAGCTTAATAACTTATCTTCCTCAAACACTCGAGAGGCCTTTCGTCTGCACTTTGAGGGCATTTACTGTACAGGCATCGCCGCAGAGAGGAAGCAGAGAGGTGACGCACGAGGAAGTGAGACTCAACTTTAATTATGTTGTATTTAGACAACAGCCTTTCGCTGAAAGCTGATATGCAAAGGCATCAACTCATGGAAATGTTTCATCCATCTGCGAGTTTCCCAGATTTGCATTGAAACTGGGAATGTTTTGCAATCATATGCGAATGCCATGAACCCTCAGCCTTCCCTTCAGTGTGTGTATTTGCATGGAAAACATCACGGTCAGCCGGCCGCTCCGTCGGCTCGTTTAGACTTTATGCCGCTGATACTTGTTGACCAATCAAGGAGCATGGCGACACAACAGCCCTTTAAACGCCTCTGCATGTGATAAACACGCAGTCACAACACGGCCTCTTTAGTAATCGACATGTATCCGTCTTCATCCTCCCGTCTCCTTCCTGCCTCCAAATCTTCTCCTCCCACTCCTCCTTTTCTGACAACCGCTACTTTTCTCCCTTCAAGATTGCGTCTGTGTGTTAGTGTGTCTGTGTGTGTGTGTGTGTGGATACAAATGGGAAACAGTGCTCTTTGTTTGTTGTGACAAAGCAGACAAAGTCCTTTACCTAACGACAATGACTTGGCAGAAGCCAACCGTGTGTGTCAACAGGCGGCTTTCGGGGGATTGGCATTTCCCACATGGCCTATTGGTAAGATTATTTGATCCATGCCAGCTGTTCCACTTATTTTCATTTCCTCAAATCAAATCTAATGTAAATGTCCCAGACAAACATTTGAGGGAGGGAGGGTGTGTGGTTTCTTCTCAGCCGTCCCTCGCTGCAGGGAAGCTGGTCCTCGTCATGTTAATGATGCACCCGGACGCCAGCAGGAAACAGCGAGCGGTTACCATGACTCCCCAAAAACTCCCTTTATCACCGCCGATCTGTCCGCACTTCCTGGCGGTCACTGACATGAACCCTGACACACAACTACGAACCGCAGAAAAACTAAAAAACACCCAACGGACCAATTACAAAGGACGCCATTGAGCAGAATGATCGCAGGTCTCACGGGACAAGGACTCGTTGTTTGGTGGATCCCTTGTTTTGTTGGAACGGGACTCAAACAAGTGGATGGGGGGTTGGTTGGGGGGTTCGCTAACAACTTTAAATCACGGTCGGTCGGCGGAAAGTCACTCTCGGGCTTACCTTTCCACGGGAGGTGTGCTCGAACGCGCCGGGAGGCTGGCTCACCGGTGGGCGGTGGTGGGTGGTGGTGGTGGTGGTGGGTGGGGGGGGGTCGCTCCCCTCGCTGTGGGGATGAAGGCTGTTTTACTTCACAGGACGTGGCTCGTCTCAGCCTCTGAGCGACGTGTGGTTCGTCTCCTCCAGGTCGACGCTTTCTGCTCTCAACGGCTGTCGGCTCGTATTTAAGGTACCGGAGGCAGCGCGAGAGCAGGTGGGCGTGGCCAAAGCAGCTGAGCGGTAACCGCCACCCATCACCATGGAGACATGCTGCACAGGGGAGGAGAACAGTCACTCAACTAAAACATTTAAAATATATGTTAACGGGAAACGAGTTCAGATGAGGAACGAAGCACTCACTTTTTTCCTGCAGCTATTTGCAACGTGAAGAGCAAAGAACAATAAGGGAACAAAACGCTCGCTGTGGCAAAGTCACTTTGTCTTTTTTAGAAATAAAGTTAATTATCTGGTTACCTTGGTGAAAAACGAATAAGATTTTACCATAGCATGAAAAGATCTGTGGTAAACATAAGTTCACAATACTATATGTCTGCTCAGTATATATATAGTATCATATAAAATGATTTAAGTATGTTGGAGGGGCCAGATACGGCCTACCCATCCATGGCCAATAAAGCCAATTTCAAATAAGATGATAATGATTAAATAAGATCGGCCTGGTCCGGGAGAGAAGGCAGAATAGGAAATGTGTCAACGATGCAGCCGTATCGGGTCTTATGATCCCTTGAGGGTCAGACGTGTAATGTGCAGGACAGAAAAATGGGGGGAAACCAATCAAACAAAAACATCAATATATATAAAATGTAGTACGTTAAAGGCTTTATTTACAGACTAAACTGCCAAGGGAAGGGGGATAAATGATTTCCAGCAGAAGATCGCTGCATTAAGCCCACAATGCGCGCAAAGAACAGGGGAATGAGCCTCTATGAAGGAAATTAATAAATAATAACACATCCTCACATAATCAAATATGTTTATTGATATAAAATGGATTTTGATATATCAGTATTCAAATGCAAAATGTGACTCCCGGTCACTCGTCCTCATTCCAGCTTCAGGTTCCATTAACACAAACATACAGTAACCACTTGCATGACTAACATTTGCATGACTGAAAGAAACTGTCATGGAATGACGAAGTGTCATAATACTTGTGCTTTTCATGCCATTTCGTGCTATTCATGTACGCCCACACTTGACACGCACGCACACATTATGCAAGAACACACGGCATATTATTAACCATTTGCGTCAATCTCATGTCTTTCAGAATAGTATAAGATACAAAAACAAATCATACTCACATATCAAAGTGATTCATAAGATAACAAAACTGACCGGAGAGGAAAAAGTGCATTTTCTTAGAAACCAAAGGGACAGCGAGAACATGAGAGAGGGAAACAAGAGGAGGATCAGGTCACTTTTTCATTCAGGACTCCTTGTGATTCATTGGGATTGTGAAAGCAGATGAGGGGAAATGTGGGATGAACGGTCCGATTGTAATTGAGTGAAGGTGAAGAACCTCCATTTGTCAGTCCGAGCAGCGCAGCGTTAAACCTCCACGAGGTCCGGTCCCAATTTTAAGTATATTTGTAGTTAATATTTCCCCACCGCACTGGCAAGTCATCAATGATCGTTCTTGGTGGTCTATTAGTAAACCCCGTCATCACATTAGGTCATACTTCCTTATTAATGGACAAACCTGTGTTAAACATTATTTGATGAGAACTACAAAAAAAAAAGTTAAGACAGGAATTATTTTCCACTGACAGTTAAGTTCCCCTTAGTATTTTATAGTGTAACGTAATATAGTAGAACATGTCTCTCTGATTGCAGAGGGGGGAACAACCATCCATTTTGAAGGCTGAACCGATAGCGGTCGCCGGGTTAGCCCGCTAGTTGATAGCAACTTAAACTACATGAATTGAAAACCTAATATGTATCATTGTTCAAGCGTAACTTGGTCTGAACGATTGCTGCTCATTCTCCACACAGGACCTCGATATATGCTGTAGTTGTTGTTACTCTGGTACCTCAGATTAAAGGTTTAACTTGAGTATAAACTTTTCCTGCTAACGTTAGCCCCCACATTGCTAATCAGTGACAGTTGTGAGGAGCGCTTTTTTCTCTGAGTGTAACTTCTATAACACCATAAAATTATTGGAGAAATAATGCTGCCGTTTAAAGCAATAACAGGTTTTCAGTCGTGAGCTAGTTAGCTTTCCATGCTAATGTATGCTGCAGATAATCAAACTATTAACCGTAATCTTTTGCTACTTTGATTTGGGTTTTGTGAGAGACAAATAGTCATACAATAAGTGCCCCTCTTACTAAAGCCGCCCACATCACTTCAACATTTGAAGAAACAGTTTGTCCCCATTGCCTTTATTGTAGCTCAGCCGTGAGCTGCATGGGGGGGGGGGTAGTTCACCGGAGGTTTCCTCGCTGTACCAAATATGTCCAAAAGCCACGTTTAGGGCCGTGTGCTCCGTAACGGCTCGTGTCCCGCACAGCGGTCAGACTGCCCCCCTTCGTCCAACACTCGTGTGTTCACAGTCTATGTCCTTCCTGAACACAACCGGCCAGCTGGAGCCCAGCAGAAGGTCCGTCTCTCCACCAGAAGGCTTCCTTTGGTTCCCGAGGGCCGAGCCGAGCGCGTTTCTCTCTCTCCCGCCTACCGGGGTCCGCCCACCTCAGGTGGCCTGCTTGTCCGGGTGGCTCTTCAGCTTGTGGAATTTAACGCTGTCCAGCTTCTCGAAGCGCTTCTCGCAGAACTCGCAGGTGAAGTTGTAGTGCGCCTCTGAAGTGTGCTTCTTCATGTGCCAGTTCAGCGAGGCGCGCTGGCGACACTGATAGCCGCAGATTTCACATCTGACGAGCGACAGAGAGAGACAAGACGGAAGAAGACGATGGGTGACGATGATGAACGGTTGTGGTTGAATGTTGTATTTATGCATTTTTTTATTTTTCACAATGTGTACGGATTAGATCCCTTTTCAGCTTCAGTAACTCACTGGAGTGGCGTTTCCCCTGTGTGCGTCCGCCTGTGGACCTCCAGGTGATTCTTTCGCTTAAACGACTTTCCACATGTCTCACAGATAAAGTCTCTGACCCCTGTGAACAGATTGTGTAACATTTAGAGGTTCAGGAAGATCAGACTCTGGACACGACAAGCCTGTGTCTGGGAGCCCACCTGAGTGGATGATCATGTGGCGATGCAGGTGGTTGGACAGGTAGAACTTTTTCCCACAGCCTGGATGGGGGCAAACCTTGGTCCTCCCTTTCCTGTGCACTAGGTTGACGTGATTCTACAGATCGAAAGTGAATTAACGAGATGTTCGTCTTCATCTCCGGCTGAACGAAGTGAGGGCGAAATGTTAAAAGTACAAATTAAGAAAAGTCTCACCTGAAAGCTACTGATTGCTACGTAGACTTGACTGCATCCCTCGTACGGACAGTGGAACATCTTGAGCATCCCGTCCTCCTCAATGACCGGGCCTCGCCTGTTTCTCTTCGACCGGACACTGCGTGGAAAAAAATGTTTTGGTTTTAGGCCCACTCTAAATCTCCATACTGCCGTATTTCGGGATGCAATCCTGCAAAGTGTCCGTTGAGCCAAAACCCTTAAGCGTCTGAACAAGAGAAAGTTTTCCCAGGGATATAAATTGACCCTTTGTCTCTTACGGCAAAAGCCAGGAAGACGTTGACATCGCACGGTAAACTCAAGATAAAGCGATCGCAGCAAAGTGCTGTCCGCTATACATTAATCACACTCAACCACTCGGCGTCTGGGTGTCTTGGGAATGTTAAATCCTACATTTGCACACTACCTGTGTACTTGTGTACTGGACAGAATCTGAATGTCGCTGTGGTAAAAAATATGTGCCCACAAACCCGCTCAGACCCCTGTGCAGCTCTCGGTCACCGCTCAGCTCCAAGGCGTCATCAAGGGGCGGCCGCTGCTGTTTGTCACTCAGACCTGCAGAGAGAAAGTGTGAACGCTGATTACGAAAGTGTTTGGCTCAATCGAAAATGTCACACTGGTCAGAGAGTAGTAGTTGGGAACCACCAGAGACCCCTAATAGTAGATTAGCACCATCTAGCGGACTGAAAGGGCAAACGTAATTTAGAGGTTCAAGAGGTCGTCTTCGCACTGTGGGTCATTATTGAGTGTGGCGGTGACGAGACAACAAGCATGTGACTCCTCTCAGAGGTTCACCCAGCGAAATTGGAGCAAGTCCTTTCTTTCTTAAAATGTTCAATGGCAGATGTATTGTTAAAACTTTGTGAATATATAGAATTATACAAATCATCATCACTTTCAGAGCAAAGTAGTAGAATCAAGCTTTGTTGTCAGCAGAATTTGAACTTCCATTTCAGATCATTAAACCCGGAGTTTGACCTTTAAATGTCTCACCGTGGCTTCATGTTGCCAGTTCTCTAAGTTAGAGAGCAATAGAGGGGACTTTAAATATTACTCTGAATCATTAACATTTGACTATTTACGGTCATTTGTCTTGTATACGAGTTGCTCTACGTAACTCACTTATATTTCATTCACTTTTATTATCTTGTTAGTTCTGAGGCCTCTGTGGTGAGGGCCGGCTCCCTTTGGAGCTACTGCACGTATCGCACCCGTCACGGAGTCTTCATCCTCTGCTGCTCGGACTTTGGACTCAGAGGCCGGGTCGTAGGTGACGCCCCCGATGACGGTGCAGGTGACTTCCTCCACGTTTCCGCCGCCCATGTTGAGCTGGATACCTTCTGAAGCCAGGGCCTCGTAGCTGGTTCCAGTGATGATGATCAACTGGGAATGTTGGGTGGGGGGATGAAAAAGAGTTACGCTCCTTGACGTGGACCAAATACTTCCTTTAAAAACAACACACGGTACCCGGCAACCTACCTGCGAGCCTTCCAAAGTGGTCCTCTGGTCAGGAATCTCACAGCTGGACACCACCGTCTGCAGGGCGTGAGAGTCAAACAGCTCGCTCTGCCCGTCGCCCGGCGGGACAGACGGCTCCGGCCGAGCTCCCAGTCCGGCTGAGCCGCTCAAGTCTTCCTCCGGCTTCTCAAGTTCAACAGCTAGGGAAGCCCTCACGGAAACACACTCGTATCCATGCGGCGCGGCCCTGATCTCTTCTTCGCCGTCTCTGCCTCGCCGAAGATCTTCAACCTCCTCATCCTCCTCTTCTTCTTCTTCTCGTTCATCCCTCTCCTCCTCTGAGGCAATGGAGTGATAGGCTGCACCTGGGGAGCTTTGCTGTCGCTCTATGACCATTTCCATCTCCCAGACAGACTGTCCCGTCAGTGGAGCTTCCACGTCGGCTCGTTCTACCTCGAATGTGTCCACATTTTCTTCCGCATCTAAAGCATTAAAGAAGAAGAACAAAAGATTTGTTTCTAACTTTGCACCAATAAAAACGGAATGATTTCAATGACTTGTGGTTCTGCACCTCTGAAGTGTCGGTGAGCCTCCTTTCTTGTCGTCGTCCTCCTCTTCCTGCTGCTGCTGTCGCCCACATCTTCAGCCACGGGCGCATCGGTTCTCTTGGAAAGCTCGTCATCGCTCTCTCCGTTCACGCCGTCATCGTGCTCCGAGTCACTCGCCTCCCTCGTTGGTGAGAACAGGTATTGCACAAACGAGTGGTTGGAGTCACATCGCCAGACGGCCGCGGTGGAGGAGTTGGGCTGGGGCTGCAGGGCTCTGAGCTGGGGCTCCTGAGGGCAGGAGCGGGAGTGCTCCTGGTACCAGCACACCAGGTTCTGGAGGCTGGACACGCCCTCCGTCCTGCCTGGGAAGCAACAGAAAGTTTCGATTTGAAACCACTTCTACAGCAAGTTGAACAGCAGCAATTTTTTAATGAATTAAAAAATATTGCTTGCATGATGCCGTTTTCTACCGTGACAAGAATTGATGAATGTCCAAGTCAACATTGAGATAAACTTAGCCAGCTGTAGGACATAATGAATTACACTCTGACCAAAGTGAAATTAGGCTTTATTAAGTCCTAATTTGGACTTTTTCAGTCAAAATGAAAAGATACCGAGAAACAACCCTGTAACTAACTTGAACCGCCAGTCGTATTACCAATTAACTTAGTTAAATATCAAACATCGAACTTTGTGCACGTCTCACTCATTTACTAAAGCTGCAGTTATCTCTGGAAGCAACAAGATTTGACTTTTTGCCTCATAAAATGAGGAGCAAAACCTCATGTTTCAGTGTGTAATGTTGACACTGGTTACAAATGACCTCACACCTGGATACTGATGTCAAATCCAATAAGCTAATATATATATATATATATATATATATATATATATATATATATATATATATATATATATTGTGTGACTTTGATTTGTAAAATATGAGGGGTTTTAGGTTTTAACATTCCTCAAATTCAATGTATTTTAAAATATAGATTGAATATCTCAAACTCAAAAGATCGTTTTTAAACTACGTCACCTTCTTGGAGTTAAATCCAAGTTTTCCAGTTAGGAATCATCAGGTGTAAAAAAACAATCTTAGTCGACAAAGATAAATCCAATAAACCAATGAGTTCAATATTTCAATTAAAAGCATATGATTGACATGACGTTTTACAATAATCTGGTCAGAGGTCCCTGGTCGAGAATCGCGCAACTTTTTAGGCCTTATGATGAAGTGAAGTCATGCGTAAAACCGAACAAGACAAGTTATTAAAACTCACTTTTTTTCTCCTTCATTGAGACTTCAGGGGAAATCTTCTTGCTGCAATGCAGTAAGTTGGACAATGACGAGTTAAGCAGAATAAAACAGACTTTTAAAGGAAGTAGAAAATCGGATTTATGAACATAAGAGGCTGCAGTAGAATGAATGGGTCGAGCTCATAACGTCGCAGCAGAACTATTCGACTCAGTCTGGCCAGGTGACGTAAGCCTGTATAAAGTAAAACGGGCATGTAAACGGGATGCGCTTACCCGCGGTATTCCCGCTGGTACTGGTCCCCATAGGTGGCGTTGAGCAGGATCAAGTACTCCGCCAGTCCAGCGTCGCTCAGACTGGTCCTCCTGCGCAGCTCACTCCACAGCTTGTGCGACTCGCCCAGGTACACCCGCCTCACGTCGTACTTCTTCCGGGACTCGAGACGCCTCTGTGCGCGGTCGGTGTCCGTGAGCCGGGGCCGTCCTCTGCAGCGCCTCAAGCCTCCTCGGTCTCGGTCCCCGGCCGGGTCGGCGTCCAAAGGAACGTCCAACTCCGCCAGGCTGAGCGCCATCTTCACAGCTGGGACTTGTGATTGCCGGCATCCCGGAAGCTGGTCCGACCCGACAGGAAGTGCTGATAAAGACGCCTTTTGTGGTCGTCCCCCCCCCAAACCTCAGGCTTATTAACGTGGCTGCAGCGGCGAAGACCGCAGTGTTTCACCGCGTGGCTCTATGCGTCAGTCAAACATACAAAAACAACACAAATAACACCTGTGCATCGCGAGAAGCAGGCGGAACGTTACCGCGATGACGCGTGTTTCCACACGGACCTCAGCAGCACGGACACCGATGTGCCACACGTAAACAGAACTTCAGCGCGGTCGTTAACTGGACGGCATAACCGCGGGGCGGGGGGAGAAATCACCGTGACGGAGCGTCCGCCATGACGGACATTTTAACACTCGTCTTTAGAACCTTTACGTCACAAACCGACGGAAGTGAGGAGCTCACCGGCCCTCCTACGTCACCGGCGACGTGCAGCGCGCTGCTGGTCGGAGACGCCGGGCTCAGCCGCTCCGTGCTGCTGCTGGCGGCGGTAACGGCGGCCTCGGAGGTGGGGGTGAGGGTGGTGTTCTTCACCCAGACGCGAATCCAGAGCCTCCCTCCGTGTCTGCAGAAGCGCGTTCCCGGTGTGAGCCCGGAGAGTCTGAAGGTACACGGCGCGCTGCAGGCAAACCTCGGGTTACTTTGCTAATTAACAGCTAATTGTTAGTGAGTTTCTTACTCATACGTCGCGAGACCAACACTATATGTTTATATCTTATTAAAAGTCGTACATTTCTTACTGCAGACTGCAGAATATTTGTATTGTTCGCAACTTGGCTACCCAACATATTATGGTCACTTAATAAACAGCTTGATAACTTTATTCAGGCAGCACAATAATCACTTACTTCAACATTAATTGGTACATATATATCATTTTAATCTATTTATTTTAATTTTGCAAGACATCGCATTACACTGAGATATTCTGATGGGCTTTGTTTTGGACCGAACCCTCACATCTACGCCCAGCTACATTGAATCCTTCAGTCAATCGGGTTCTTTCTGCTTTTTCCTTTCAAAGAAAATCCTATTTTCCTATCCGAGGACGATGGAGGAGCTGCTTCAGCAGGTGGCCAGGCTTCACGAGCCCACCAACACGTCTCCCGCGCCTCCGTCCCTCATCGTGGTCGACGGGCTGGAGGGCTTCCTGTGTGAGCGCGGCGCCGGCCTCGCCGGGTTTCACCCGGGGGAGCAGTCCGTCCAAGCCGCACACCTGTCCGCGCTGCTGTGCGACAGCGCCGCCTTCCTCACGCGAGTCCTGAGGAGTCGCTCCCCGGGCGCCGACCCCTGCCGCGTCGTCGCCTCCTTCCAGTCGCCGGGGGACGGAGGCCGAGCCGGCGGGGAGGCCTCGGCCGCGGATCCCACCCTCGAGGTTCTCGATCGCTATTTCCGGGTGCGCTGTACTCTGGACAGAGCCGGGAGCTACGAAGCTGCAGCGGGCGGACTGCACGAGGTGTGGGACATTTATCTCTCTGGGACGGGCATGGCAGACGCTTCTGGTGCCAAAGAGTGTGAGGACAGGCCCGCTGCAGCCCAAGAGTGGAAGCTGTTAATTCCTCCAGACGGCTTGATGGAGTTTAAGTTGGTTTGAAAGGGTTTGCATCAAAGACAGTCGCAGTGAGGGAGAAACCGCAGTGTTAAAAGTTTTATTTGCAGAAGATACAACGTGATGTAATCTGCTTCTCACCCACTCCAAGATAAGCTTACAGGACCACGGTGTTGAAGATACAAAATGTTTTATGAGTTTAATCGGCAAAAAGTTTTGTTAAACACATGAAGAAAGTCTTGCATAATGAAAACATTTACATAGATTACATAGGTGGTTTTAAGTTGATAAGTGGTTACCAACGTGTTTGGTTCGGGACCCTTCAAGATAAAACAAAGTTTATTTGTAACCAAAGAAAAGAGAAATTCACATTATACACAAATTAACATTATTATTATTTTGAAAACCATATTAATTTTGACATTTTTCTGTCTCCCCTTATTCGTCCTCTCAGGTTTTCAGTTGAGAAACACTCATTTACAACATCGGAGCGATTGTATGAGACATCAGATTGAAGTGGCTGATGTCACAGTTAAAGTATTTCACGAATAAGAAGAAATATAGAAAATCTTTATTTTTGAAAAATAAACATCACTTTTAGTACATGATGTTGTGTCTGAAAAAAACCTTCTAAATAAAGTACTGAAAGTATAAATCTCGGCTTAAAATATTTTGCATGCAGAATGTAGGAAAAAGTTTAGTTAATTGATGAGTGGTTTTATAATCTTCTATATGCCATTAATTGCTGTAGTGAAAAGCGTGCAACACGTGATGGACAGCCAGTCTGTTGTGAGAGTTCTTCCAACCATATATTGTTGGTCAAAAGTGTAAGTTAACAAAAAATACATTTCATTTACTTTTTAGAGAAAGAAATCAGATGTGAGAGGTTTTTACAAAGCAACACTAGCATAAAAAAATGGAAGTTGGATTTAAAAACTGCAACTGTAAAGCATCAGGGTAAGATGTACTGTACATGCTCTGCTCTTTAGATGGCAGCAGTGAGTAAAAACACAACGTAAACACCAGAAGAAAGACACTTTCTACAGTTACATGAGAATGAATATGGCCTAGAATTGAACTGCTTCTCCTTCATTTGTTCCAGAATTCTGCTTTTGCAATAAAACACAAATCCCAATAATACTATTTACAAATACAGTGAGTTTTATCAGCCGATCAACATTGCCATTCAGAGCACACTGTCATTAGCGTTTTATAAAGAGCATTGATCGACCTCGACCCAGTTCACACTATTTAAATGATGGTTGAGTGGTCAGAGTTTACGCTTTGGTTTCAGAGGCCACACTGATTTGTTGACAACACACAAACTCCCTTTAAGACGCATCAAAGTCTTCCAGGCGCTCGGTTCTGTCATTTAACCAAAAAGCCGTTATTTAAGCTTTAAAAGTACACGTAGCTTTGAAATGTGAATACACCACTTGAAACACTCCCTTGAATTTATGGGACTTCTTCAAAAAGCCCTGCGCAAAGTAGAAACCACGTAGAGGACGTACATCCAGCAGGACTCTTCTTCCCGAGTCCTTCAGCTTGCACTTCGGTGTCAGTCTGCCCCCAAATCCTTGGTCCACCTTTCTCAACGTCAGGGTGAGTTTGGGTGCAGTTCCAGAAAGCTTCCTCTGAAGCTCCGTTCATGTGCAGCATGTCCACTTTGGTCCCGTCAGCTGTCATCTTTGGCGGCGTGCTGCAGGAAGGGCCTTCTGTGAACCGGCATCTCGTTCTTGTAGTCATTGGCGTAGATGACGACACTTCCAATGTCGTCTGCCCGGCTCATGGGGCTGTAATCCATTGAGACCCCGGAGTCCGCTACCGCCATGTAGGTGTACCCCGGGCATTTGGACGTCCAGTCGTGGTTCGGGTACTCCAAGCTGGACTGTGACGAAAGGCCACCCGACCCCGAGCTCTGCGGCCTGGACCACAGGTCGGAGTGAGATTCACACGACACCGTCTGCCCGGCGGCGAAAAGCTCCCCGAGGGGTAGTGCCTCCTCCAGGGTGTCGCCCAGGTGACCGTCTTCTATTTGGCTGCTGCCGTTGAGGGTGACGTAGGCGTCTTGGGACTCCAGCAGAGAGGACTTGGAGCAGGGAGCCGGGTTCTGGTGGAGAGCCCTTAAGCGGTCCATCAGCCAGTGGTCGTTTGGTTCGGCTCTCAATCGCTCCGTCAGAGCTGGATCGCCTCTTTCCGGCAGCTCTCTCTCCTCCGCCCCTCTCACTGCATCCTCGTCCTCCTTTCCGCCCGTGATCGCAGCCCTGAAGGCCTTGGGTGGCAGAGCTGGGAAAGGCAGGGAGGAGCCCAGGCGGAGCTCTGACAGGACCTCCAGAGGTGAAGGGCATTCTTCTGAGTAGAAGTACTCCGGAGTCAACCAAACTCCTCCGTCGGTCTGACCCAACCACTCCTGCACCAAAACACAACAGTCTGAGATGAAGATGGGGTCCTGCTAAACTGTCCCGGGAGAACCGCTATTGATTGAAGTGACCCGAGTACCATTCAACGTATTAGTACGACAATCAGCTCAATGTAAGTGTCTGCTTCTTACCTTAAAGTCCCCTCCATACACAGTGAAAAGACCTTTGAACTTGCTGTCAGGAGTCGGAATAGTCGGCCAAATCTTCTTTATGACAAACCTGAAAAGAGAAGAGAGGCTTACAATATAAATCTGCGTTTGTGTTCCTCCTCACAGATTCTGGCAGAGGCAAGTGAATGAGCAGCGCATTGCCGGTTATCTGACCTCCGTTGTGACAGAAGCATGATGAGAGACAGCGCAATGAAGATGAAAGACATGATGAGCACCAGGGACACGATGAGTAGGTCGAGTTCTGGAGGAGGCACAATCATTGGAAACAGAACAGCTTTGGGAACAAACTCGACTTGGATAAATATATAAGACTACCTATTTCTGGACGCAGCCTTTTCAAGAGACTCTTATTCTGCTGAAATGTTTGGATGTGGCACGTGTGAACGAGTATTCACCTGCGGGCAGCGTCTCCATGACAACCGGCTCGCTCCAGGCACTCCAGTAGCCGTTGTAGCTAATCCCGTCCAGCTTCACGCGGACTCGCACCGTGTACTTGGTTCTTGGCTGAAGGCCTCTCAGGATCAACTCTGAGCTGGCTCGTACCACCTCCACCTGCAGCAACGGTGGCCAGCTCATCAAAACAGGTGCACACGCCACCCCCACCCACCCCCACCGAAACAACCACTGGATCAAAGCTCCTCGCGAGGTCACGCAAGGCACAAGCGGCGTACCTGCCCCGAGTGGCCGTCGGCCGCGGCGTAGCTGACCTCGTACATCATGGTGTCCTCCATGTACTTGAGAGAAGGAGGCACCCAGCTGACATTCAACTCGCCTTTCTGAGTCGTGGTGCTCACCGTCACGTTGGCGGGAGGGTCCAGAAGAACTGCCACGCGGAGAGACAAGAGGCCGCTGGTTACGTTGATGGGATGAGCAAGTTGTGAGCAAACGGTTGCCGATTTATTCAAGCTTTTTCTCTAGAAAAGTTCAAGTAAACTGAGATACATTAGAACACTGGCTTGAGCTGCATCACACGGCTTACAGAGGAGCTCGATGAGGAGGCTGCGGTTGTGGATCAACGCTTCGCCGCGATGCACTCGTATGTCCATTTGGACAAACAACTGGGGTCGGTCCAGGTGGCAGAGGAACAGCCTCCTCCCGCCCGCTGCAGGGAGGGTCCTCAGAGGGCACCGCTGGCTCTCCTCCTTCCTGCTCAGGACAGAAAGCAGGGTGGGCTTTTTTATGGACGAGGTCACTTAGAATTCAGACGTAACAAACACACACATTTATATGACGCCTAAAAACGGTTTAAAACTGTTGAATGTGTTGTTTCATCACCCCGCTTCCAAGAAACGCAAGAAAACAAACAGATAAACAACCAAAGCGGACGGCTGGTTGATGTGACGCTGAAGGAGACCTACTGGTAGGTGTACGTGAAGGAGTACTGATCCACAGAACCGGCCCGCTCCTCATCCTCCTGCCAGAAGCACGTGAAGTCCTTTCGGCCTCGTATGAAGCACTTGGGGTTTTCTGGTTCCTCTTTCAGCAGCATGGCCACTGAGGAGGGAGAACCACAAGACAAGCGCTCCTTATTCTCGTCAGAAATCCCCCGAACGTCTCCCTCGCTTCACTTTCTGTTCTACACGTGTGAATAAATAAAATCAATAAAAAATAACCTTACCGTTTTTTTCGAGATCTCGCGCACCCTGGACGGCGGAGGCGCGTCGCAAAGCGCAGAGTATCACGCAAAGCGCGGACAGGTGAAAGCGTGTCATCCTCTGGTGTCCCCTGAGAGCGGTCGCCCGCCCGCATCACTGGAGGAAAACAACGGGCCACTGACCGGTGCGCCGTCGCAGGAGGCGGCTTGTTTTCGTCTGATAGCGCTGCGCCGTTTACGCGCCTGCATGTGCGCGATAAGCCGCGCGGAGACGAGCTGTTTACGTTCTCCAAAAAGGCCTGCGAAGGTGGGGCACGCGCACGCTGACGAAACCCGTTACTCTTCCCTCCGCGGGGAGCTGCGCTGTTTACGACTTCGGTGTTTTTCTTTGCGGATATATAATGTGCAATGTTGCATTATGTGTTGTTTTGACGGCTTCGTGCGTGATGACCTGGAGGCGCCACGTCGGGCTCGTGGCCCTCGGACCCCCGTGCGTGAATCCCCGCCTGCGCCCAACGGACACAGTGCTCCGAGACGCAGGCGGTTTCTTATCTACGCGCTGCACCCACACGCCATTATCAGCACCGCGCGGTGCCTTCAGTTTGAATGCAATTCAGCGCCCCTGTTACGTCACGTCACGAGGGGACGAGACCTCCTGACCCCGGTGAAGTGCGCACTGATGCAAAGAGCTCACCTGTTTCCAGCTGTGAGCACATCTGTATTGCACAGGAGCACAATGGCAGAGTGCTTTCTGGTTTCACAGATACAAATACGGCCCTGACCTGGTGTTTTGGAGTTAGGAGGTAAATTACATTTCAGATGCGTTTTATATTCTCTTAAAAAAGGACATCTGCAAACACACTCTTAACTTTGTAATGAATATATTCTTTATTGTCATTTACACATTTCGTACATTCTCAATGTATTCTTGTTTAGAGGCTGCACTTCGGTCCCCATGATGCTTCCACCGTACACATTCACAACGTAAAAAATGTGATCTCCCCTTTTTTAGAAAGCGACACATGACAACAAATAGACCATACGCAAAAGAGAGAAGAAGAACAAAGCCCCAGACCAACGGCTACTGACGTAAATGCTGCAAAAGCGTCAGTCAGTAGTTTCCCCGTATGGCAGAGAAGTGGTTACATATTAAACATCACTGGACAGTTTTAGCACATTTAACATTTTGGAGCAGCAGCCGCCCTCGTGAGCGCTGATGCTCCTCCATTCCGCTTAAACACACTGCAACGGGCTGGAATACAAACATAGTGTCGTGATGGTTGCACACAGACTCCTCGTGTCAAAGCCTCAAAGTGGTGCGAAGGAGACGTTTATATCAGCTATGGGAAACTCATACAGTAGCTGTTGTGGTCCAGAGGTTATGGTTCATTTATCAAGTGACCAGTCAGTAATCACCACACGGACAAAACAAAAGGCACTGGAAAGGAAATAACAGAAGCAATCAAACGACTTTCTGGGTGTGTGTGTGTGTGTGTGTGTGAGGGGGGGGGGGGGGGACACGGAACAAAGGACGCCGTGAAGTGAAGTGAAGGTAAAGCCTCACCAGTGGTTACAGGTTGAGTGACAAAGGCACATCTATGATGAGCTAACGGCGCTAACGGCGCACACAACACCAACGGGGCCAACCGCGTTCCCCTGGGAGCCGGAGGCCAGCTCGGATTACAACGCACTACGAAGGGGGCGGACTTCAGACACACGGCGCTAGGTCTTTGCTGCTCTATAAATGCTCTGAGAACGGCACAAAAACCTTTAACTACCAGCTCATTGGTTTTCCTGATAGTGGCAGCGGCAGTCGAGGACTGTATCCCACACACACACACACACACAGCTGCATTTCCACCGAACAGTTATCAGTGAACAAGAAAAAGAAAGATAATTCACCACTTTGTATTAAGCATAGTTGTGGTGGTGAATGTGAGTTTTGCGAGAGACGGCGTTGAAGACGGAGTGGCACAAAAATATAGGCTGGTCGAGTGACAACACAGCGTGTGCGTGTGAGAGATCGGGGCGCAGCGTGAGGCGTTACCGTGGCGGCGGTGCTGCGCGGTGGCTTTGGTGGACCATCAGCTCCCCCCCACAGCTGATGGTTTGAAAACAGAGACAGAAAGAGGGGCCCCTTTAAGGTGAAAGACAGAGGAAGAGGCCACTTTAAGTGCTCGAGGCACAAAGAGGGAAGGTCTTCGTGTATGATTATCAGTGTGTGTGTGTGTGTGTGGAGCTGCTAAGAGGACGGCTGGTTCAGCAGGCGCAGCCCCCGTGGCTCTCTGACGGCGAGTCCTTAAGGGCCTGGTTCCTGTGGTTGGCCTCGGGGCCCATGTCCCCCTCCATGCTCTCGTTCATCTTCTGGCAGATGACGTCCACCAGGCACTCGAACACCTGCTTCACGTTGATGTTGTCCTTGGCGCTGGCCTCGAAGAACTGGAAACCTGAAGGGCGTTTTTGCTCTCGTGTCATCCGCCGTCATTTGTCATCAACGAATACAGCAGACGTGTGCATGTTGAAATGTCCCTACCTAAGTCCTCAGACAGCCTCTGGCCGTCCTCCAGGGGCACCAGCCGGTCGTCCTCCAGGTCACACTTGTTCCCGACCAGGATCACCTGGGCGTTGTCCCAGGAGTACGTCTTGATCTGCGTCGCCCTGTCGAACGGGCGGAACGGTGGATTAGAGGCAGTTCTTTGTAGCCTACTGAGCAAAAGGGCTTCAATGTCCTCAGTGACGAATGGATAATAATGTCCGACTCACCAGTCCTGCACTGCGGTGAAGGAGTCCAGGTTGGTGATGTCGTACATGAGCAGGAAGCCCATGGCTCCTCGGTAGTAGGCGGTGGTGATGGTGCGGTAGCGCTCCTGCCCCGCTGTGTCCTGCACGTACACACACACACACACACACACACACACACACACACACACAAATATGCTTTATACACACACACTACATTAGTAAAGGTCTACAAAACAAACTAAAAGAAACATGAATCCCTTTGGTTATGGCTTGAAACCACAAGGGGGCAGTATGGTTCTGTCCAAACAACGGCCTGTAGGTAACATTTAGAGGGAGTGCTCATACTAATTCTGAAACATCTGGGAGAATGCAGATGTGTGTTAGTTTAGTGGTGGTGGAGTAATTGAGTTCAGAGGCTCCCAACTTCATTGATCCCCCTTTACCACCACTTATATTCCCAAATGTATAAACTGGTGTTTATTTTACAAACATTTGAGGAAGCAGTGAAGCGCCTTTTCCTTGGCAGTTAAGAGAATTTACACAACTCATCATTTCATCTGGATACCTTTGGGTCAAAGACAATTTGACCCCAGCTCAGGCGTTTTTTTGTTTATAGCATTTGATCTGATTCTAATCCTTTTGGCAGCCGTTGACCTCTGGCAGAAAATCACTGGTCTAGTAAATCATTGGCACCGCCCAAGAGGGCCTCGCCCGCCACTGTGCACAGACCAACAGCATGGCGTCTCATCGGGCTCGGACGCAGTGAGTGGGTCACGCCGAGCAGTGGGAGGAAGAGGAGGAGGAGGAGCAGCATCTTCCAATGGAAAGAGTGACGATGCGCTCGGTGGGTCCAAACAGTGTGCTGGATGAAAGATGCAACAGGTGGACTTCCCCCCCCTCACGGTTACTTGGTAACCCATTAAGTCCTTCATTTGCATATGAAGGCCTAAGTGTTTTTGGCAGCGCGGTGCGGTGGGTTGCCCGGGTAACCGTAGAGGCCACAGAGGGTCATGAATGTTCCATTACGACCGGGGCTGCTGTGGACGTCGATCCGCTCTCACTTTAAACAACATTATATTCTCTCAAACTCTGATTTCTGTCGAGGCTTTTTTGTCTTTGTTTCATTAAGAAAAAGTGCCAAATATTCCAGGTGCATCCTTTATCTCATCCAACATATTATTGGCAGCGTAATGTGGCATCTAGACAAGCGCCTCTCTGGGGTTAATCAGCCCCAGCCAGTTAACAAAAGCAGCTCCCTCATGTGTGTGTGTTTACATGTATGATGATAGACGGGGTTTACATCAGGCCCCTACGTGGTCCGGGACGTCACCAGGACCCTGATCTTCACGCAAGAGAAGCGTTTCCATCAGCCTGTCGACACAAAGCGGCGTCCCCCGGATACCACGCACAACACGCAGAGTGTGCGAAGGGTGTGTGTGCGTTTGCTCAAAGATCAGAGATACAGTATATTTCCATGGCACCCAAAGAAAAAAAAAAAGGGGGATGTAAACAATATGTGTACGCAGTGGGAGACATACGTGTGTGTCTGTCTGTGTGTGTGTGTGTGTGTGGGGGGGGTTTGTTTGGTCCAGGCGAGCCGGTTTCCATGACACAGCGGAGGCCGGCAGCTGTGCGGTGGGATCATCAACAAGCGCTCCCTGCGCGAGGAGCCTCTGGAATCAGGTGGTGTTTTCCGACAGGAGCCGGCGGGATGTTTCAGCGTTGATCATTAACGCCCTGGAGGACTCGGTCCCACGCCCTCTTTAAACACGCCGCGCCACGCCGCCGTAGTGAACCTCCATTATGTCCCAGTCACATGCTGATAGGGAGCTTCCTTCGCTTCCGGCTCTCAGGGAGCAGCCGGCCCTGTTCGTCGGTCCCGCCCACCCTCTCACCCGACGCACGCCGACGCCGCTCACTGTTGCGCTCTTTCTCTGCGGTTGGTCACACACCACTTGTCATTTAAAAAGAGACACATGTTCGGGTCCAAGTTACTATGTGTGTGTGTGTGTGTGTTTTGGTGTGGGCTCCTCTGCTGCTGATTCATCGCTGACAGCGCTTGTGTGTCGTACGGTGGCTCACGCGTTGTTGGCTCTGGTGAATCATCTGTTTGAACAGCCTTAACCGTGTGTATCGAAAGGATTTGTAGTGCGTCGTGACTAATGTGGGCTGGGGAGGAAAAACTAAAGAAAAATGAAGGATCAACCGCGTGGAAGCCCTGCTATGAATGCTCATATTGCATTGCTCATATTTGGTATTCAGACCATCAGCAGAGCTGATCTGGGTCCAGCTAGCGAGCTAAGCTAACCAGCTGTCTCCTCAGAGAAAGAGGAACAAGCACATTGTTTCTCTAAAGAGGTCAGAGATCTACAGATGTGCAATATGCATCAATTTCAAAGCCTGCAGACACACGCAAGAGTGAGGAAAAGGAATTGCTAAACCTGTCTGAAAAAGGGGTAATGGTTTGTTTTCATTGAAGGCCAAACGGCGCATCAATTTATAGGAATTGTGGGACGGAATTATCAACTTTACTTCTGGAAAAGGAGCGAAGAAAGGAAGCATTGGCACATAAATACTCACAGTTCTAATCATTTCACTCAGTTGGGGACCTTTGGAACTAAAAATGTCTTTGGCCTGTGGGAGGAAGCCGGAGTAGCGACCTCCTTGCTGTGCGGCGACCGTGCTAACCACCACACCGCCGGGCCGACCCGAGAACAGCCCCGGACAGAGAACATTAACTGGCGTGCTTCACACGGTTGTGTGGTTCATTGTGCTGCGTAAAGGCCTTTACATGTCTGGCCTTTTTTTTCTGCATTAACTGCGGCAGCGTCCGTTGAGAAAGCCACAGACTTGTGAAATGTGGCCTTGACTAATTTGCATGACGACACGTGTCCGGTAAACAAAAGTGAAAAAACACGGCGAGCAAAGAGGAACAAAATACTAACTGCAACAACACGTTTCAATTTAAAAAATGGCCGCTTACCGCTCCGCAAGGCTATTAAATCACAATACGCTGCCTGCAGAAATGAGTTTGTTTCCGTTTCCTCCAAGTCGCCGTGGAATCATATTATAGATTTTGTGAAAAGCAAAATACCTGCAGATCTGAGGTGAGGCGGCTTCTCGTTGTCTCTGAGCCTCGACCTCCGGCTGGGCTTCAAGCCTCAGCGGAAACATGCTAAACGGGGAGACCTTCCCTCGTTCAGTCTTAGTCCATTAAAGTAAACACTCCATGAGATGCAAGATAAGGGCAGCGGGTAAGAATGCTTACGCAAACCACGAGGAAGTCACACGTTTTACACTTCATTCTTCTGAGCCTCGCCCTGCAGACGGGCGGCTTCCATCTCCAAGCCGCACCAAAGAGGCTCCTCCGCGGTGTGCACCAGGGTGACTCCACCGCCCCGTGTTCCCTTTGTCCACATGGAAGAGACTGGAGAGTGTCCACGTTCTTATCAACAACAGGTGTTCGTGCGAGGGCGCCGGCGTGCTGGATGGAGGGCGTTACAATCAATGCGGGTTATTAGCTAGAGATGCGACGGTCGCTACTTTCACGTGACTCGCAGATTCCGGACCATCGCCGATAACATACGGAAATGTATTCATACGTTTTCTTTCATTGGCAGATTTTTCAAATTCATGCATATAGTCGCTCCAAGTTACAGGACTGTTAATAATCCACCAGTGAAAAAAAACAACTATCCAATATGTGTTACTTTATGGCTGCAGGGGGATCGTCACGGAGCTGAACATCGCCAACGGCAACCTGCCCGCGGTGAACACCATAAAACTTAATTAAACTACATTCATAAAAACACACACGGTATCTTATCTTCAAAACCACTCACCCAGATCTGTAACTTGATCCTCTTGTCGTTGCGGAAGACGGTCTTGACCTTGAAGTCAATGCCCACGGTGCTGACGAAGGCGGAGGTGAAGGAGTCGTCGGCGTAGCGGAACAGGAAGGACGTTTTCCCCACGCTGCTGTTGCCGATGATCAGCAGCTTGAACATGTAGTCAAAGTTCTGGTCGGCCGCGTCCTTCTGGGACGGCGGCTGCTGGAGCCGTGAGTCATTTGATGCCATCTAGACGGGGGGAGGGGTGGGGGGCACAAGAAGGATGATCAACTTATTATTTGATCACCACTGTTAAACAATGCTGCTCTCCCTGTAGTCACTGACGGGGATCAGTGTGGTCCTGCTACGGCTCCTCTGAAGTGTTTCTGATCAAAATGTAAAGAGACGGTGAGATCAAGTTGCTTAATTTTAAGCATTAAACAGGGAGAGCGGCCCTGCAAACACGCCCATGCAGCTGATGAATCGGTGCCTGCCTCCAACGCTCTGTCTCTGTGTGTGGGGGGGAGACCCGTCTCCGTGGAGACCAGACAAGGGACCCAGCTGCCAGCAAAGACCAGCGGCCACAGCAGCGGTTCACCGGGCTGTTAACTGGCCAGATGGAGGTCCCCAGAGCGGGATGGACATATCCATCACACTGCCATCGATGGACGAGGGAAGAGGGGGGGGGGCTCAATGCTACCCAGACATTGGAGAAGCTGTTCTGTGTAAATGTTTGCTCGCACAGTAATTGCCCGGTTATGAGGGGACGAGTCCATATCCCTCCATTGTATACGGACTGGGCGCTCTTGTTTGCTCTCCTTAAAGAAACAAGAGAATCCAAACAAACTGATGGCTGAAACAGAAAAAAAATTAAACCCAAAGCGTGGAATTCATTAAATATTAAAATCACTCCAAATCACTTTTGTTGGATTTGTATCAGGATTGATTTGTATCTTTCTACACAGCCGGTTCAAAATGAACAACGGCACGATCCCCTTTCATAATCTCTCTTCACCAGGAAGGCACATTCCCCGCAAACACAATGGCTTTTATGCTGAAAGGTGCTTGGCGTTATTTAAAATGCCATAAATATGACATCTTCCTGTGTCATGCATGTGGCACATAAGGGCCCCCAGAGGGGCATTTCTGTGAGCGCTGATCCCATATCGTGCATCTACCAATTATTTTAAAAAAAGATGTTTTATTTCTATGTCCGACTTTAAGCTGAGTTTAAGCCTGAGTTAATCCCAGTCACGTGTCTGCAGGCCAATAAGAAGCCTCGCGCAGCCAGCAGGGACATTCCTGCCTCCTCTCACAAACATGTCAGATGCATTCACACGTTTGTGCTGACGAGTGTCCCTCACTCACTCACTCACTCACTCATTCATTCATATATAGAACAGAGTTGGATGGGAAGGTGATGACGGGTCCTGTTTGTTGCCGCCGGGCGGACTGAACCACACGCAGGAAATGCCTCGATAAGTGGGGCAGCTGTCACGTCAGTTCCGTCGTTGTTTGGGAGGTTAGAACCTCCTGGTCCGAGATAAAAGACGGTGTATTCGGTTTTTTTTAAGACAGACGTAAACTTTTAACAACTTTGCGCAGCAGCGGTGTGACGGATAAAAAAAGGATCCAGTAGGATTAGGAGCTTACGTTTGGTATCACTCCGCCAACATCCACCTGTTATTAAAGTAACGCGTGTCGGCGCATCGCCTCAGCGCGGGGCGGGACAGAAGAACCTCGAAAACTTAAAACTAACTTACCTTCTTGGGGGAGGAAAAGCAGACGTCCCACCCGAGTCCCGGGGCAGCGACGCGCGGCTGCGTTCCGTCCGGCGGGGCGGTGAGATGCCGCGCAGAGTAACGTTAGCTGGAGAAAAGTAGACCCGGCGCCTTCAAACGCCCTTATTTCCACGGGATACTTCTCTGCTCGAGGGTTCTTTCGGCGTTCGGAGCCGCTCCCGGGTGTCTGTGGCGCGGGGGACGCTGTGACAGCGGTGACACGGACACGCAGGAGAGCTGAGGGGCCGCGTCCACAGCGAGCACAGAGGGCGGGGCGCGCGCACCGCGGGGACGCGCCCCCAGGACAGCGCGCCTTGCATCCATGCTACTCAGGCATTATTCCACCTGCTATACACACCAACCATCACATACTAGTCGTGTATGTGTGTGTGTATAGACACGGCTCTGAAGTCAAAGGAGGGTCCCACCTTTTTCATAGAGCGGCATCAATACACACAGTGCAGTTTTACTGGGGGGGGGCATGAGATGCAGACACCTCCATCTCCTCACTGAGTAATGAGGTTAAAAACATGAACATGACACTGTAAGAAATGAGTATTAGGAATATGAATATTATAGAGAAATATTACCAATACTTATTTGTATTGCTTATTGTTTGTATCTCATTGGGATGGTTTTAGGTAACACGATTCCGAACCCCCCCACTACAGTCCTGGTTCTCCAGTTACCAAAGCTCGCTGTGTGGCCATTACCCGTGGTTTCATTCGATCAAATGATGATGTTTGTGTGTCCACATCATTTGTATCAAACTGAGCAGCCTCATCCTGAAATAAATTGCATTGCAGGATTTCAGTGTTTTTTTCATGCTGCTTAGGTACACATCCACCACGGAGAACAAACTAATGCAAATGAGGTCTACATTTCCACATCACAGACAAATTGAATAAAAGCTGCTTCGGGCTCCCTGACTCGTAATGAATTTAACGCGCTGCAGGGCCGCTGTGCCGTCTGTTACTGGGCTTCCAGATGAACCAGCGGCAGCCTACGTTTCATACTGTGAATCCGTCTCTTTTCTCACACACCTACTCATTTCCTCTTGAGGGTCAGGAATGACGGAGGAACACTTCCTTTTGTTTCCCCGCTTCCTCGTGTTTTACTTTGCTCACAGACCAGGGAATTCTTTAACCGTGTGCCAATGTTGGCAGCCACAACCTTCATAGGGTTCAGATATCTTTGAGAGTTTTGCATGCTTTTTCACTTGACCCCCCCCCCCCCTCCCGCAGGTTATGCCATGAAAGTATGAGTGGATAAACTTGTTCTTTGGTTAAACAGGGTTTACTTTATTTCCTGATGCCACTGGCGTAGGGAACTTGTCAGGACGGTTTTAAAGCGTTTCAAAACATCTATTTGAGACAGAAACTTCCTTGTACGTTCCACAAAAAAGGACAATAAACTGGCACAAGGTCAGCAAAGTGAAACAAACTGCCTTCCGAGGTAATTGTTTGTTCCACACTTTATATTTATAAAGCAGAACGTCAGGAAGAAGAAAATCACACTAAATGGTTATTAGTTGCTGATGGTCTTTAGAAAAAAGGCCCAGATGAATGAACATTTTGCTTTTAGTCCCTGGCTCTCCTATTGAAAAGCCTGCACTATAATCCATTAGTGCTGATGATGAGAACAGTGTCTCTCTCCCCCTGCAGCCGGCCAGCAGAGCACCGCGCTGCACATCGCAGGCGGCTCCTCTCAGAAACCTGCTGTGCGTCACCGGTAATTTAATTAAAACCTTTCCCCATTTCAAATCCGGGCACAGTCTGCTTGGTTCTCTCAACAATCCACCTATGAGGATTAAAAGGACACTTTGTTTTACAATCCAGTAAAAACATTGTTTCAGAGCAGAACAACCCCGACAAGACCAACGTGTAGCACAGAATACAACTAAATAAATGGCACAATAACACCCCATCACACGAGTTGATCAAATTTGACATTTAATGTCATCAAAATATATATTTGTAAACACATTTTTTTTATTACAAATATAAAAAGCCAATAATCTAGTGGTGCAGTGCACCAACCCCCCCCCACACACACACACACACACAAACGCAGTGCAACAATACAAAATAAAATGCAACAAATACCATTATTAAAGAAGTTAGTGCAGTATAGTGTTTACATTAGCAAAGGGTGGGGCTTGACAAACGGTTTGGGAACCGCTGCTGCACTTATCTATGCTGAGCTCAGAAACGAGCGAATCCCTAAATGCACCTGCTTCCGAACATCGCCCCCTGCTGGGCGCTCTGTGCACACATTTGAGTGAGCTTTTTCTATTTTTTTTTATTATTATTATTCTCATTTTATTTTTTTAATCAAACGGTAGAAAAAAAATGCATTCAAATACATTTAATGTTTTGAGACTGCAAAGCTACCGATTGACATTCGGTACACACCCCTCTCTATATGGTGGATAAATTCAGAGCCGTGTAGATCAGATTAGCCGTGGTGCAGATGAACCCGATCAAGTTGCAGAGGTTGGACAGGCCGTGATAGCGGCCGAACGCGCCCTTGCATGCCTTGTACTTGGGGTCCTGTTCTCGGAGCTTAGCGTACGCCTCGCTCTGGCTGCCCAGGCCGATCTGGTCCCCCAGGCCATGCTCCTTCTCCACCTCCCTCATCTGGAACATCACCGCTGTGGCCGCCGGGCCCAACCACCGGGCGTTCAAGCCCGCCGTGAGCAGCGCCGCGAAGTACAGAAGCATCTGCAAAACAGCAAGACGCCGACAACTTGCATGCTTACGTGATTCAAGTATTTAGAAAATTGTGTGCGCGGCTGTGATGTCTGACCTGCGCGCTGCCGTGCCAGTCCAGCAGGTCACAGGGGTGATACACGGCGTGCACGGCCAGGCTGACGACGTTGCTACCCAGTAGACAGTAGAAGTACACAGGGAAGAGCTTGCTCTGCACCAGGCCAAAGGTGTGCCGACTGACCTGCCGCACCAACACAATACCTGCAGGCACACACATCCCGGTCAGGAACCACAGTTGGATCCATATATTTTACCAAAAAAAGTTGTGAGGAGTGATAATATTGCAGTTTTCTGACTATTCTATGGCAAATATATATTTATAAAATCAAAGCATAATTAATAAATTAAGTGCACACTTAAATTAATATATATATATTTATTTTATTTTTTTAAATGAACATTTCGTTTTTAAGACTAATAACATATTAGAATTGTATATTCTTTCCTAATATTCTAAAAATAATTACTTAAAATAATATACAACAATGTTTTCTAAAAACGGGCATGTCCACAGATTATCATACAGTGTGTCAATAACTTAAGTGATCACGCTCATGTCCTTATAATGTACAATAGGTTCAAAAGGCATTTATTGTGACAGGCCCATCTCTTGTTTGTGCTCTCACCTGCTATGAAGGAGACCCAGACCTGCATACCCCAGCAGAACGAGAGCACCAGAAGGTGAAGCACTTTGACCAAGTCCGCGGGCTCCCCCTCTGCTGCCATGGTGTCCCTCTGCAAGACACATACAACAAATACACAGTGAGCCTTCATTCACACTCATTGAGATACCACAGATCTCAGTACTGTACCAGTATGAAGAAGTCTTTTCTGAGTTTATTAAACAGAATGTGTTGAAAAGTGAAAAAGTGGCAACCGTTGACCAAATTGTTCCTACTAGAAGATCTTTTGCCTCTTACGTGTTAGTAATGGGCTTGTAAAAACAAAACAAAAAACTATGTACTACTTTAGTTGGACAAAAAGTTCCCATAGTGAGGTCACATATGCTTGGGGGTCAGAGGTCAACGTCTCGGTTAATCTTTTTAGGAGCATATGAAAAAAAACTACTCCAAACAGACTTATTTGGGACTTTTTTGGAGGCGGTAACGCTTCACTGTAATAAAGTACAAAGAATTACAAATAAAGTGTAAACAATTCATTTACATTTACGGACTTCTTTAACGTGCGTCACTTCAAAAACAAGATTATGAAGAAACATTCATCCAAATTGTACTTGGCAGGACCACACACACACACACACATGCACGCACGCACGCGCACGCACGCGCGCGCGCGCACGCAGCTGGGGCCACGGAGATAAGGGACTCCGGCTGCTCCGCTTGCAGACCTGATAAGTCTCCAGATCGAGATAACGGCACAGAAGGCAGAGGGGAGAAAAACACGTCCCGGGATCCACTGACAACGACATTCACACCTCAACACGCGTCGCTCAACCTATTTGCATGTGGTGACAACGGCGGATTGATTCAATTACACAGCGAACCTACATTCTCTCTACATTCAACAGCTCACTTTACGACTGTTTCCCCCCCGGAACTGACAGGCTAACAGGCGTTAGCTTCTGAGCTAATTCGGGGAGCGATGCACAAGTTTTATGCCGTCGGCAGAGTTTCTCTCTCCAGGGAGCGTTTCACCGTGAGACGTGGAGTCGTGTCCCTCGGTGTCTCTCACTCACCTGTCTGTCCTCGTGACGGTATTCAGCGACGAGTAACAACCTCATTATGATCCAAAGATCAGCCCCTGTCCATCATGTCGACAAGCCCCGCCCCGCCACGTCAACGGACCAATGGCATTCCTTTTTATTACTGAATATTACATTTGAAGAATATCAGCATTTCCACCATAAGATTACAAACTCAAAAGAATAAGAAACAAGAAAGTGCAATTTCATTAAATAAGCCGATTTACAACTTGCTATAGATAAGAGCCATTATAAGTACAATTTATAAGGGATATATTACTGTAAATTAACAGTGAATTTACCCAGAAGAGCTGCCAGAAAGTTAGAGGAATAATATACGGACTGAGAAGATCAGGCTAAAGAACACAGCATGTGTGATTAAATGTAATAATAGTAATCAAATAGTCGCTTTATGCATTTATATAAGGAGCCAAGATAAAATACACTCATCACCATGAACTGACAGTGTCAAGTATTGTTTTCTTTTCAGGATATTCCTAAAAAGAAAACAATACTGGACACTGTGGACACAGAGATTTTGTTAATAAATTGCATCAAAAAAGAGACTGTGGACAACAAGATTCCTGCTGCTGATGGTTGCAGGTATCTACTGACAAATACCTTTACACACTGTTTATTGACAGTCATCGCAATAGGATTTGAAGGACGTCACGTTTGCAAAATCAACAAATGCATCCATCCATCTTCAACCGCTGATCCAGGGTCGGGTCGCGGGGGCAACAGCTCCAGCATGGGACCCCAAACATCCCTTTCCCGGACCTTTTCCGGGCCACATTTACCAGCTCTGACTGGACCGGGAACAAGGCGTTCCCAGGCTAGTGCAGAGATATAATCTCTCCACCTGGTCCTGGGTCTTCCCCGGGGCCTCCTCCCCCCGGAGCCTCTTCCCAGCCGGCCGTGCCTGGAACACTTCCCTAGGGAGGCGCCCAGGGGGCGTCTTTACCAGATGCCCAAAAATCAACAGATGAGGGGAGTTAATTCAGAAAATCGAGATCTGCTATTGGACACACAATGCTGTCAGTCTTCTTCCCCCAGCCAATCACAAACCGCTTAAATTCCCAGCTAACCAATCAGTGGGGTCACTACAGAGGCGCAGTACCCGGATGAAGTTGAATCCACCGAGCATCCTCCGCTGCCGACATCCCTTTGGTAAGTGTCAGTCACACCATTACGCGAATGCGAAATGATACAACCCATAATACACGAACCACGCACTGCACTTGCGCATTTAGCCCTGAAAGTCGTTTATTAAAAGCTATATTTTCGTCTCTTTCAGTCTTTACCCAAGAGGTAGCATCTGTTAGCGCGTTAGCTCGCTAGCGTGTAGCTAAAGCTATTTGATGTTTTTCTGACCCTGTCTGACGTGACGTAAGACGGATAAGACAACAACGTAATTCAGAGTTTGCTCTATAATATGTTGAATAGTGAGGTATTATTCACGTGGGATAGATAACATGTTTTTTGACTGGTTTGTTAGTTTTGGTCCAGTAATTTGAATGTTATCTTATTTTGATTCAGGTAAGCAGCCATTACTGGTTAACAATGAATGAGTGAATGATTGTCATAAAACCAGCTACATTACTTTTTTTTTAATACATTACCAACAAAACAGTATTATTGTAATCATCCTTTCGTATTCACAGTTACACAACATTACAAATGGGGCGCAGGAAGTCAAAGAGAAAGCCACCTCCAAAGAAAAAGATGACGGGCAACCTGGACGTCCAGTTCACCTGCCCGTTTTGTAACCATGAGAAATCCTGCGATGTCAAAATGTAAGTAAATGCAGAACAACCGAACGAGATGAAGAAATGCACCATGATGCATATAACTAAGGTACTTACTGTTTTCCAGGGAACGAACCCGCAACACAGGAATCATATCATGCAGCGTTTGCTTGGAGGAGTTCCAGACTCCAATCACCTGTATCCTTTTTTAAAAATTCTGCATAGTAAGTATAGTATGCAAGTCAGGTCTAGAAGCCAGTGAGCAAGTGGTGAGTCTTTTTCCTTCTTCTGGAATGTCCCTTAACCCGATTTCCATCAGATCTGTCTGAGCCAGTGGATGTTTACAGTGATTGGATCGATGCCTGTGAAACGGCCAATCAATAGTCATGTTCTCCCGTGACCCTCGACCCTGTGCCCAACTCCGTTCACTTACATTCCCCCGCCCCCCACTTGTGACCGGTCCGTTAAATCCAGCCCTGTTCAGCGAACACAATGCAGCCAAGTCTTTAAGAAACAATGGAAGCGGACGAGTGTGTGTTTTTAGTTGACGTGCTGGTCAGTTTACCTTCTTGCCACAGCGTGGATGGACGAGCACGACGCGCTGCTCTGGCTGGGCCAGAGTCGTCCTGTTGTTTGCTCTACGTCGCAGTTCTCTCTGTAAATGCTTTTCAGATGTCGGGCGACTGTGGGTGAGTGGGGAGCACGGTCGTCCTCCAATCAGAGGGTTGTCGGTTCGATCCCAGTCTCTGCTAACCCGCATGTCGATGTGTCCTTGGGGAAGACACTTAACCCAACATTGCTCCTGTAGCTGCGACTACAGTGTGTGGATGTTAGTTACTGATGGCAGGTGTCACTGTGTGTGGTTCTCCTGTATGAATGGGTGAATGATGTCATGTAGTGTTAAAGCGCTTTGAGTGGTCGGAAGACTAGAAAAGCGCTATAGTACAGTCCATTTACCGTCCGTAGTTATCGGTTTATTTCTTTTAACTCATTACCTCATAATGTGGTCTTTTTCTTTCCCAGACTAAATTGTCTCATCACCGACTGAAATTTCCATGAGTGTAAAACACAATATGTCCACGGCAGTTATTCTTTGTGTTGTCAATGAAGTGAATATGACCGTTGTTTTCAGATTGTTGTAATAGAGGATATAGACACAAGTGTGTTACTTTTGTAGAAAGTAGCTTTTTACATTTTAACCCAGTCGCTAATGCACTGAGACATTTTGTTTATTGGATCATGTATGTATAATATATATATATATATATATATATATATATATATATATAATTAGTAATGCTAGATTTGATTCATTTTCCTTTTTTAATATCACAATCATGCAATGTCACTTCTTGTGTGTATTTCACATTCAATGTGTATTTTTAGCCAATAAGAAAATCAAAGCAGAACCATATTTTTTCAAGTGTTTTTTTATTGCACAATGTCATGTTTAGTGAACGCGTATAGAAATAAAAATTTAAAAAGTCAAGAGGTTAGCAAAGGTAAAGTTTGAACAATGTTGAAACAAAGCCAAAGCAAACACATTAAAGTGAAATGTTACCATACATTCACTCAACATTTGGATCTTTTGGATCCCAAAGGGAACTAAAAAAAATACATTTGAATAAAAGAGACCGTTTCCGTTAGATGTTTAATGGGTTAAAAATACAGTAAGTGTACATGTGCTTTCCCTCCACTAGATGGCACACGGCTACACGTCCTCAACCACAACGACTGAACAGATTCAGCAAACAAACATGGAGCTTATTTTAACACCTAATTCAGACGGTAATTGGGAGCCAAGGACTAAGAAATGCAGATGTTGGGGCCTGAGACGCCCCTTTGTGCTGATGGGTGGAGCGTGACTCCTGGAACAGCTCGACCCTCCACTCACATTCAAAGTATTCGCTGGGTTAAACAGTTTGACGCAGGAAATTTAAATTTTAACGTTTTCAAATGTCTGCTATATTTATAAGAAATCACTTTGAATTTGATTTAAAAGTCAGTTTGAATAAATTAATTTAAATTAAATGTAGGCCCATTTTTCAACCAATAGCGCATCAATCTCTCTCATTCTAATGATTTAGCAGAGCCCAATCTATAGTTGCAACTGTGCAGAAATAACTGCTTAAAAACAAAATTAACAGACGTGGGTAAAAAAAAGAATATTGATTTAGAATTTCAATGGAAGGAATGAATCATCACAGTACCCTGTGAGTATTCTACCCTCTATTATATTATTACTATAACCTCATTGTAAGATTGTATTTAGTAAAGTTACTATAACTGACGGAGTAAAAACGTACAAAAGATAAAAAATATTCAGTACGCATTGAGCAGAAATACTCAAAGTACCTACAAAACTCACTCAACTATGGATCTCAACACCTACATTTGCTCTCGCACTCTTTTTTCCCCTCAATGCTTCCTCAGAATCTACACAAAGTAAATGAGATCACGAAAAGAAGAAGAAGAAGAAAGATGGCGCGGTGGGTGATTGGCAGGTCCGTGAATAAGACGGAGCGGGTGCTCACAAAAACAATTACCAGCCCTCTGCTCAGTCCATGAACTCCCCCCCCTCCCCCCCCTCTCTCCCACCCGGGAGCTTCTGCAGGATCCCGAGGGGCCGCGGCGCTCACGTGGAATCCGGTTGTGTGAAAAAGTTTCGTCCCTCTGTTCCCCTCCCAGGGAACTTTTAAATTCTGCTTTGTCACAACTTTACTGGGTGGGGGGGTGTCAAAAATAATTCTCTAATTAAAGTAAAAAAAGAATGTAGGAAAAAAAAGTTTTTTTATAAATATCAGAAGGTCATTAATGTTTGAAGGGGATTTTTGGCCGCTGCAAGTCTTAAAAGTCAGGTTGGTGCAAACGATTACTTTTTCATTTGTTGCCTTTTACTCCCAGAAAGACAAACAAAATAAATCCACAAGAGTAAAAAGTAAGTTTAGAGGGACGTTAAATAACAGTCTGCCCGGTTTCTTTCTTGTCACAAAGGCAGCTGGTTACCTGATGTTAAGCAAATAGGAGGGTGGGGGGGTTGAGGGTGGATTCGGTGTGGGGTGGTGGGGGGTGTGGTCCTCTCAGTCAGAGTACTGGTAGCCATCGAACTCGGCCCCGTTGTCGCAGGGGGCCTCGGTGGGGTTGGCGCAGTACTTGTTGTCGTAGACCTGGCGCGGGAGGCCGTAGGACGTCATGCCCTGCTGGGACGCCACTTTGTTGGTGCCCATCTGCAGGGAGATGGTGGAGCTGTCACAGTTCTCCAGCTCCAGCTTCTTATCGAAGATGTGCCTCCTGGTCCCCGGGGCTGTCATACCGGCCTGAAGCAGAGGGGGGGGTAGTACGTTACTTTGTGTTCTTCTTCTCAACCTTAAATCATGGCCACTTTGTCAGCATCATTGTGGAACTCAAGGTGTCCTCACCTGGCTGGCTCCCTTGTTGGTGCCCATCTGTAGGCTGATGGTGGATTGGTCCACGTGGCCGTCGGTGGCCATCTTGGAATCGTACAGGTGGCGGCGTGTGCCGTAGGAGGTCATGCCCTTTTGGCTGGCGAGCTTGTTGGTGCCCATCTAGAGAGAAAGCGAAAGGCAGCGAGTTAAGAGCTTGAGAAAGCCCGACGTGTCCCACGTGAGCCCGCATCTGGTGCCAGCCAGCCGGTAAATCGTAGCGGCGACGCGCTCCAACAGCGCGGAACGAGCCGATGTGAAGGAAACAACGAGCCGCTCATCCGTCAGAAGGAGGAAACCGTCACAAGCATCCCGAGCATTCGTGGCCGTCACCTTGCTGGAGTCAGCCTGGCTCGCTTTGGAATGAAAATAAATGCGTCCGTTAGTAAGCAAGGATCGCTAATTAGCATTAGCTTTGGTCATCTTCCGCGCATCCGTGACGTCTTTTTTTTTATCGATTGCACACGATCGACTGGTACGGCCTTTGAGATCGACCTTTTAGGAACCCCTGCTTCCTACGTTTTACTCTCCAATTTTCCTTAGAAAGCCTTTTTCCCGGCTTAAATAACTAAATGAAAAGCAGCGGTGTGATCGTTTGTTCTTGTATTCCTTTGACTTCACAGGTTTAGGTTCCACCTTTTCAGTGTTGGGAGTAACGCGTTACAAAGTAACGCATTACTGTAATTCCACTACTTTTAGCGGTAACGAGCATGTAACGAAGTATTTTTTAAAATACATTAACGCAGTTACAATTACTGAAATGAGTTTGTTACTCGCGTTACTCTCCTTTGTGACGCGAAGCGGAGGGCCGGAAAATAGTAAGTAAATAGCTGCCTGTCAGCACAAAATAGTTGTGGCCACCAAACGTTGTGTGTCACAGAATAGTGACACACATGCTGCAGGCGCCGCTCCACGCAAACAGCCAGGGCTCCACTTCACACGGACTGCAGTGCAGCCGATGAACCGGGCAGAGCTGAATAGATTGATCGCTCGCCATGTTGAAGATGAGATGCATCCTGTCAACTGTCGAGTCAGCTGCCTTCAGGCAAATGCCTGAAACAGTTATTTTGTATTAAGTAAAGTATTAAAAATGACTTTTGTACTATTGCTTGATTTGAAGGCCTGTTGCCCTGTTGATTACAATAAATAGGTCTAAAAAATATGTTTATTGTGTTTGACTGTTCAGTACTATTTATATTCATTACATTTAAAAAGCAGACATAAAAGTAACTTAAAACTGACTTTCCAGAGTAACTAATTACTTTTGATACACAGTAACTGGTAAGTAATTCAATTACCTTTAAAAGAAGTAACTAGTAACTAACTAAATACTCATTTTCAGTAACTTGCCCAACACTGCACCTTTCATGGTGAGCCCGTGTTTAACGTCACAGGAACTGTGGGTCTTCCCTCAGACAGGGACGCAGAACGCAGGTTCCAGTGCCAAAGAACCCCTTGACAAAAACGCTTCACTACTCGGAAGTGGAACGACGCTAAACGCTGAAAGACTTTACGGCATAAAAGACGGCAAATGTTCCCATGAATGGGTTATTATTCCACATGCAGTGCAGGTTGGATAAGATCCAATAAGTCCAGCAGTGGGTACAACAAAAGACCTTCTCAAAGAGCATCTCTGGACACATTCGCACTACAAGCCCTGAAGAGGGCACAGCCGCACAAAGGGCCCATTCCCGGTTTATTTATTCACGCCGCTCTGACCTGCAGGCCGATGATGTTGCGACCCTCCTTCAGCTTCTCCGGAGCGAAGCGCCGCTGCTGTTTCTCGGCGTACTTTACTCCCAAGTCGTACTTGGAGTGGAAACCTTTGGACTTGGCCTGAGACAGAAGGGAAAGCGGTGCTGATAAGGGACCATTTTCGTACCAATATTCATTTTTATTATTCTTCTGCCGTCGGCATACTGGAGTCCTGCTCCAGACAGGTGATCATCGGGAAGTCTGTCTGTGCATCATTGATCTCACACACAGTTACTCTGGTCTTTATGGAGAGCGACTGATTCTCCCATTCAGCAACCTTCGGAAGTGGCTAAAGCTCCAGATGTGTGTGTGCGTGCGTGTGTGTGGGTGTGTGTGTGTGTCCCCGCCCTCACCATTCCTGCCAGAGCGATGAGCGTGCTCTGGACCTGAGTGTGGTTGACATTCTCAAATAGATCGTTGGCCTCAAAGATGTCATCTGGCCTCAGGCCGAACTCTGTGATTGCGCGGACAAAATTCCCTATGTTTTCCAGCTGAGGGAAAGAAGGAAAAAAACCACACAGAGTCAGTGGAGAAGAGCAGCCATTGTGGCAAAGTTCTGAGCAGACATCGATGCACCGATGCAGAATGCAGGCATCTGTTAGATACTTACTCAGACTCGGATGAGTCACTACGTCGATATCTATGGATTTAGTAGTTGCGCTTTGCATGACAACATAAGGAAAGCCTGGAGTGGCTCGACACAAAGAAGGCCGATCCCGGTCACTTCCACAAAAGGACGCATGCAGCTTATTTATTGAACACGAGTATCAGATCAGTACACTCAGATATCCGTACGGGGGCTGAAGGAGGAACAGAGGCATCAGTCCTTGTGTTTCCCATTTAAGGGACTGTGCTTTCTTGCAGAGGGTCACACAGAGAAGACCGATAATATCTGTGTGGTAAATAACGGTTAGCTTAGCGTAGCTGCTCGCTTTTCTTGCAAAGAGATGATGCCTCACCTGGTGCCAGTTTTGAGTGGAGCTGCTGATCTTTCTCACAGAACCCGGCCGCAGGACATTAATGAGTCTACGAAGAAAAAGGATGCAAAGTTCAAGCAAGTTAGAGATTGAAGTTGCAATAATAACAATTCCAAAATAGTTCTATCCTAAAAATTGTAGCGTTTCCATGGTGAAAGCATCCGGTCCCCTTACTCGCACAATAGGACGCCGTCCTTCAGGCTCTCCATGAAGCTTTCCCCGACCCTTTTGCCCGTCACCTCCTGAATCCACAGCCTCAGCTCCTCTTCCTTCTGGTGGTCGTACTTCCCTGCCAGCTGAGAGGGATGGAACAGAGAGCAGAGGTCAAACCTCAGGCCGGACGTTGTTTTTAACGGTCAGCTTTCGGTCACTACAGAAGCAAACTTCTTTAGCGAGAAATGAATGAATGATGCAATAATATATATTCCATATGGTTTCAATACTATTTAAGTCTGCAGGAACTCAAATTAACCCTCATTTCACCCACAAGAGACGGCGCACTCTTAATCGGGGTCGTCTTTGGAAGTCTCGCGCTATAACGAAGACATTCTTTGAGTCGAGGAGCACAGAAGCACCGGGGGGAGAGAAGTGGAAATGAAAAAGGCCCGTGGCCATTCCTGCGCCGGCCGCTCGCTCTCTCTCTCTCTCTGTGTGTGTGTGTACTTCCTCACAAACATGTTGCCACCAATACCTTTAATTCCGGCGTGGGGTTTAAGTGCTTCTTGAGACCCCCCCCCCCCCCCCGCACTGCAAGCACACACACGCGTGTCCCATTATTCTTGAATGTTCTGCCGATAAGTCTTGAGATCGGCAGCCAACACAAACAAGTAGTTTCAAAGCAGCGGGGATCGCACAGCTTCCAGGCCATCACCCCAAACTTGGGAGAGACGACGCCCCCCCCCCCCCTCCCCAAAAAGCACTCCACCCTCCCTCCGACCGACTCGTCCTCTCCAATCGGCCCGGCTCAGATTTCCCTCTCACTCTCTTTTTCCCCTCTCTCCCACTGGGTTTTCCACAATCTGCCCTTTTACAGCGAGGCGAGAGCGCAGACGAACGGGTCCGATAGGAAAGGATCGACCGGCCCGTCATCTAGCCGCGTTGTTGTTGTTGTTCTTCAGGGACGCAAGCAGAGCAGCTGGTTTTTCTGAGCTCATGAAAACAGAAAAAATACTCAATACTACAATCAGCTTTTTCTGTCCAATCTGTGTTCATGTGTTGTTGGTTAAGCTACAAACACGTGCACGAGCTGCAGGCACAGAAGTCCTCAGCTAGAAGTACGAGTACCTCAAAGTCGTACTTCAGTGCAGCGGGGCACTCCTGTATTGTTCCTGTAAGACCAAGTAGAGAGCACTCATAACGCCAGAACTTCCCCAGTAACATGTGGAACACAGGGGATGTCCATCAAAGAGTAGCATAGATTAGCCACCCGCCACAAACTGCTGCGCTCACCTGCGTTGTGCTTCTACGGACCAATCATTTACTTGACAAACATCTTGCTGTATAGAAGAAGAATTAAAACCATAAACTTGTTTGTTTACAATGTCTCATAGACGTCAATAAATCAGACCTATGATTCCAGTAGAGCGAATGCACTGGTGGGTTTATGGTTTATGAATTCATCTCCATTTACGGGCCACTGGAAGTCTTGCAGATCACCATGTTGGCTCCACCACCGAGTAACGGGGGCAAACCGGTTTGACAGTGATAAAACATCACCCACCAACACAAAGAAACCGTCCCACTGGCATCGTGTCTCCATCAGTCCTCTGCGCACTTGCGTTCTGTCATTCTGGACTGCGGCGTAAACTGTTTAGAGAAAGGACACGTTCTCCAGTTCTGCTAGCGGAGCCCGGTCGGCCCTTAAAAGGCCATGAGATCACGCCGACGTACCCGGCTGGTCTTCTCTGGTGTGCTGGAACTTACCACGCCTGCGTCACCCCAAGGAAACATTCGATTCCCATCGCTTGCTCCACACAAAACACTTCTTCCTCTTGCCCCTGTGTGTGTGTGTGTGTTTGCATAAATCAACTCTGGAATAGGGAGAAAAAAAGCCCACAGCAGTGGGGCAAAAAAACCTGAGTGCTGAATAGCAGTAATGAGAGGAATGTGGGTGTCACAGAGTCTAGTACTGCTGTGTGTGAGAGAGAGACTGAAGGCCAGATGAGAGACGACACTATTCAGGGTCGAGACGACTAGCGAGGAGGATGATGATGATGATGATGATGATCTGGGAGTTGGGACGTTTCCACGCTGACCTTTCTCATCCTGAGCAGACGGTCGGCGGCTGTGACTCAGCCCAGTGAGAAGAACTGCATTATACTGACAACAGCTGTATTGACACCTCCTGTCAGGGCGGTGACAGCAGGAATGCTGGGAAACGAGGCGGTGTGTGTGTGTTCACGCTTTGATCTGGCACGGTACCGTGCAGGACTGCCAATACAAGTGGGACGCACGGTCCTTCCCTATGAAACTTGATAGATTATTTTGTAAATAGCACATCCAGTTTGAATTGGCTCAACTTTGACTCCTGTCGACATCGCTGTCGCTTTTCATCGTCGTACATCGAAGATGATGCAACATGATGATACATCACAATTTAACGCAGACATGTGCACATGGGCGTGTACGTCAGTAAAGGAACATCTGAATGGGTCTTCCGGTATTGACCCATGTCCCTCACTCACACATGAACGTGTTCATTCATAGAAGGCAGTGTCCCTGCATCTTCATCTCTCTCTGAGACACATCGCAGGCTCGCTTATCGGGTTAGACGCCACTGCGCATGCGCGTGCGTCCTTTCTAACCTGCTGAAGGACAACACGTCTAGAACGCGCACATGTCAAAGCTTTCATACCATCTCCATATAAGGACTCCGCTGAAAACCGCCAACAGCAATTTGCCCACAAATCCCCCCGCATCACCTTTAATTTCGCTCCAATTTACAAACACGACGTCTAGACGTTAAAATAGCTTCGTAGAGAGACTTGACAGTGTGCGTCATCACGCTGGTTTCCCGTTTTGACCCTTGACCCCAACGTTACCTGGGGGCTCAATGCCCCGGGCGCGTCCCCGCGCGGTGCATAAGGAATATTACGGTAGAAAGTATCACACGCAGGTGAACCCACCTTGCTCTTGACCTCGGCAGAAAGACCGAAGGCCGGTCCGCTCCTGAAGTGTGTCGTCATCGCGTGGTCTCGTGAGGAGAAGCGGGTTTACAACTCTCTGTCCGCGGCGTTTGATGAGGGGGGGGGGAGACACAGGAAAAAATATAAAGTTCCGAACAATTCCGGGTGTATTTTTCTTCTTTAAAAAACAAAAACAAACAAAAACAACGATATGTGTTCGTCGCGAGTGCTCGGGGACCTGCTCGTGGGGCTTTGAGACGACTTTCCGACACTTTCCTGGATCTTTTTTAACCTCTTCCCATGTGTGCGCGCTCTGATTGGCCCGCGGCCGCCGTCCAATCCGCACGCTGCCTGCTCTGTTTTGGGGGGGAGGGGGAGGGGCCAGAGGGGGTGCGTGGGATGTGATGTCACCGCTCCGGTATTAGATTAAATCAATGTCACTTTTTCCATCTTCACTCAGGCCGCCCGTTCAGATGCACTTTGCTGAGGTTGTGTGTCATGTTCAGAGCTTCTTATTACAACTCACTGTGTATCAGATTCCCTGATTTATTATACTACGAAAGCCTAGGAGTAAAACTATAAACAAATAAAATCTCATTTACGGCTGGTGTTGTGATGACAGATTGACATTGTGATGTTTTTGAACAGTGCGTGTCTAAAATGTTATTGTGTTTCCGATTGCTGCAACTTTCAATCAAGGCGGAGAGATAAGTACAGTTCTGTGAAGCTACAGGTTTAGATTATTGACAACATTTCAAATGTAATTGTAGGTTGAAGGACCGCGGGGACTTATATTCCATGTCTAACGTTCTCTGTAGACCTCGGAAACAGCGGCGACAGCAATCACTCTGTTTAAAAGCTGTTGGACGCATCAAATGATTGTTTCAATCACCACATTCAAGCCAACGTGGACCAAATGGTCCAACGGAAATTTCGCCATGCAGTTCATCCTCCGTCTGCCGGGGAACATTGTGGGACGCGGTCGAAAGCCCCACAACAGCTGCTAAATCAATGTTCCACACTAAAGATTAACACTCAGTATCTTTCATGTGTAATTTCACAATTCGTCAGCCAAGCGGTGTGTTACCCGCACACGCTTTAAATGCACTGGGGTTTGGTGTCTCTTTATAGACCCTTTATCGTTTGAAATTCACAATTGAGGCCCTACGTTTGTTTTTAACACAAAGAGAACCACGACTTATCCATTTAAACAGGAAACTGGAGGAAAATGGTGAACGATGTCTCGATGATGTCATGATGATGTTGTGATGAGAGATGTGAGCACCAGCAGGGACGTACGTCTGAGGTGTCTAACACACACATATATATATATATATATATATATATATATATATATATATATATACATATATATATCTATATATATATAGATATATATATACATATATATATATATATATGTATATATAGCTACTGTGGAGTGCCTGACGTAATGAGGTGGTTTTCCTGTTTTACTGCAGTGAGTTGCTTCCCTCTCCCCCAATAGGCAGGCGGATGACAAGGAAAGGAATGCAGCAGATTCAGGGGGTCTGTGGAGTGGAAAGGAGTGTCGAGGGGGGGGGGGGGGGGGGGGGGGGGTACAAAGAGAGAGAGAGAGAGAGAGGGGCAGGGAAGCATGAGTCAACCCCTGCTTTAACCTTTTTTTAGCGTGTGCGTGTCACTTCCAGACACATTGCATGCATGCCGGAGAGGAGCGCTCCATCCATCGATGGCGAGAAGAGGGGTCCATATATGTGGCGCTGGGGCCGTCGATATAAGGTGAAAGGTCAAGGGAGAAACAGTCAAGTCAGTCAGCGGAGAACTGAAAACAATGACGGTCCGCATGAGCGACTCGCACTGACCCCCAGCGCCATGTGCACAGTAACGCTTCACTGAGCTGCCGGTAAGAGACTTAAATCACCTCAACATTCCTGCAGGGAAAATGAAATAGTTCAACCTCGGTTTCAGGAGACTTGATCATTTGGATCCTTTGAGCATGAAATGCACTCCTGAGCTAGCGAGATAGGTGGATGTAATAAGATGGAAATATATATTTATGATGTTTTATGGCTTCTTTAAGGAACTAATAGGTTGACACGGAGGGTTTACACTCCTTATTGCTTCTGGGACTTTAGGGCACTTCAGTATCGCGAGGTAGGATTTGTAAATACACACTTATATTATATGAAAAGCTGAGCTCTCTCTCTCCATCAGATGTATACGCCGTGAGATACAATAGAGATGTGCAAAGTAAAAATGGAAAGTTACATTTACAAATGGAAAAGGAAAATAAGGAAAGAGAAGGAAAATAAAAGATGAGGCAACATTTTCTGGATAAAGTTTAAGCATTGAAAGTATTTGTGCATTTTAAAAGTGTTTATTTAATCCGCCCTGAACATTTTGTCATGATTTGCTCATGAACATCGCGAGTAGTTCAAATGACAGCCGAAGGGGGAAAAGGACTGAAAGCATTCAGAAGGAGTGTCGAACTGCAACTGCAAAGGCGTTTTAGTTTAAGTGCCGGTCAGAGCTCAAGCGTTTGTGGTCGAGTCGTCGGCCGGTGTGCAGGTCGGCTGGCGACTCGGGATGGTGAGAAGTCGATTGACACCTGAAAAGTACGGGCCGAACGCACTGCAGAGATGAGTTGAAATGTTGAAAGCATTTAAATTGAAGTGAACCAGAGCCACTTGTGAAGTGGGCGCACTGGTTACAGCTGGAGAGTCGGTCGATATGCGAGTGGTGAGACCAGCTGAACTGTGAGAGATAAAAGCGCTTGAATGGAAAAGCAACCTGAATTTTTCCGTTGCAGCGTCCTCTTCACCCAGCTGGAGGTTCAGTTTTGTATAAAAACATAAGTCCAAGAGTCAACATCAAAGTTGGATTTAGACATTTTTCAGACTAAACATCTTGAAATGTTACCCCTTCTAAAACAGAAATATATATATCTATATATAAAACAAATGGAGGGATTCAGAACGATCTGCAGGCTTGTTTAGAAGAAAAGATGTTGCAGGGGATGCTGTTGCACAGTTTTAGGACACATGATCTTGATTCCTTGATGACCTCAGTCATCACCAACAAGTCAATAAAGGTAAAGAGCAACAAAGGAATACGGCCACATCTTCACAGACCTCGTTAACTGGGTAACCTGTTTCTCACACCATTGCAATACAGTAGAAAATCTCATTTTTGTAATGAACCAATATTTGAGTATCTTATCAAAGCACAGCAGATTTCCACGAACAACCCGTCGGAATATAAAATTCTGCAATTCTCAATATAAAATGTCTATATCATGCTGGTCTTTGCACAGTTACATTCCCTCTCTCTCTCTCTCTCTCTCTCTCTCTCTCTCACACACACACACACACACACACACACCAAGCGAGGGTCCTGTAAACATTTCACAGAGGGGAGAAGAAGAGCCACACTCATGGAATTCGGACACTTTATTTGGGCATGATGGGAGAAGGGTGGGGCCTCGGCGCACTGAGGATTAGATATGTAACGTCTTGTGGAGGAGGAATCCCTGGCACTAAAAATAAGAGTCTACAGTCAGATATTTACTGCGCGGAGGGCTTCGCTGTTTACCTTGGCCACAAGCTCTCCTGACACTTGGCCATTGGGCGACTTCTGGATACTCTCATTGTGCTGCAAAACGTCATGTGGATGGTAGCCGATGAGTAAATGGGCTTCGTTTAAGGGAAAGCTGGAGGGAGGAAGCCTGCGACATGGCGCTCTCTGTATCTACAATAGCTTTACTCTAAACAGCCGTCGGCGTTTCATGAGGGAAACTTTTTAGAGAGTTCAGAAGACGTGTACGTGATGATGAACCTCAGGAGCAGTTGGACCTCCTGGTGATTTACAATTTCTTATTTCTGATGGGAGGGAGGAGGGGATCAGTAAGGAGACCTGAGGTCGAGGACAGATCATGAGTCATGACATTTGACTGGGTGCAGACAGAAAAAGCTTCAGGGACTCCACATTTTTAGGAAGTAACAAAAACACAGACGGGGAGGGAGGGGAGAGGGGGGGGGGGCAGATGGAGACGGAGATTACTGCCGTTTCAGAAACTCAGAAGGGCCTTTCTACATTCGCCCCCCCCCCTCCCCACACTGACTCCGTCTGGCTATTTATGGTAGAAGGCCTCACGATGCTGTGCAGCTCGGGGGAGTCATGAAGGCCGAGTTCATGGCGTCATAATTCCAACCTGTCGCTACAGTCGCACAGGAAGCCTCAAACAAACCTGGATTTGGTCGATAAATCCGCACGCTTCAACGATACATGCTCGTGTTTAGATGTAGAAGTATTAGTTTAGATTACAAGTATTATTGTTACACCTTTTGTCCAAGAACTCCCTCAACACGCTTCAAAATGTCTTCTTTAACTTAACCATAAAAATGTTTTTAATTTTCAAAGAAAGTTACACCAAACGTCAGGCGAGGCCCCCAAAGAGGAGATGACACTTCAACTGCTTTCACCTGTTGGATGTCAGTGTGACGCTTGAACTGGCTTTTTATTCAGACGTGTCAGTTAACAGTCGGTCCAAACGCTTTGGAGCCTTCATGTCAACGAACGCCACAACGGCACGACAATCTTTTACTCTTTGACTGATTTCATCACATCTTTCATCTTTTCAGTGCTGCAACTTCAAATGACGCTTCAAAACCTTTCAGGTCTCAGGTCTTTCACCAAGACGTTGGTTTCAATCAAATACTTCAGCTCTGATAACCTTCAAACACACCGTTTAACCAAAGGTTGAATGAAAGGAAACTCTTCTTGCTCCCACGACTTTCACTGCTGACACAACTGCTGTGCCTCCACTTCGACTGATATTGAAGTGACGTTGCTTCAGTTTATACATGTGTGTTGACGGTTTTCTTTCAGCACTTCAAAGGGCCACATTTCCAGCTCAATTCATCGCTTACGCGTCAATAGACATTTAAACTCCCTTCAGTCCACAAACTTGAAGTGAGGGTTCAACGCTTTCCAGCTCCTCCACTTCCACTGATATGTCAAACTTTGGCGCTTTGCATTTGAACTGCTATCAATTTGTTGCAGCACATGTACATTTTCTTCAGACAGCAGCGGTCTTTTGTAGTCCGGACCACGTGATGATGTGGTGGAGCTCACTCCACCCTCCCATCCACGCCACCTCAGAGGTCGTCACGGAAACCAGCGCCGCTTTCCGCTGCTGTCGCGCGTCCGAATCGCGGCCCTCGCTCACAAGCCTGTGGCATCTTTGGCTGAGGAATCTGGTAACAGTTAGGTGATGCCTCTTAACAAACTGGTTCAAAATGTGCAAATGTGACTCTGGCCAAGATTTACTTCAAGTACTTACTAAAATCGGCTGTGTTTACAGCTTCTCCAAAGACTGGAATGTTGATTTTTTTGGTATGTTTTTGTTTCTCTGGGAATATTCTTCCTCCTGAAGTAGCAACATCCCTGAAAATCAACTTTTTTTTTTTTTATTAAACATAACTACAACTCGCTCAACGCAGCGGATTCATTAAGTCAAAATGCCTCAGAGGCACAGCTGAGGGAAACTAAACAGCAGCCAGAGGACGAGCCGGACGAACACACACACACACACACACAGACACACGCACACACACACACACACACACACGACGACAGGCGGTGTGCTTTTGCAACACACAGGTGTGTTTTCTGTGTCTGCACGACGTGCAGGTGACGATGTTCATTCCCGCGTCCATGTGGGGGAGCGAAGTGGAACGGAAAGCCCACAATGTGTGCTGCGCTGAGCCGGCAGGAGGAACCTTTCGTTGCGTCTCCGTTATGTGACCATGTTTGGTAAAGCTCCTCAGACACGGCCTCCCAACGAACACACACACGGTTTTTAATCCTCCGGTTTGATCTCGGTTTGAATTTCTCGGTCTGCGCTTCACCTTTTCTCCAAATAATCTCCACATGGAAGAGGAAAAACACGGAGCGATGCAGTGCCAACGATCAGTAGCCGGCCTTGGCTTTGCTCATCACAGCGGCGTGATAGATTTACAGTGAACAGTCGGGTCGTTCCCCCCAAAGCCGAAGCCACGGCTCCACAAAAACCGAGGAATGTGATGAATTGCAGCCAAAGTGAAATGAAAACCATGGCTGGCGTTGGACGTATAAACATTCACCTGTAGAGTCGAAATGAGAGAGCCAGCAAACCGTTTCCTTTTGCCTTCAAACTTTATTGAAGAGCAACACTTTCAAGTAAGTCTCAGCTTTCAGCACTACGATTACATGATCATTAGTAGTGGTCATTGCGCACGACAAAGATCCGAGACACAAGGTAATGCTCAGACAAAAAGGCCTGCCTGTAGTGTAGGCGCTTTCACATTTAAAATCTCCAGAGAAAATAACAAACAAGAAAAGAGACAGATCGTAACAAGAAATTGCATTGAGTTAAAAGACAAAATAAAAACAGACAAAACATTGGGGGGGCGACAGAAGCCACGCTGGCAAATCATTCAAAAGGATCAAAAAGTCATTTGCCATCAGTTTGTCTGTGATTGCTTCCAGTCATTCTGAAATCATTACACAAGCGGCAGCGTTGTGGCCGCAGAGTGAATACACACTGTTTAAGTACCAGATTCTGATGCAGCTCTGTTACAATGTACCTAAAGGGAGAAAAGACGCCCGCTCATCCAATGGAGACAAAATACGACCACAACAGAGGTTTTAATCAGTACAGTGTGCATCTGGTTTGAATACCTGATCACGGATATATAACACAGGTCTGTATATCTCTTTATAATATCTATATCTAGGTATAGATATAGATATACACAGTATGTATAGATACATACACACACACTTAAATATATTCATTCTAGGATATAATGAACGTTGGCCTCCCTAAAGAAAAAAGGCAATGTGGTTGTTCTAACCTGATACAATACAGATCATGTTCTTACGATAGCAGCCTCTTCATCGGTTCATTCAGTTGATTCCCTGCCTCCCCCCCACCAGGGTGACACACAGACACACAAACACATCAGGTGTTGAAATAAACTCTGTAGAAAACCCTGACAAATACAAAAAAAAAGAAAAAAGAAAAAACACTGTTCATCCAGTTTGCTGCCTGCATGCTAACGGGAGCCCTGGTGTCAGAGCGCTGTACTCGGCTGTGTGACGGTGCCGGATGCCGCTGCACCCTCACACAGCCTCAGGAGGTCTCCCACAGTCGAGTCAACTATTCACAGCTTTGAGTTTAGGGACGCCGGGATGAATGTTAAGAGATGTCTGCCGCCCCTGTTCGACTGCCTGCGTGTTTGCTAAAGTAAAACGAGACGGGCATCACTGCCCATTCTGATCGCCCCGCCACGACATTCATCAGAGACACGACCCGTTCTCAACACATCACAACTCCCCAGGAAAGGGATCAGCTTCGGATTATAATACTTGGCCGGATTAATCGTTGTGCAGGCATATTATAAAAATATATACAAAGAGTATACATGTAGAATACAGGGGGGGGGGAAATCACAGGGTTTTACATTAGAAAGTCATGCAGAGAAAGGAAAGAAAAAGGCACAAGATACTGTAGCCCCTCCTCTGTGGTGACAGAAACACAGGAGAAATCGCTGAGTCGTGTGCTTTATAGTTCCACAGTGACAATTCTCAGGCCAGTATCCATCGAGCCACAGACACAAAGAATCAAAGGGGACCGATTTAACGCATCGACAGGCTACAGATGTCAAGAAGAAGAAAAAAAAGCTACAGCCTGTGCCTCATCTTTGCTCGAGTGACGCTACGTTAGCCGCTAATAGCACGTTCCAATATGTGACTGAAAGTGTTTCAATCCATTGGTCTGCGTGTTTTTTAATTTGCACCTTAAAAAACCCCGAAACAAAACGGACGTAAAACACTGGAAGTCGAAAACAAACTCAAAATATTGCAAATAAAGTTTTTACATTCGGCTTTGGTGGAACAGTTTAGGCATGCGTGAGCGGCATTATAAAGGTAAAGGGCGGGGTCGGACGCCGTTCCTCCTTCGTCTTCGTCGAACCACATGCGGCGTCCCTCGTCTTCTGCTGCAACGTCTAATATTCACAGGCACTCACTCGCAATTTCTCACTGAGTTTTGGGGGAAACTTTGTCCGCCACATCTGGATGGAAACTCCTCGTGTCGACTCTCACAGTAAGAAAATGAAGAATTCAAATTAAAACGTGCGCGCTGTGAGTTGGTGGAGTACGCCCTGAAGCTAAAAAGGAAACTGGAGCTCCCGCGTGAATCTGAAACATCCTCTTGTTTCTGCCGTGATGTCAGCGGTGTAGTCGGGGGTCACTGAATGTGGCGATGACAGAGGGCAGAATGCCGCGTGGCCAACCCCCCCCCAGTTTAAGATTTAGGATAATTCATATTTAGATTTAGTTGATTAAATACGCCCCTGTGACTATGTTGAGGTGATGAGTTTATGGAGAAAACATAACAACAGGGTGCAGATTGCCACGTTGTCACAGATTGATGCACCACAATTCATGTTCGATATTAGAAAAATGGCCTATTGCTAGCATTCCCACTGCCAACATTTAGCAAAAGAAGACTACAGCCCTGGCTGGGGGCGTTTTGTCTAGAAGGACATCGCTTTTTTTCCGAGCATCAGCCTGATGGGGGGGGGGGCGACGGGGCTTTGAGGACTTTTAAGAAGGAGCGACGGGGGAAGACGTCCCCATGAAATCAGTGATATCATAACAGAGAATATTTTAAAGACTAAAAGTCCCTCTTGACGGTAAAAAGCAAACATTGATTGACGGAGTCTCTGTGAGGTGGGGGGGGGCAGGACAATTTGAGTTGGTTGAATTCACTACACTGTGATGCCGACATGGTGAATACTGAACAGGCTAAATCGTCCTGCGAGGAACGGAGGCTGTTGGGGAGTGCATCTTTTCTCTACTGAGTGTGTGTATATATATATATATATATATATATATATATATATATATATATATATATATATACATATGTGTGTGTGAGAGAGAGGAGTTTGAGGGGCATGGCGGGTAATATCGACAGACGCCTTGTCACACGGAGGCCACAGCAGGTGATACTGTAGAAGAGGCATTATGGTGTTTTTCTGTCTCTGCTTTGTCTTTCTTCCTCGTGAGGTCTGATGGGTTTTAAGACAAGAGCCCTGTAGGTTCACAAAACGCTGGATGGATCTGATGCAAAGGGAGTCGCCGTCTCCCTCGCGTGCGGGCGGGCGGGCGGACGGGCGGACGGACGGACGGACGGAGCGTTGGGAGGAGCCTCGCGAGGTCTTTCGAAGGAGCGGCGGGCGGAGCAGGGGCATCGTCTTGGGTCCCCAAGTTAGACTTTCGCTCCTTTCACCCTTTTTTATTGCTTTCCTGTCTTTTGCAGGCACTTCAGAGGATTGGGCTTTGGCTGAAGTGGAAGCGAGAGGGGAGGGAGCAGAAACAGGCTTTTCTTTTTCTTTTAATGTGCTTGCGAGCTCTACCTTGTCGTGTGCCACCGGGCCGAGGCAGTCAGAGGGCGGCCTCTTTGCCTCGTGCCGGGTCAGGACCGGTTGTCCCCCGGCCCACTATCCAACTACAAGGAGGTCGAGGGGGCTGAGGTTAGTGGATTGGAGGGTGTGTGCGGGGAGCAACGGGAGGGAGGCGGCGAGGGGTTGTCCCCGGGCGTCCGGTCTCGTCTCGCCTCCCCCGCTCGCGTCCGTGTCTGCACAGCCATCGCTCTACGCCGCTTTAGTCCGCGTGGTTGTGGACGTGCTTCCCGCCCGACGTCGCCTCCGTCTCCGCTCCGTCCCTGGGCTTCCGGCCGCCTCTCCCCGGTCATCACCTTGTAGCAGCCGCGGCCGATCTTGTACATCCAGATCATGTTCAAGATGTCCAGGGCGATGCACGACGTGATCCACGCCACCTGGGCGCCGCGGCCCAGCCGCTCAAACTCCTCCGTGCCGAAGGTGGCGAAGACGCTGGCCCAGTACGACGGCATGACGGCCGTGCGCACCAGGAAGAACACCACCGCCATCGCCATGCCGTTCAGCACCACCAGGCGGTGCGAGCGCGGGTACTTCAGCGACTCGAAGAACCACCTGGGGGGGAGGGGGGGGGGGGGGTTAATGATTAGAAATAATCGTCGGTCACACAGTAAAACCTAAAAAAGAGGGTGGGGGGTATTTACACCCACCTTTGGTTCACAAACGGCGTGGACAGCTCCGAAATGAGGCGGAAGTTGGCAAAGTAGGGAAGCACGCCGCGCGTCTGCAACGAGAGGAGCAGCATGACAAACACGTCGCCGCGCATCGACCGTCAGGCCCAAACGCCGAGGAGCGGAGGACTCACCAGCACGTATCCGTATGCGTAGAGCGCCGCCAAGTGGTGACAGACGAAGAAGCCGTCGCCCATAGTGCTCCAGTTACAGGCCAGCAGCACGAGGTCTAGAGGACAGAGGGACAAGCCGGTCACAGCGGCGGCGGGTCGGGTCATGAGAGAACGGCACCACGGCGCCATAGCTAGGGCGCAAACATGTGACTGTGGTCATAACAGTCAGAGCGAAGTGGGCAGCTGGTGGAGAAAAAAGTCCTTCAACGGGACGATATCTTTCTAACATATGCGGCAATAAACGGCTCGTGATCACTGCTACTGTTCCTTTGGACGTATTAAATATTCATAGAAAGTTTAGATGGCTGGGCTCTGTGCAGCCGACAATGCACTCAATCATAGATGAGCAACTAGTATCCATTTACTTCAAGAAGAAGTAGGTGTAAAGGCAAAGGTTAAAACACAACAGGAAACATTTGCTGAGGACAAAGAAGGCGTATAAAAGCGCAACTGTGGTTATTAGTTTCCATTCTAACGCAAGCACACAGAGAAAGGCCCTTTGAGGCTCGTGCTGTTCCCTTTGACTCACGGAACACAAGCTTTGTATTTGGTATCGATGGTAAACACACACACACACACACACACACACACACACACACACACACACACACACACACACACACACACACACACACACACACACACACACACACACACACACACACACACTGCTCTCTCGCTGTGTGTGTAAGAGATGATCAACAGGAGAACAAACACAAATAGCTCACCGTAAAGAAGGTAGCCGCAGGTTATGGCCACGTTTAGCTTGACGAGACTGGGGTCCCCCCTGTGGAGAGAGCGGAGGACGCCACGTGAAAAAGGTTTCTCGAACACTCAAGAGCCACTCAAGGCGCGAGGAGACGACTAAAAGGCCTCCGATCGACTAAAAGGCCTCCGATCGATGGTCCGCAAAGAGAACATGGGGCGACTCCGCAAAGACGACGGCATGAGACTGCGGGCGCAGCGGCCTACTGCCGGTCTGCTCGCCCGGTGACCTTGAACGCACCGATGTGGAAACCCATCACGCCGTTTGTCCTTTGCTTCGAGCGGTTCGACCGTGTGCACCCGAGTGGGATGTATGGAAACGTGCTTGCTTCCGTGTGCACCTCGGCGCGCTCTCACATTACCCCGATCCAACGCCTGTCAGCTGGGTCATTTTACCTCTGTACTTGAAATGCAGCGTGCAAATATAACACTTATGTAAAGCTTTGGCTAATTACATGTATAGCCCCCCCCCAACACACACACACGCACGCACACACGCACACACGCACACTTTTTCTCGTGTTATAGTCTTTCATTCTATAATGACGTGAACTTGTGAGCGACTCGGGGAAACTCGGCTCTGATCACTTCAAGTGATGAGGTGCTCTCGTCCCGTCTTTGTATTGACTACAGTGCACGGCTGTGGCGCGTCCCCAGCTGGAAGCGGCGAGGAGGCAACTCAAAGTCCTGCTGTGGACGACAATGTCAACATCATTGTGAGTGCACACTGGGTTTAGAAGCCTTTCCCCGCGCTGCTCTGGGGTCAGACAGCCCTCTTATCAAGAGGACAGCAGGGACGGACGGGGGTCGGGTTTTAAAGGGTTAGTTACATGAGCGTTTTGGTCACATGAAGTCCAGGGGCCTCATTTATAAAACCTTGCGTAGGATTTGTGCCAGAAGTGGTGTACGGATGAAACGTAGGACGTGCGTACGCACAGAAATATTCAGACTAAACATAGACATAGACTAAAAAACATTCCTACGCAGTTTTCCCTTAATAAATCACAATCATGTCTAAATGCAGCACAGCTTTTGCGGCTTCATGTCACGCCCATAGTTGCCCATATATAGTCTGTGGAACGCCCACAAATGAATATTCATTGATTGTGAAATCATGGCAAACACTGAGAGGAAAACAAAGAAACGTAACTTCACTCAGTGTGAAGTGGAAATGATCATTGGGAGGTGGAAAGGAGAAGTGAAATGATTTTTGGAGGGCACAGTATGTGGGCACATTTGATTGCATCTGACAAGCAACAGCTGTGTTTTGAGGATGAATTGCATAACATGTCAATATTATTGCAGAAAATATTTCACTTTTCTTTTTGAAAATGTGTTAATTTGTATATCTGTTTGTTTTACGCTGCAGATCGATCAAACGTGTTATTTATGAGAGGCAGTATTGGCATTTCTAATTGGCAGTCTAGTTTTACACACTTTCACACACGTGTTTCTTGCATTTGCCGACGGTTCTCATTTCAACCGTTTTTGTGTGTACGCATGGGTCCGAGCTTGTGTGAAGGACCGCACATTTTTTCATTTGTCAAGTTTGCTTTTTATAAATACCAATTATTGCGTAGAGAGCGGCGTACGCCTTCTTTTGTGTGTACGCAACATTTATAAATGAGGCCCCAGTGCTCTGAGGACGGCACGAATACTGGCTTTCATTTGCAACGCGGTGGAAACATTGTGCTCCTCCCGCCCGCCGTCGAGGTAGAGATGCACCGGTTATGGACGAGTTCAAGCAGCGTGAACCTTACAAATGATTATGTACAGACAGTGGGCTTTTCTCTGCAGCTGGAGAATAATAACAGAATCTATTATTATCATAAAGGCATTATTCATCTGAATAGTTAGGGCAGGATACGTGAATGTCCAGTTGACCATATCAGGTTGAAGCCCATCGTGTTTTTCATTCCATAAGGGTGAGTTTTTTTATTGAAGCAACAGCAATTCGGCATCAGGGAGGAGAATCGTGACCCCTAAACGTACAGGAGGCTTTCATCAAAAAGAGACATGAGAAAAAGACGCTCGGGACCCAGCCTGGTGTCGTATAACCCGACCTGGAGGGGTTGGAGGAAATGGAAAACACACGCAGTGGATTATTTGAGGGTGAATATTATATCTTCGCCAGCTTAACCTCGACGCGGCACAAGCCGGTCACTTGAACCCTCATCCTTCTTCTCAGACGGACCTTTGCGTGTCGGGTCCAGATATGCCAATCACAAGACGCATCAGAGGGAAGGGCCTGTTAACTGGTGTATGATAACGGCCGAAGGGCCTGAGGCCGTGGAGGGAGGGGGGCGGGGGTGAGAACAATGCTGCTGTTTGACGGGTCTTAATGATGCTGTAATACAATCAGATTGACGGGAGAATTATTGCTTGCGCCACTGCTCTGGCAACAACATCGGCTTTGGAGGATTAGGGACCGCTGGGGATCAGGTCGGTGCTGCTGGGTGACACGGGAAAGTTTAGCAAGAGAATTGTATGAATGTGTGTGATCAAACCAAAATATATTTCGTGACAAAGAGGCTTTGGAGGGAAAGGGCTGAACACATGAAGATTAGTAGAAGGAGGAGGGAGAGAGAAACGTAAACAAAGGGGGAAAAGCAAGAGAGAGAAAGAAAGAAGAGCTGGAAGAGGAAGAAGGGAGATTTAAGACCACAATGGAGAAGTGAAAGGAGGAACGGTAAAAGAAAAAAAGAGTAATGGGGAGGTGGGGGGGGGGATTACCAATTCTCAATAATGCAAATAACGCAGTCAGCTGTAGCACAGACAGAGAGAGTGAGAGCGAGAGAATTAATCAAAAGACTAAATCCACTCCGTCTCCATTTGACTCATTAGACCCCTCCCACCCCAGCTTCTCACAAAGGGGCCATCCGTCCACAACGTCTCCCTCACTGCCTCCCACCTTCACCCCTCCCCTTGTCAGCGAGTCGTGGCCGCTGGTCTGAACAGGCAGATGTGAGGAAGCAGCTTTCTCCTAAAAGCGCCGAAAGCATAAAATCTCTTTGTATTCATTGTGGCACGATGTGCCGCCCGCTGTGCCTTTCTGGTTCCTGCGTTTGCAACAGAAGCAAACTTGTGTTTAGGGTTTGCATTTGTTTTCATGCCACATCTCCTGCAGCCACATTTAATCGGATAATAGTGTTATATTGTATTTATGAGTGAAACGTTAAGGGTTGCCAGGTTGTCCGTGGCAACCGTACCGAGAGATCTTTGTCTTTCTTTGGCATCACTGACTAAAATAAAATATGAATAGCAGTTTTAATATTGTTGTATTAACTAATAATTTATAATATGTGTGTGTGGGGGGAGAAGGGAGGGGGGTGGATTGGTGGCAACGTTCCTCTTACCAGACGGGGTTTGCGTTGACGGCGTCATCAAACCACAGGATGTACAGACAGAACAGCCCCACGATCAGAGCGTGCACGGTCGACACCAACCTGGGGAGGGGCCAACAACAACAACAAAGAGGTTAACAATGTGTAAGAACTGCTTATCGGCCATTGGGCCGTTACTGCTGAGGGGGGGTGTGGAACCCGGAGGGCCAAACAGAGGCAGATCATGTTCCAAACAGTGAGTATTTTAATTACGTCTACGTTGCCCCCTTATTCCACGTGGCAGTTACTTCTGCTCTATCAGACCAGATATGGTATCGCCCCCCCCTCCCCCTGACCTTTGGAGTGGTTATGTAGACGACTGAAGAGATACTTCAGACCTCCAGTGGTCCCTTATCTCTCCTCTGCCAGGAACACAGACTCCCCCCCCATGCAGAGAGGGGCTTTACAGATTGGCTACTGTACGACTGCATGAGTCCATTATTGCCGCCGAATCACTGAAGAGTCTAAAAGGAGGTCGTCCGAGGAGGAACTCTGTGTCGGTGTCGACCTTGGAGGCGATCTGCAGTCGGAGCGTTTGCGTCGAGAAGCTTTCGGAGGGAAACACAAAAGAAAGTCCACTACTCTGTTCTAGATGCAGCTTTGCTTCACCACTCAGCAGTCGAGCCTGCTCGCTCTTTAGATACGGCTTCCTCCCTCTCCTCTCTTTGCACTTAAGTCGTGGTTACGTAAACAACATGCTGACAAACAGAGCTGGCGGTTACGCAACCGCAGGTCACTGTGAAGAGAAGCTTCGGTGCCAGTGGGCTCGATCCTCACTGGTCAACACACACTGTACACTCACAGAAACTCCACTTCAAACCAGAGTTGTATGAATGGATACTTATTTGTTTTAGTAACTGGCAGAGGGCAAAAAACACTAAAAGGATGAGAGGGCAGGGGGGTGGGGGTGATTATGCAACTCCAAACCATTGCCCCCTCTGAACTTCACCCCGAGAAGCTTCAGCTTGAAACCTAAAACCACTGCAACACACATCTCAGCTGCAGTTGAGGACAAGGGGAGGCGGGGGGGGGGGGTATTTGATCAACGCGGGTCAGGTTTTTTAGGAGGTCACGACTTTGTATTTGTTACATAACGGCACTTCTGAGGGGAGGGGCGGGGGGCGTCTCGGCAGCACCATCAGTGACGCCACAGAGAAAGTGTTAGAACGTGTTTGCGTGAGTGTGCCGGTCAGAGAATAAGATCTATGGAGTGAAATACAGGAAGAAATATTACACTCAACAATTGTTATTTCCGTCGGTATTCAGATAGGCGGAATAAGACGGACTAATGAGATGGCACTTTGCAGACGCCCCCTGTGGACGCGTCTAACTTCGGCCGCACATTGAGACCATTTCGTACAGCTGGCAGACCCGTCCGATTGGTAAAATGTTGGTAATTGAGGTTGTAGCTGGTTGTCGACCTCACTTTGGTTGCAGAGAGGTGTCGTCTGTGTTTTAACACTGTTTCAATGACGAGCTATTGAACCGATAAGTCAGAATGTGAGAATCTGAAGGAGCCTCCGCATGCACATCTAATCTAATAATTACGACTTTCTATCCCTTTTTTCTTTTCAGGGAGGAAATGGGCTTCAATAAATCAATAGATTGTCAGAGTTGTTTGTTAAAACAATAATGGTCTTGGGTCTAAAACCCTTTCTGTGGGATGGAATCAAATTTCTGTTTATTATTGTGTGTTGAACGTCACAATAACCAATTCATTACGTGTTTCACAATACCTTTATTTAGTCCCTGCCGGGGGCCAGGAGGGACGATTAACACTGCTCTCGTGTCTGTTTAGTAAATATGAAGCGAGGGCACTTTACATTAGCATGCGGTTATTAAAGAGCGGCCTCCGGCAGCGAGGGAGCGTTAGAGGTGGATGTGGTTTCCTTTAGGAAGAGCCAGCACAGCTGTGTTTGTCTGCAACTTTTACAGCATATAACGGACGACTGTGGAGAATAAGAAGGAACAACGTCCCCCCTTGGAGTTCCACTCGTGAACTTGGTGGGCGGGCAGCCGCTCGTAGCCCGGCGTGATACGTGAAGAGCGCGGCTGACCATCTTAAGAGAAGCTGGACCCACGAAGCTCCCAGCTCCCACGGTCATCTCTCTCGTCTCCACCCTCCCCTGAACACAAAGAGGAGAGGGGGGAGGGGAGGGGGGGAGACACGCATGGAAAGGTTTAGTCGATGATGCCAGTCATCCTGGCGCCCCCAGAAGAGAAGCTGATGAGGCTGATGAGCAGCAAGAGGATGGAGCGGCACCCCTTGTGGTTTGTTGGTCCCCAAAAGAGGAAGAAGAAAGGGAAAAAGACAGGAGGGGCGGGGGGGGGGGCTGTCGAATGCAAGTGACATGAGCGCTTTAGACAAGCGGGGCACTTCATAGAAGGGTGGGGGGGAATCAGAAGGTGTTAGGGATGAGGGAAAAGGAGGGTTGTTTGCGGTTGTGAATACAGTGCTCAGCATTAAGCCGTCGAATGAAAGGCTTCTATTTATAAGCATATTTTGCAAGGGGATTAAAGTTGTTTAGTCCTGCTAAAAATCCCTCATAAGAAAACAAAGACCGGACGGGGGGAGAAAAGAGGATTGTCAAGATGTAGACGCAGGTTCAGAACAGAGGAACAGTTTTTGAGAGAGGGGGGTGGGGGGGGTGATTCCACTTCAACGAAGCTCTTCATTCTGGCCATATCTATGTTCACATCATCCGTTTTCTAGCCCTTTGGTTTATCTCCATTGTGCCGATGTTATCTCGCTGATGGAAGTATCATCCGTGTCCAACCAGAAACAATACAGACCCAAATGGAAACGCGTGGGGACAAACACAGGGCGTAGACGCCGCGAGCAGCGGCTTGTAAACACGCGCAGACGCCAACAGCGGGGCTCGGTTTACTCGCCGTCCGGTCAACAAACCACGAGCCGGCCTTTTTCAAGCCGCAGGGCCGTCAGCGGAGACGGCGTGAAATAACGCTGCGTCTGCAGAAAACAGAATAGTGAATGTTCAAAGTGGTTTTCTTTACCGACTCGGGCAAATGACAAGGAGGGGAGCAAAGCTGTTAGATTGATCAACCCCCGCTGACTGCATTAGCGTCAGGTTTTCTGGAGTTGCTCGAGTTCCAGAGCAAAACAAATCGGATGCCTGCGGATCAACGACCCGCCGGCTTCCTTACAAAGATAAGCAAAATAAGGAGCAAGTACACAGCGCTGGACATTGCCAGCAGCTCGTGACCGTTTCTTCCTCTTTTGCCTTTTTTTAAAACGTTTGTCTGGGACATTATGCAGGCACTTCAAAAACACTTACTCTGAAAGGGTTGCGTGTGGTTGTACAGTGCCAGACAGCAAAGGCTAAAACGTCATATACACCATGTGAAGGCTGTTACTTGACTTATGTTCTATTTTTACACTAAAAATATCAGATGTCACATGGAAGCAAAACACAAAAACACTTTCCTCTCCATCATTAGAAAACAAAAACATCCCGAATAAAATACAGCATAAAGGTTTCCCCAATAATCCAAGCGGCTCTTACTTCGTTACGCTTCCCCTCCCTTCCACAAACCGGTTTGTGCGACAGGGGAAGCCGAGGCAGGCGACTCTTCCCCCCGCATTGTCCGCCGGGAGCAGCGGCGCACATTGCCGGGCCGCGCCGATCATCCGCAGCCCGCCTGAATAATTCATTGGCATCCTCCACCTGGCAGGCTCGTTCACGCTGCCCCACGGGAGGAGCAGGAGCAGGAGGAGGAGGAGGAGGAGGAGCGGGCAGAGAGAGCTTCCTCACTGCGGTTGACAGCCCCGCACGGGAGAGGCGCTCCGCCGGCCACGTCGGACCTTGTGTTACACCGGGCCCGGTCCCCCGCTGCCCGCCAGCCGTCATCCTCCGTGACATACCGGGCAGAACACGATAATAGCGCTTCGATTCCCCCCCTGGGCCCTATTCACTGGTTCTTTCAGAAATATACCCCCCACCACACACGCGCACCCTGTCTACCGCATTGCTACACCACACGATGCGTCCGGGTCGCCGCTCTAAAAGAGCCGCGGACCTCGGCTAGCTGCGGGGCCACACCGGGAATACCGAGGTCCCATTATTTTAATACCACAGATGTGCATTTTTGGTTGTTGTGTTACAGTGAGTAGACGCCCCCCCCCCACCCTCGCTCTTTCACCCGCCACCACAATAGCCCAAACGCAGCTTTCAACACACACATACACACGCACGCACATACACGTCATGTGGGGACCGACTCGTAAGAAGGAGCCGAGCCCGGCTTGGCGGTCAGCTCGGACGGGGAGGCCAGGGAGCCGCGGAGGTGTCGCGGTGCCGAGTCTCGCACGGAGAGAAAGAGCCACTCGTGAATTGTATCCCGGCCGCGTGAGGAGCTCGGTTACCTGCTGTCCGTCGCATAGGTGTGTGTAGGCGGATACGCTCCCGCTCGGCCGTCCTCTCCTCCACTTTTCGTACAACTTGACGCTAGCTAGCGAGTCCGCTCGTGACACAGCCCGCTGCCGCTCGCGCTGCGACCCCTGGAAGGAGAGAGGGGGGGGGGCGGAGGGGGGAGGCTCCGCTACGCGAACAATGGCGCGGCCCGAACCAGCCGCTACGAACCGCACGGGGAGAAATGGCTTTTCTTCACGGCGTCATTCCGCGGCCGCCCGGCGTCTCGCACCGTGAGTCCGGTAGGAAAGTTTTTTTTTTTTTTGGAGCCGTTTTATTTTGGCGTCCGCACCGAGGAATGACCTGTGACGTCACCACGTACCCTCCCTCCGCCAGAGGCCACGCCTACAAGGAACAAAGGCCATATGTAATATTAACGCTGGTGGAGACTTAAGGGAAGCACACCAACGGTTTAGAGAAATGAAGCCCATTCACTACAAATCACTATTCAGCATTATAATCGTTCATTCAGCAAACCACCTTCTCTTGTTCAAGTTTGAGCTAAACGTTCTACTTTTCCTGGTTTCCATTTATTCCAAATGTAAATAAATACACTCTGGAGACTTGCGTGAGTTACATTCTTATCAAGTCATATTATCATGATGTGGCACCCACCCTTTTTTTAATCACTTCCTTATCAATCTGCACTGACACTGCATCATAATAGAGAACAAAACCACACTAAGGTCTGATAGAAACTGATGCAAACCTTGTGGTTTCTCTGATTGATGATGAAGTTCAGGCAGCTGCCTTATATACTTGAATGCAATGGCTGAACCAGTGTCGGCCTGGAATATATATAAGATAATACATAATGTGATCCTTCTGAACATTGAGGAAAACAGAAACATCCATAAATGACACATAACGTACATTACATCCTTTGTCTTTTGGGTTACTGATATGTAATAGGGAAGGTAATTCCTAAGCCATGGCGGGCTTCTCTCCTGCACAACAATGTTGGATCATTTATCCATTGCATGTGTATGTTCAAATGAATACCAACTTTAATAAAGCATATAATGAGCAAACATCCTGATAATCGATTATATAGTTTGGTCAAAATTGTACAGCTTCTTTTACAAGTTTATTTTGCTGTTTTTGTAGTTTAGTTTTTGTCCTCAGTGTTGCAGTGTTGGTTAAACCAAACGAGTTAATTCAAGAAGTCAACTTGTCCTCTCTCAAATACACCTGTATGGTCCTTTAAAAGACAGACAAGCCGGGTCCTCCAGCACACATGATCATAGAGAATAACAGCACAGCGAGGAGGATATTATCTTTTGTCTTGGCTTGAAAGACACGGAAAACACCTTCGGTTAGACTTTGGAATGTATAAAGAAACAGACACACCTGGAGAACAAAGTGAACACCTGAGGAACCTAAAGGATTAAAATGCAGAAAACTGTCAGAATACCATCACCGGTTGACTTGCTTCTCATTAGAGCTCGCTCATACGTTGCTTTTATTTCAGCGGAGGGTTGTTCTTTGTGTGAACTATTTGTTCTGTCAGCTTCTGAGTCATTTTACAGAGCAATGTGTTGAGTCAAGGCCGTCTGTCTGGTTCCACCACACGTACTCACGCGCAGGGGAGGAGGAACCTTTTTCCCATGCTTACACACTGGCCTGTTCCGAAATATATGTCTCTTTTCATATTAAGTATATTGAGTATATTAGCCTTTAAAATTGTGTGGCAGCAAGAGCTCAGCGGACCCTCATAGACATGGTATCTCATTAGAAATGAGAGGCAACGCTGTTGGTTTAATTGAATGGAAAATGAATCCATCTGTTTTGGTTCATTCACTTGAACGGAGAGAACTCTGAGAGAACTGGAGCGTTCCCTCGATTTAAGTAGTGGGTGAGTCAGACTCGAGTGTGGCGATGGAGGCCTTTTTGAAAAACGGCAGAGAGGGTTAGAGGCAGGTATAGTGAAGCTGGCTCGCTGCGCGGCCACATGCGGCCTCGGAAATGAACCTGCTGCTCCCTCTATCTCTCTCATTCCCTCCCTCCCTCCCTCTCTCTCTGCCGCGCTCGTCCCCTTGTACCCTGAGCCGCATGTCAGCTCCTCATGGCGGTTTCGCTTTTTTTTTTATTCCTCTTGGTGTGTTACAGTTCAGCATGAAGCCGCGACCCCGCTGTCGGCCCACCACGCCCCCCTCCCCCCTGGGGGTCGCAACCCCCAGTTTGGGAACCAGTGCCTAGTGAATGTTGCCTTTTTCCATTCCTTTTGGGTAAGAGTTGAAGTGGAGCGAATATACACGGACAGGATGTTGCAGTAATGTTGTAACTACATGGCTGCCAAAGCGTTCCTACGATGTGCTGGTACAAAACAACAAAATGAATATTCAGCAAACAAAATCAGGAAATCACTTTATCTCAGTCATGAAAATACATTTTCATTTCATTTGAATTAATTCACTCACGAAACAAATGGTGGATTTACATTTTAGAGCATGGGGACTCCCAGATGACTGAAATTAACCTGTATTTATGATAATGTGAACAACAACGATGCTGTTTATTATATAAGGGGAGTAATTTAATCCGCCAGGCCACTTAATGTCCCTGCAGGCCAGAGGCCCGTTCGCATGGAGGCGTCTGCTAGGACAAAGGGCCGGCCACAGCAGGGCAGTGCAGAAATCTGCAGACCCGCTGAGCCTCTGGGTCGGAGCCATTCCTGTTGGTTCAGTTTAAGTGAACCATAAGGTCTGTGTAAAGTGGATTTCTTTATTTCAACCTTGAGGGC